TTTAGTGATGATAATCCTGAATAGAAATCAACTAAATTTTAACAATATCCAACGTACAGGTTCTGTTTCATTTCTGCTTTAATTGCAACTGCTATAAGATTTCTAATGTAAAAATTGATTTGATGAGAAGCACTAATTAAATAAGTATGCAGTTTATAATTGGATTCTAATAATTAATTAAACGATTTAATTATACTCCTAATTATTTTTTGTTTAAAAATGCAAATGACAGATGGTGTAAATTCACACCTGTTCCACACTGATTAAAATTGTGTTATTTATTGGTGATGTTGTTTCTTAAACATCGCCTCGTAATTTGTATTAATGAAAGTGAGCTCCTAAAACTGAAAGAAACTAAATTTGGTTTCTATTTTATGCATTTGACTGCCGTTGGTGCATATAAACCAGTACAACGGATCTAGCAGATGAACTTTTACGTTGACCCCTGTTACTTTGGCGATCTTTGACCTTCTGACTCCGAATTCAATAGGGTGCTTATTTGGACCAAGAGGAACTAAGTTTCAAAACCTTAAAAACTACAGTTAGAGAGTTATCATGCGCCCAGACCGAGGCCCAGACAGACAATCACAGAGCTTCAGGAAGGACCTGTTCCGGTTCTTAATAATGGATAAATTGGCTATTTGAAATAAATACTCGTATAATTAATAAATATCGAGATAAATATGTAAAAAATGACTACTGGTCTTTAACTTTGTAAATATGAAAAGGCCAATATTAAGTGAAACAGTAAAATATATTTTTTAGCAGGAAGGCAGCGTTGCATCAAGAGAGTGCAGGTCAAAGAATGAATCTGTCCTCTAGTTTAGGTATCTTGTCTATTCATTGTATAGTTTTTTAGGTTTTCACACATTAACTAAATGTTGGTGATAAATGTAATCACCTTCACATATCAAGCATAATCAGTGTTTGATCTTCTGATTTCAGTATGTTTTTGCAAATACGCTACTTGTATGTGTAAATAATAGCGTGGCAATCTGAATTTTGCACTGCATAAGGTACGTCACAGAAACCATGGTGACAGACATCACTTGATTTTTTTTATGGGAGCCTATCTCGGAGCCCATGTTATTCACAATATTCAGAAGGAAATCGTGCCATTTCAACAATAGGTACACCCTTGCTAGAAAAGTTGAAAAAATTCAAGTTATAAACAATGACCTTGCATTGTATTGGAAAGTCTGTGGTGGTTTGGACATTTAATGAGAATGCCAAACAACAGATGGCCTTCTGGTAAACAGAAAAGGGGATGACCGAGAAGTTCCCTTTTATGAAGGGATAAGCACTTCAATGGAACAAAGATAGCAATGATGACTATTGTGAGTTACATCATTGCTATCTTCAATGGAAGCACTGGGTAAGAGGGTTTAAAAACTAACACCTTTTGTAAATAGAAACCCACATTTTTATAACTCGGATTTGAGACATTTTCAATAGGATTGTTATATGTGGCATGGATGAACTGTTTGAAACTGGTTGGTCCAAGCATTTGTCAGTTATCATGTTCACAGACAGATAGCTCGACAGACAGATGTACACAATGGACTCCCCTATTAAGCTTGCATGGCTTTGATCTGCCGATTAATAATCTTTACTAATGAAAAACAAGTAAATTGTGCACAACTCTTATGCAGATAAAGCGTATTTTTTTAAACCGAAGTAGCTTAGTAAATAGTTGGGTTATACGGTAGTAGCATGCTATATCTATCGATGTTTACCTTATTGGTAGATTATGGGAAAGGCGATCTTTACACATAAACATTAAAAGGTCTCCTGGCATACATTCAAAATCTGCTATATATACTTAATGCGAGAAGAATCAAGACTAGGCATGGGAATTTTTTTCGATATATCGATAGGTATCGATAGTTATCGATATATCGAATAACAATAGGTAGAGCTAAAAAAATCGATATATCGATAGATCGATAACTATCGATATATCGATACTTATCGATATATCGATACCTATCGATATGTCGATAACTATTGATATATCGATATGTCGATAACTATTGATATATCGATATGTCGAAAACTATTGATATATCGATATGTCGATAACTATTGGTACGATAAAATTATGTTATTGTTGAGATTTCAACGAGCGCTACTATTTTTATTAATAAAATCCATTTTCGTGTTTACTCTCGTGTAAATTTACTATTTTTAGTTGCTCGACGTTTCGGAAACTTAACTTTGCTCCCTTTCTCAAGAGAAGCACTACGTCACATCATCATCCATGCCAAATAAACGCAGTAATAAAATCTTTAGAAAATGGATTTTATTAATAAAACTCAATAAGATAACTATCCCTGTCGATAACTATCGATACGTCGAATATTTCTCTCAAATGAGGCGTGCAATTACCGCTTAATTACAGCGGTAATTGCATTGTAGAAAGCTAAAGAGCCCTGCGATAATTGCACAGTTAATATGGTAAATTGGTAAATCCATTAAAGTTGCAAGAACTGCATTCGGTTATTTTCATATTTTGTTAAAAGAGCCCTCTTGTCTTGTCGGACTCTTTTGCTAAAATATAAAAGTAAACTCATGCAGTTTTTAGACATGCTTTCAAAAAAATTATCGGTAATTTTGATGCACTTCTGCAATTACCTACCCGATACTTATATCGATAGATGAAAACAGTTATCGCCCATCCCTAGCGATAACTTCGACATATCGATATATCGATAACTATCGACATATCGATATATATCGATAACTATCGACATATCGATATATCGATAACTATCGACATATCGATATATCGATAGTATTCGATATATCGATAACTATCGATATATTTTACTTATATCGATAACTATCGATATATCGATAACTATCGATAGTTATCGATTTATCGATATATCGATAGCTATCGATAGGTATCGATATATCGATAGGTATCGATGTATCGATAACCATCGATATTTCGATAATTATCGGCATATCGATAAGTAAAATATATCGATAGGTAAGTACCCGATACTTATCGATAGGTGAAAACAGTTATCGCCCATCCCTAATCAAGACCATTGAGAAATTCTCAGAAATATTGCATTGTTCCTTTGTAGGTTTCCTCAGACATTTTCGAGATATTCACTATTAAGTTTAGTTTTTGCATCACCAGTAGATATGTCTAGTATAGAAGATATTTTCGCCCCTTGAGAGTACCCTTCTCAGACACTCTGTTCTGCAGATATTTGCAATGAAGCTTTGACATCACCAGTAGATGTGTCTCGTCCAGACGTTCTACTTGTTCTTTGTGAATACCCTCATCCGATACTCTTATTTCAAAATATTCGCTTCCACGTCGCCAATAGATATAATCCGAGATATAATCTTGTCCAGAGGATTCATTTTGCCTTTGTGAGTACTACGGTTCTGTCGCTTTTTACCACCCACACGTTAGTGAAGACAGGTATTGCATTGAGATCAACAGTGACCCTCCACTTGACGGAAATACACGTTTTGAAGCACTAGGAATCCAATTCCAACAAAATCTCAATGATGCCGGTCTGTACTCTCATTTCCGGTTAAACAGCTGAACTGATTGGAACCAAGTACACATACCTATTCTTAGGTATAAAGGAAAGAGCTGAATCGCGCATGTGCAAGTGTCTCAAAGTCACAAAAAACTGCAATTTTTGACGTTTTTCCATAGTATACCTAAACTATTGGTTGGAATTGAACCAAATTTGATACATATGTTCTATAGAGATTTTACTAAGAACTGAAATACATTTAGTCAAAATCGCGATTGCGCAAATCATTAAAAATCATAATTTTCTGATTTCATTTCAAAATGGTATAAAAATTTGAAAATATTCGCTCCCTTAAAAGATATGAAGGAAAATAAAAAATTGTCAACTTCACAGTGACTATATTTTCTTAGTTAAAAGCGAGGTTAAAAGAGCTACGGAAAAATTTCACGCCACGGATGATATTAAAGAAACATTCAAGTAAGTAATTCAAAAGAATTGAATATTTAAAAAGATTTAAAAAATAAAAACCGGTTCAAATGATTCAAAAAGTCCAAAAAATTTTAAAACCTTAATCTTTTTGAATCGACATTTAATTTTTGAGTTTTTGATTTTAAAAATAATAGGTATATTTGATCTAGTTATCACAAGATTTGTATATAAAACATTACAAACAATTTAAATAGTAACACAGATAAATTATGAATGTTTAAAATTGAAATATTTTTGGACGGAATAAATAGCATTTTTTTACCTAGCACACAAATTTGTTTGTAGTGAGGGATAATAAGGATTTGATGTAAAGAAAGATATTTTATGAAAACTAACTGACAATTGTAGCCATTCCTAGTAGATCTTAATATGCTATCTTTTTCTCGATCTTTTTAGAATCTACTATACAGACTGTTCCATTAAAAAAATAGGTTAGGTTCGCTTTTTATCTATCCTTGTATACTTATGCTGAGAACGGCTGATTATTTAAAAATCATTATAAAGAAACCTTTGTAACAAACATTTTTCTCTTTTAGCCAAGAAAATATGGGATCATTTTAAGTTTCACAATTTTTTGTGGTTCTTCTGTATCTGCCATTTTCAAAATAAGTATGTTGAAGTTGAAAAGAGATACAGAAAAAATTAACACACCAAGGATGGTATTAAAAGAGATTCAAGCATGTAATTTAAAAAAATTAAAGATTCAAAAAATTAAAAAAACGGTTCAACTGATTCAAAATAAAATTTCAAAAAGATTTTTGAATTTTTAAAATTTGTTTTAATCTTTTTTGTCTTTCTGAGTCAATATTGGCAGATTATTTAACAATCATAAAAAAACAACAAATAGACATTTTTCTGTGTCTCTTTTAACTAAGAAAATATAGGGTCCGATAGGGTCATTCTAAGATTGATAATTTTTCAACTATAGAGTTTCAAATTTTGATTTGCAAATTTAAGTTTGACCCAGAGCGCATAACTCCTATATTACCTCAAAATGCTGATCAAACAATCTTCTACAAATGAAAAATTTCAAGATGGCCCTGTGGCGAACCTTCAAACCATAAGGTATCTGTTGCAACAGAATTCAGTATTCTAGAACAATCCCTCTAAAAATTGTTCAAAACCACAAAAGTCGACACCTCGAATGTTGAGTTTAAAACAGAAACTTTACCTCTTGAAGTAGTATGGGATTTTATCTGTCCCAATATTTTAATGTTGTAAGAGAGGTTTTTTCCATTTATTCAAAAGAATCGAATTTTAAAGGGAAACTAAATGGTGCTTTTGGCATAAGCAGGACATTTTATATCCTCATCGACATATTGGGACATACAGTATAAGAAATTATTTTCAACAAAGTCTAAAGTACTTAAATGTTAATTTTTTTTAAATTTCGATTTTCAAGAAATTTGTAGACTACCATGAGCATAAACAACGTGGCAAAATGTTTCAGAAATCCCCGAGGAAATCCCTGATTAGGGTTTGAAAATAATACCTACCATGTTTAAACAATATCTGATATACAGCGTGAACTAGCTAACTGCGTTGTTAATTACAAGTCAGGGGTTTACAAATTTTGTACAAATAGCCCAGTGTTGTTCTCTTTCAAATGACGTGAAAATTGAATCTCTCAAGTCAATTTGTATCTTTGTCAATTAAAATTACAATTGCGTAAATATCACCATTATTTATTGCCATGAGCTGAGTAAATCCCCCCAACCCACCACCAAAGTGGTTTTTTTGAAAATTGAAATGTGGAAAGATGGCTGAGATCTTTGATGTTGAATGTTTCAATCTAAATGTCCACGTGCACATTTGATAACCGCATGTGTGTGATTCAAAGATGTTAAATTATTTTTCTGAGGCCACATGGATTTTGATCAAAACATGTCAAAATCGTTATTCATGCACCAAGATCATTAGGAAAAAGACTAGGAGCATTATCTCAATGCCCAAGACATGAATTTGATTTTTGTTAACTATAAAATGTATTTTGTAAGATTAAAATAAATTGTCGTTAAAAGTGATTGTAATACTGAGGATCCTTCGATATTTCGTTGCATCGGTTTATTAAGGATGCATATGTGTGCATGATACCTCACGAATGACAGGTCTTAGAGTTTAGAACTTTCCTTTAGGTCTAAGTAAGCAACCTACTGAATTTAAGGGCAAAGGTCACCAAAGTTACAGGGGTCAATGTAAAAGTCCACATAAAATGGGTCCTTGGATACTCCATTGTATTGGTTGATTCATTTACTTCTATGGCAATCCACTTGAATCATAATATTCAGAAAGGACGTCGGAACGGACAAAAATTTTCGCATTACATGCATATTTTGTGGAGGGGACGCCCTGGGTGCATCACTTTATCAATGTCTGGTACAAACTTTCAGATATAAAAGAAATGTTACATGCTTTGCAGGTTAGTAGGAAATTTTGGGGAAATGTGTAGGAAATTGTTTAGAAATGTTGATTTTTGGGAAATGTTGAAAGATTTTTTGATATTTAAGAAATTTTAGAAATAGTTAGGAAAGTATTTTTTAGAAATGTGTGGAAAATTTTGGAAATGTCTAGAAATAGCAATGTAATATATAACTCTCGCCAGGAAAGATTGCCGGTCACAGAACACTTGATCCCGATCTACAATCTCTGTTTTTCGTAAGGTGCTAGCGACTTCCCGGATCGTATCGTGCCAATGTTGAACGAAAAGACTTTTTGTTCAACATTAGCACGATCCTATTCCAGAAGTCGCTCGCATCTTAATAAAAACAAAGATTGTAAATCGACACAAGGTGTGCTGTGACCGGCAATCTTTCCTGGCGAGAGTTATACCTACAGTAACACATTCCTTTGGTAAAAACGTGTAAATAAGCAATATGCTACATATATCCGTAAATTTTTGAAGATATTTATGGATGATATTGGATTTCTCGAGATAATAAAAACAGGTTACCCTGGGGACCTTGGAAGCAGTAAATGGTTGGGAAATGAGCGGACGATTTTCGTTGAAATTGGATTTTATTAGAAAACCTTAGAAATCGTATTTTCTTAGTTTCTAAGAAGTCATTCTTCTGTACTTTTTTGTTACGATCTTAGAGGAATCTCATCGGCAGCTTTGAAGGTGGCTACAGGTAAAGAAAAATTCTCGGCGTAATAAGGACAGGAAAATCATCAATGTATCATTTTTCTTGAATCTCATGTTTGTTCTTTGGACGAACATCAAATATTTTGGCATTTGGCCCTTCAATTTTTAGCTTGATGATAATACAGTATCGACTATTGATTGTGATAAGTAGGTACTCATTAAAGTATCCAGTTCGTTTAGTGCACCCTACAGGAATTGATCCTTGTTTATGGGAAATTGTTTGTTTATCTAATTAGGTAGAATATCTTTTTTATAACTCTTGCCAGGAAAGATTGCCGGTCACAGCACACCTTGTGTTGATCTACAATCTATGTTATTGTTAAGATTCGAGCGACTTCCGGAATAGGATCGTGCCAATGTTGAACGAAAAGTCTTTTTGTTCAACATTGACACAATGCTGTCCCGGAAGTCGCCCACATCTTTAGAAAAACATAGATTATTGCAGACCGGGATCAAGTGTTCTGTGACCGGCAATATTTCCTGGCGAGAGGTTTACATGAATCTGCTTACTACAATAACATATCAGCCTGGAGATTCAGAGAGGGAATGGTGCAAGTATGGGGACTTTCCCTCCTTGGGAAGAATTTATTTTAATAATATTTTGCTTAATAAATAATATACAATGAAATGTTTAATTGTATTGTTTAATGAAATGCTATAATTAAATTGTTTTATTGTTCTAGCAGATTGTTGATCCTTTCCTATTCTTTTAATTGAATTTTTTTTGTAGAATTTCTCAAAAATAAATATGCGCTGATATTTGCGCTTTGTCTCTGCCAGTTAGCAGATTTCAGTACCTGAACGTTTCTCAAAACTTGTTGACGTCTCAGTTGATAGGTATATATGAAGTAGAACGTGGTGAAAAAATCACCAATTTCATCGCAAAAAGGACCAGGTGCAGCGTGAGTCAACGATTGCGCGGAGTAACTTAATGCCTTGAAGATAAGATTTTTTGATAGAGTGCTTTTGTATTATGATATGGTTGAATATTCTCAACCTTTTTAAAATATTTGGAATTATACAGGGTGCGCCCACAAAGTAGGGCGTCAAAATGATACATTTTTTTAAATAGAACGCCCTGTATTTGAATGCATTTTTTAATTCTAAGTGTAATTGTACGTATTTTTTATTATATGGTTAATATCCGAAAAATTTAAAGATAATTCGATTTGTAAGAAGAATTGGGCATTTGCTAACGTCAGTATATTGTCAAAATTATTACTTAAATTTTGATTCTAGGTTTTATATCTTTTATCCTGGGTTAAGTAAAAGTCAAATAAATACATCTACTATGAAACATTAAAAAAATAGCTTACAGGATAGATCCAAAGTTACAAAACTTCATATTAAAAATCTCCCTTTTTCTTTAATGAAACACCCTGTATATTTTTCTGTCTTAGCTGTTCCAAAAACCTTCAACTTTGTGGGCGCACCCTGTTCCAAATATTTTTAAAATGTGGAGAATATTCAACTATATCATAATACAAAAGCATTCTATCGAAAAATCTTATCTTCAAGGCATTAAAGTTACTCCGCGCAATCCAAGGCGCAATCGTTGACTCACCATGAACATTGTCTCTTTGCAGAGAAACTAAATTATGTGTTCTTGTTTTGCCCAGTGTCTGATTAAAGAACTTTAGGATTCTGAAGCGCTAAAAAATTTTGGGCTCCTTGCCTTATTGGCAAAAATAACATACACTAAAAAATACACATTTATAAATTTTTCGGGCCTCGACTAACCAAGAAGCCGCGGGCATCCATTGAACCTAATGTCACCTTCGGATCTCAAGATGTCTGCTAATAAAAGAGATCTGTAATGAGAGGTCGGCTTCCAAGCTTTTTCTATGTATACTTAAATTTCAAAGGGCTCGTTATCTTTTATAATGTGGTTAATGAGTACGAGACCTAGATTTTTTATAATTCAAATAAAGAAGATAAGCATTAATAAGAGCAAAAGGCAGAAGCAGAAGGTAAACATAAAAAAAGGTGCATACGACAACCTTGACATGACATAATCGGTAATCCCGCGTTTCTCTTACATTGTATCAATGTAATGCATTTCATTTCATTTGCAAGCTGCAGTTTTTCGTAATATCATAAGGGCGTCTAATTTCTCCGAAAAAAGTCGCAAAAACACGTCGCTAAGTAATATTTTAACAAGAAGCATAAGTGCTGGGGGCAACAAAAATCTGAGTCGAAGACGAGGTCTTAGATGCTACACCCTGTACATGCATGCGCCCAAATTGAACGTTTTTAAATATGATCAAAACTCTATAGTAAGTGAGATGTAAACATGATACGTTTCTCTAATATGTGACTTATACATGGCATTTAGAAATTAAAGCCAAAGAAAAATCCACATTTTTTAAATTAAAAGTAATTAAGAGTTTATCGAGAGCTAAAATTGAAGGAAATTTGCGTGTGGCGGACATATTCTTGATAACATCTTAGAGAAGAAACGAGAGATTTACATCTTATTTTCCCCTCAACTGTTTGCATTTTCAGCGGTCATGTTACTGGGGGGAAACAAATGATTACTTCACTTTACCATCATTGTTTATCACTCCTCTCTCTTTCCTTTTCTAAGGATCAAATAGATTGATCTTAAAAATGCACAGCAAAAAAATATCCAGATTTTGGCCACAGTTAAAAACATTTTCATTTAATCTTCTTCGTTTAGGTACCATATTTACCCCTTGTGTTAGGTAAAGTTAGTATTGTCTGTATGTGCTCTTTTAATCTAGGTTTCTGCGAATGTTACTGACTTAATCATTGACTTTTAAATACAGGATGGCCCAACGAGAAGTATACAGAGGGCTTTTAGGGTATTAAATTTAGAAATTTCAAAAAATTTTTGAACACGTCAATTTTGTATTCGAGGGAGACAACTTTTGGAATACAAATCACGAACCCAAGTCTTCACCCCTCTACGTAGGGAGCTAAGATTTTAAATGGAATCCTATGGCAAATGGCACATTATTTGAAAGCCAATTTAATCGTGATTACTAATCTGCTTTGATTTTTAAATTCTATTGATCTATTGATTCGCATTTGAAATGGTTTTTTCTAAAAAAAACCAAAACAAATGCGATCTAAGTCACCTTTATTAAAATTTTATTTTGACGCTTTTTGTTTGTTAAACTTAAGTGAACCTGTCAGTTCTTCGAAACGAATCAATAGAATTTAAAAAGCAAAGCAGATTAGTAATCACGATTAAATTGGCTTTCAAATAATGTGCCATTTACCATAGGATTCCATTTAAAATTTTAGGGGTTAAGCTCCCTACGTAGAGGGGTGAAGACTTGGGTTCGTAATTTGCATTCCAAAAGTTGTCCCCCTCGAATACAAAATTGACGCGTTTGAGGATTTTTCGAAATTTCTAAATTTAATACCTTAAAAGCCCTCTGTATACTTCTCGTTGGGCCACTCTGTATTAATTCATGATAAGTGTTAATGTTGATTACTAACGTTCTACCAAGTGAATCATTAAGCTAGCTATTATAGTTTGTATTTCGTGCAATATTTACTGACATGTAAATGCTATGTAATTACAAAATTAATTAATCTATTTTCTTTTTTTTCAGCTGCTACCACAACACATAACAAGACGTCCCAGATGAACTACGAAAATGAAGCACCAAGAAATTCTTATGCCAATACGCTTATTTAAACAAATACGTTTCAAATAATCCTTCTATTTATATAAAATGTTTAAACTAAAAATGCGTGTATACATGTTCCAGTTACTAAAACATTTAGATATTAACAGTAGTCGAAATCCTAGATAAAAAATAATTGCGATCGTAAACAATGTCATCGGTAGACAACAATAGATATATTGTACAAGTGTATGTTGGGGCGTTATCTGCCCTGTACGAGGCACTTTCGGTCGAAGCTAGTAAGCAGACGACTTCTGAAGAAATAGTGTCTTGTATTGTGGAGAGATTATCGCTGAGTGAAAGTCCAGGTGGTACGTATGAGTTGGCAGAGGTCGTCGGTGATGCATTCGGACGCGAGTGCAAGGAAAGAAGTTTGGGACCTTCGGAGAGTCCCGTGCAAGTGATGATGTTGTGGCCAAAAAATAGAATAGATCATTCGTCTTACCGATTCTACCTAAGGGAAAAAGTGAACGATTACGTCTGGTCCGATAATTTCACAATGGATCCCCAGTTGATAAAAGACTATTTCCATCGCTTTCTCTACCAGCCGAAAGATAGAGAATATCCAGATTTGTGCCAGTTACCGGATTTGAACGAACAAACGCTTCTCGACAATTTACGAGCTAGGTTTATGGCTGGTCACATCTACACGTATGTAGGGTCTATTCTTATAGCAGTCAATCCTTTCAAGTTTTATCCAATTTACAATCCAAAGTATGTTAAGCTATATCAAAATCGCAGACTGGGTCCAAATCTACCTCCTCATATTTTTGCCGTTGCCGACACAGCTTACTATTGTATGTTAAAGGACCGTAAAAATCAGTGTATAGTTATAAGTGGAGAAAGTGGGTCCGGTAAAACGGAAAGCACAAACTTCTTATTACATCACTTGACGGCTCTTAGTCAAAAGGGTTCGCACGGTAGTGGTGTCGAACAAACTATTCTAAGTGCCGGTCCGGTTTTGGAGGCGTTCGGTAATGCGAAAACTGCTCACAACAATAATTCCAGTCGATTCGGAAAATTCATTCAAGTTAATTACAAAGAAAACGGGATGGTACACGGAGCCGTTGTCCAAAAGTATTTATTAGAGAAATCGAGAATCTGTTCGCAGGGATACAATGAACGCAATTATCACGTGTTTTACTATCTACTCGAAGGAGCAAACGAACAGGAACGTAAGATTCTGCACTTAAAACCTGCAGACCAATACAACTACCTTAACAAAAGCGGATGTTTAGCTCTCGACAACGTAGATGAAAGTTACGAGTTTTCCAGGCTCAAGCAGTCAATGGAAATGGTCGGGTTTACCGCCGAAAAACAAAGGCGCTTGTTTTCGGTTCTGTCGGCTGTCCTTTTACTTGGCAATGTACAATTTCAACCACGTAAAGCGGCTTATCATCACGACGAAGCGGTCGGCGTTAAAAATCCGGAAGTAGTGCTTTTGATTTCGGAACTTTTGCGTGTAAAACAGGAGACTTTACTGCAGGCGTTGACCTCGAAAAGGGCGAGAGCATCGGGTGAAACTTTAGTTATTAATTATCGATTGCCCGAGGCGATAGCCAGTCGCGATGCGATGGCTAAATGTTTGTACGGGGCCTTGTTCGATTGGATTGTACTGCAAGTGAATCACGCGCTGCTCTCCAAGAAGGACAGTTTACGGGAACATCAGGGAAATTCCATAGGGGTCTTGGATATATTCGGTTTTGAGGATTTCGGGTTGTGTAATAGCTTCGAACAGTTATGCATAAATTACGCCAACGAACATTTACAATATTATTTTAACCAGCATGTATTTAAATACGAGCAAGAGGAATATAAGAGAGAAGGCATACGATGGAATAATATTGACTTTATGGATAATACTGGGTGTCTGCAGTTAATTGAAGGGAAGCCTAATGGAGTATTATGTATACTAGATGATCAGTGCAAGTAAGTAATTTTTTTTAAAGAAAAAATTCTCCTTTTGAGAAGTATGTCATTTAATTTTGGATTTTGCTTCTGTTTTATTTAAAGACTATGAATAGGAACACAAACACAACATTCGGTTGATAAAAGATGGGAAGTAGTTTAATCTCATGACTAGATAAAGGCTTCCTGACATTTTTTCTTGGTAATTAAAATAGAACTATTATTTTTAAATTATTTATTTTAAAGACAATAGGTATCAGATTACTTTATTAAGTAATAAACTAATTAGGATTGATTGATACTTCTTTCTTAATCTACAGTAGGTATGCATTCTGTATATACTGAGTTTTCAATTTACATTGGACATTATCGAGTTTGAGACAGGAGAACATTGTTGTAGATCTGTAGTTCATTTTCCAAAGCAGCATGACTCATGAGGTCTTGTTATCTTGAAAACTTGTTACATTATGTTATAATGTAATATATTATACCTACAGTGCGCGCTACAGTGTGTTCAAGATAAGAATGAAAAGTATGGGGAAATCGGAAACCATAAGAGATACACAGTTGGTTAAAGTAAAAAAAGTTGTGTATTTTAGTACTTAGTAAAATGATGTTTTAAAAATTCGAAAATTCCGATCAGTTCTGAAGATATTTGAAAAAAAAACTGAAATTAACTATATTCGTTCCCATTAGCTTTCTAGCTCGAGGCTTCCTCAAACTGAATACGTTATAAGTAAGCTTAGCTCATCGTATTATCTGTTATATATTAATATACCTTTAAATTACTTATTCATTTTCATAAAAACCGACACAAATTTAACAAAGTAAGTCAAATTCACGATCACAACACCAGAGGATCAAATCTCAATTCCACAACATCAACATTCATTTTATAAAAAATCTTCATTTTACACAGGTTCAGTATTACTTATTATTTTAATAATCTACCTGAAACTCTAAAAAAAATGAACCACCTCCTTTTCAAAAATAGTACGAAAAAGATATTACTATATATATCTCTAATAACTCTAATCAAAACTGGATGCACCTGAGTTGTTTGTCCACAAATTTAATACTGTCCATATATACATATACGTATTATGTTTGTGATTTGACGTTTTGGTAATTATTACAATTTTTTGAATTAAAAGATTATTATTATCAAACTTTTTTTTCTCCGTCGGTTTCTTCAAGGAGGAGACACCTTAATTTGTTGGTTCGCATTTACAAGTTGCGCAATATATGAAAATGTTGGTTGCATATGCTGCAGGATATACCTATTCGGCGATCATTACATTTGTTAAAGACTGTACATGTATATACAATGTGTCCAAAATAAGGATGTCTATCATGGGGATTTCCATCACTTTTTCATTTTCTAGAAAATTTGTGCGAGGTAGTATCGCACGATTAGAACGTTGTGCGCCAGTGCATTATCCTGTTCAAACCAACAGTATGTACTTTTTTTTACGGTCCCTATAAATGGATAAAGATGATGATTATTTTTCTGAAACGAAACATTATATTGAAATCCTCGTCAACGGTGTCTTGTAGAGCTCAAAAAGTGGCAATGAGAAAGTGTTTTCCTTTTTTTGTATCTCTTTAAATAGCATCAGAAAAAAATTAAAAACCAAATTTCAGTTTTTTTTTGCACATTTTCAGAATACTAATAATAATAAATTTTTGTTATTCATCGATAAGTGACCATGTAGAGTAGATCAAAAACAATTACAATACAGGCACATTATTAACAATGAAACATTATTTAGGATTCTAACATTGATTAAAAATTCAACAATAATCAATAACGCATTTTAAAGCTTCCATTTATAGGTGGTGATAAATACAGTTGTACTCGCAGTTGTAATAGTGTAGCCACTGTGTAAAATAATAAGAGGTGTATGGACTCTATTTTTAGTACAAAGACAAAAGGCGTTTTTTCGCGTTGACCAGTTCAAATGACCATTGAACGTGGTCAAGAATTTCCTGTTTTCGCGCTCCCGGTCAAAGAATTTCTAGCCTCTACAAGGGTCTCGCAAGATTTACCCGTTCATAACCAGGTTCCGCCGCTTGAAGGCGAGCGGTTATTTTTGCAATTATGTTTAAAATTACTTTATTGGATGATGAAACTAATAAAGCATATACCCATACAAGTTGATAACTTTGTATGCAATCATCAGAGTACAAGCCAGACTAGAAATGTTCTTCTCTCTGCATCAGTAAGGTCGTGACCGCTTCATGCTGAGAGTTCTCAAATAATCGCTACATACTACTACGCCCACCAAGATCATCGTCACTTAATGCAGCAATTATGTACCCAAGATATTCTGCGTTTATCTTATGTACTGCGAATTGTGGTTATGTTAAATGACCAACAACTCAAAACTGTTTTCGCGCTTTGTTCAAATGACCGTGAATTTGTATTGACCAAATCATAACCAAGCGTCACGCAGAATTGTTCAACTAGGTCAACGCGAAAAAACGCCTATAGTGAATCTAGTTTACACATGTAAAAAAACGGCAAACTTCAGCTCAGTGTATCACACTTCAACTAGTGAAATCTTATGGAGTTTTCTTACGAAAATGAGGAGTCTATGCAACAAAACCTAAAATACAAAGACAAAGTACTACCCGAGGTACTACCGCATGACGTCATCATCCGGCAGCACCCAAGAAACGTTGTATTACGGGATTTGTGTAGTTATTCATGTTTAAAATCGATTTAATGTAGTTTTGGCGATCAATATGCAGATCCAACTTTACAAAAAATAACAGCACAAATTTATAAAAAAAACAAAAACAATTTAAATGGTTAATTCTGTCCATGGTGAAAGAGCGATTCTGACAAAATACACTCGCACATACATGTCTATGCATTTTAGTCTAGATTATTATCTGCCGTCTATTTTGTGCATTCTCAGATAGCAAGATGTACTGTCAATAAATTATATCAGGTAATGCATCATTCAATTATCATTGAATTTTTCTACAGCTCGAAATTAGATAGCGAAGTCTACATTCATTTTAAAGTACTGAGTTTTCTCTTATTACCCTTACTTAACCGCCCATTTTTTTTGCCACAGTAATTTTCAATTAGTGTATTGGAAATACTACTCAGTAAAATATCAACAATGGTTTTTACGGAGTCTGTATTACAGCCTTCAAAGTATATTAGATGTTCAGTTTAACAAGAAATTTGAAAATTAAGATGGACAAAAATGATCTTTGAGAAAAAACATTTAAAAATTCATGTTCAAAGTCATTAAGTACCTTTTGAAATATAATTATGAAATTACAACTATTTGTACTACTGGATCTCGAGAATAATGAAGGCCACCTAGATTTCAATTATTTATGAGGTTAAAGTTATCTTCAACAATAAGTTCCTTCATTGTGTATTAGGGAATCTTTACAATATTCGCATTTTAATTTCTTTAAACCGATGTGACTACAATAATCCGCTAAATAGGTAATCACAGACATTTCGCCTTTTAGTTCGTCTATTTAATAATAATAATAAAACATTAGAACGTTCTCATTTCAAATTATTTCACATATTTTCGAGATTGAAAAATTTTTTTTGAAACTGGGTTTTGAGTGAGGCCGCCATCTTGAATTTTTTTAAATGGCAACATTGGTCATTTGATACACGTCATTAGAAAGCTCTTTCTTACTACCTTAAACATGTATATGGTGTTAAATATTAAATACTTTTTTAAGCAACGTAAGGAAATACTACATACAAATACTTTAAAAAATATTTAAATTTTTTGAAAAGTATTTAAATACCATAAAAGGATTCTAAAACTTCAAATAAGTGACCCAAACCCTGTAGTTATGGTTTGTTTCATTCTATCTATTGTATTACATGAAAAATAAGTTTTTTCTCCATTATTTTATAATGGGCTCATCCCGCCTTCATTTTTTATTTCTGATCCACAAAGTACATTAAAAATAAAAAGACCCGTGTGTCCTCAATTTTTATTTGCGAGTAAAACAAACCCAAAATAAATTATTGAAAAGCTGTGTTTTTAGTCCGAATTCGAAACGCTTCAGACTAAATACGTCACAAACCTACAACCAATCACGTAGAAGTGAGCTGGCAACCTTACGCGAGGGTCTGACGTTTGTCACATTTGACGTTTTGAGAGGGATGTTTAACTGCATCTAGCACGAAAGTGACAAGTGCCTGTGACAGATGACGCAAGTTATAAATGCCATCCTCCTGCAATATTGCCAAGTCGTTATGTCAGCTGATTGGTCGGGCTTATTACGTTACAGAGCCCGCCACAATCATATCGTTTTGAATAAACCTTTAAAACCGCACATGTTCATTATTTTTTTACTAATCAGCCTCTATGTTTAAATAAACTTTTACTGTCCAAAAAAATGTTTTATGGTTTCAGGTACACGCTTATTCAATTAGAACTGCGGAATTCAACTACACTGTAAACCCCCATTTAACACCATACATATTTGTGGTAATAAGAAAGAGAAAAAATAAGGTTTCTAATCACTTGTAGCATGACCCATGTTGACATTAAAAAAATTCAAGATGGCGGTCGCACTCAAACACTGTATATAAGGAAATGTTTTAACCTCAAAATTTGCGAAATAATTTCAAATGGAGACGTTCTAACGGTTTTAGCATGACAGCTTTGGCTGCATCTTTAATGGCGGACTCTGTATAAATTGATGACTGGGAAAGAAAAGATATTTTATGGTTATGTTATTGTACAATTCATCGACATATAATAAATGCGCGTGTTAATGATAAGTGTGGATACTGCAGGTGATAGAGAAGGGAAAACTAAGAGAGTAAGCTGTCTCTTACGGTTACACATCTAATTGGTTTTTTCAATTTAATTTGAATGGGATCACGATCGCTTCTGTTGAAAAAAACAATCAGATGTGTAACCATAAGAGACAGCTTGCCCTCTTAGTTTTCCCTCCTCTCTCACCTGCAGTGTCCATGCTTAGCATTGGCACACGCAGTCCATTTATTATTTGTCGATGGTAGGTACAACTGAACAAAACTGATAAGATTGTTAGTACTGAAAACTGCAACAAAAAAATTGCTGTAAACCCTTTCTACTTGTTGCAATGCATATTGCTGAAATAAAAATTGCGGCAATTTTTATTGCATGTGAACAGGATTTAAGAAAATACCAACTTTATGCAACACCTCATTGCAACCACAACAATGTAGCTTTTGGGCAGGTTCTGCAAATAATTTGTGAAATTTTGAATTTGAACTGCGGTTGTGCCTGCCCATGTCTGATCCGAAATCTCACCGCTGCACTGTATAGATGTACAAACCCTGTTATGGTTTTGTAGGATATGCAATAAGAAAAAAGTTTCCCAAATGTTTACATTTAAGCAAAACCAATTGCATCAGGGAAATTGAAAAGCTCAATGCTTTGATGTAGGGGAACTGAGTTTTGAGTTCTTCCTTTATTAGTTATCATTTCCAACAAGAGGCAGTGTATGAAGGTCTTGCACGAGATTTTAATCCAGTAACTTTCCAAAAATCTGGTTCATTTATCAATTTTGTTTAACGTTGGAAAGGGGAGGGGTTCATAACAGCGAATATCTTGAGAATTTATGAAAATGGGGGGATAGTAATATGAAATCAGCACTCATTGGTTGGGAACTATGTGCTTTAAAAGTTTTTGTTCTTAAATGAAAAATATTAATTATGCAGTTTTTATAGCAGAAGTCATATAAATCATTATACAATTTCTGAAAATTTCGAATTTAATTTAGGCGTTAGAGCCTAGGTTCTCACATCGTTTTCATGGAAACAATATTGTTTTCGGTTCTGAACTGCATTTTATTTCGTGCTCCGTGTCCTTTTATTTAATGGGAATGACAGATGCGCAATCATTTGTTTCACTTTATTTACCCATGCCGTTAAAGTGATCACTTTATCTACCCCTACAATTAAAAAGACACTAATTCAAACTTATTAAAATGTCAATCTAACATCTGCTATAAAATAAACTAATTTCATGCATGATTCTAAGGTTGTTAATAAGCTATGTATTTATTTTTTTAGTTATCTATATCATTTTTTGTTTTAGTTTTCCAGGTGCATCGAACGAAACTCTCCTACAGAAATTTAACTCTGTTCACAAAGACAATAACTGGTACCAGAAACCACAGAAAAGGGAAGCGGCATTTATCGTGGTTCATTATGCTGGCAAAGTAAAATATCAAGTGACCGAAATGCGGGAGAAAAATTTAGATTTAATGCGACAAGATATCGTAAGTGTTCTTAAGAACAGCTCTATGGCGTTCGTTCGAGAGCTGGTTGGAGCCGATCCCGTTGCCGTTTTTCGTTGGGCTATTGTTAGAGCATTTTTTCGTGCCTATTTTGCGTTTCATGAAGCTGGAAGGAAGCATAGGCAAAATCGCGTCGATGGAAATAAAAATAATGTACAGCAGCGTTATCGAAATCATGCACCGAATGAAAATCTTATCAGGTATCGACCCATTTCTTTTACTATTTTTATTCATTATTTATTCCCAAATTTTTGAAATGTGGGAATAAATAAAATATCCTGTTAGAATTCAGTTAAGTGCTTATTCTTTGACAACGGACCTCATAATTATTGTGCTTCATCAAGCAACTGTAAGACAAAATTTTATTAATTTAGTGATTAAAATCAATATATCAGTTTTGTCATACAGTTCTCTAATCGTTAAGTTATGTAACTTATACATTATGTTCATTCGTAGCCATCTAGTGACAGTATCTGCTGTGAACCTCACGGTAAACAGAATTGCGTAAGTGATTAACAGTTGAATCTTTTACCGATGTTAATCACTAGTTCCTCATATCATTTATTAGTTTATTCTACAAACTTTCAAACTAAGAACGTAGACAACTTGTGTTTTCGTGTCTACATACAAATCAGAGAAATATCATACATCTTGCATGGTTGTTATTTACCCCTTGTCGATTTTTATGCATGAAATAACTGTTGTGTATTATTCTAACAAAAATCAGTATCACTCGTAAGTTAGTAACACTCAAATTAATAAATATTCGCAGCAAGCAACGAAATACTGTAACTTATAACCGACTGGGCCGTAACAACGAATGCGAAGTTCCTAACAGTAATAATAATAACAATAATAGATTATCGTGGCCCCAGTTCTATCAACGAAACAGAAATAATATCGGCACAGGTTATAATAAGTCTTACGAAGACGATCGAAGGCGAAAAGATTCCTCCGGAGGTAGTCCTCATGCAGCTGCTCTTGAAAGGGTTCTTTGTCCCGATGAAGCGAGAGTTATGCAAAGAGCTAATCAAATTGTGATGTATGTATTTATTTTATTACCATAGACTTCAGGTGATGGGCTTTCTGGTGGTGGTGGTGGTTGTTAATCACAATGAAATGAAAGTAGATATTTGCATAAGAATTACAAAATTTTTAGGGTTTCATTGTAGCCAGAATAAAAAATATTATAAGAACTGTCTAAAAAGAATTCAATCTTTCAGTTTCCAGTAAATACAGAATATTTCAAAACATTTAGCTTAAACATTAAAAACCAGGAAAATCTATTGAAACTTGTGTTTCAACAACAAAGTCATCACGATACAACAGTTGATTGTTGATGACAATAGCTTTCAGTTGTCAAAATATCTTGAAGAAATTTGTTTCTTATGTTTTAGGCGTTTGTACAGATTCATTTGTAATAATTACCCTTTCCCTATTAAATTAAACATCTTTCGAGTTTCAAAATAAAGTAAAATGTTGCATGTTTTATGTAGTGGGTAAAAACAAAGTAGATAATGTCACTGCTATTTAATGATTGGCTCTCAACACTGTTGATGCTACAAATAAATTGTTAAATTCTTATAACAGTATAAAGACAGTAGCCATATGCTCCATGTCCGCCATGTTCTTTCCTAATTTTTCATGGAACTGGCCATTAGGAAACACTATTGTATGACAACACGGTCTCTATAGAGCGACTATCAACTGGGATAACTAACAGCGCCATCTGCATTGTGGATCTATTTATCAGCGTCACATGCAATTAAGATAGGACGACAAAAAATTGCAGTCAAAAGTAAAATAAATAGTACTTTATTTGCGATGTTTATTTAACCAAAAGCTTCCAACGATTTAATTTAATGAGAAGTAATTGAGATATTGAATATTGATGCTCAGGTGTAAATTTATATTGATGTTATTCATTCTAGTACATAGCTTGTGTCGGAGACAGAAGAAATGAATTCTGGTTAAAAACCACTAATATAGAATTATCAAGTGCTTCTTTGCTGGGGTATTATACTCCTGATGCTATGTTTGCCCTAAAAGCGTTTAGTGGTAATACTCATTGTGAGAAATAACCTTCGAACTTAGAGTATGGAATACTTCCCAGGAAAGGAAAGTTTGACTATCTTTTCCAAAAAAGTTGGTATCAGTACAGAAGAATTCTGTTACCTTTCCCCAAAGCAAAGATCGTACTACACTAGATAGACAATGCCTGTGTACATTTTACTCGCTCTGAATTTGTCTTTCAGAATAAGTCCACAGAGGCAATTTTTTTATCAATACAGACTACGAAGACGTGCGGAATGGTAAAGCACAGTTATAGAATCAAAATATATATTAATGAAGTGCAGCAAATCTAAAAAAAAATCATCCTGAATTCAATCTGTACAGAATTCTGAAGAACGTAATTCGTGATGTTTATCAAAAGCCATGAGCCCCAGAGTTAAGAAAAACTACAACCTACCTTAATCTACAGTGATATTCATTAAGAAGTAGACATAGGTATATTTACGTGTATTGTTTTTCCCTGTGTCAACTTTTAAATGACAAAATTCCTTCTCAAGGGCGCCTAATTTTATGCAACCAAAATAAGTCTAAAACAAACAAAGATCTAGCTAACTGTATAAAAAGTTGATATTGGTATAGTGCTTAAGGAGCGTAGGATATTTATTTTCTGTGAAGCCAAAGCAACAATTAGCTACAAATACTTACTCTTTTTATTCAAGCTGTACGTCTTATGGTTAGGAGTGAAATATGAAAACATTGTGTACCGATTGTTGCAATACCAATAGTTCTTTGGGGAGTAGTTTCTTGTAGTTTTCTTGATGTTCAGTTTTTATGTGTATAGGGTGTTAATAATGATATTTGGGTGTTATTGCAATATTAGTGGTAAAATCAGATTAATTACCACAAAAAGGTGGATGCGGTCGATTCCACGATAGCGCGTGTGCTCACGTAAATCCGTAAAGGGGGGGACTGAAGGGTTAATATGACAGCTAGATCTTTATTTGTTTTAAGAAGGTATTTTGGTTGTATAAAATCAGCCGGCCTTCAGAAGAGATTTTGTCATTTAAAAGTAGACATAGGCAAAAACAATATACGTAAATCCCTCTGTTTACTTCTTAATAAATATCACAGTATACAGAGTAGTGCGTGGGTGGAAGATTGCGAATTTATTAACGCACATATTTAAAATTCACTGTCGGAGTATGTTGAAGGCTTATAACCTAAAAATAATTTGACCAGGGTAATTTATATCAAACTTGCATTTTTAAAAATAGAACGTTCTGTATATTACTGCATATTTTAATTCATTAATCAATTTTAGTGTGACCTGTACGACAGGAAAATAGATCAGGCATCTTAAAGTTACAAACTGTGTTAATCTGCAGTAAATTAAAATTGCAAGGCTGACCAAAAAACCCAATAAAATGGGATTTTCAAAATGTAATCATTAATTGCAACATTATTGTTTTATGTAGTTTTTCTTTTGGTCAACCAAATAAAAAAGACACCATCTTCAGATTTAATCAATAAGTGAGAATATGCCTAGAAATTCCATTGTGACCGGATATCAGAATCTCGAATTTAAAATCAACACAGAATTCATTCGGAGAGGCCAACATCAATATCTTCAAAAAAATGTTGAAGTATGTACTTTAAACGCAAAATTAAAAACGACATTATAAAATGTATTAATATTATAAAAATGTCTGAAGGCAAATTTCTTTTGATTTAATATAGGTAGTTAGCTACTAATTTTAAAATATTATTATTAATTTAAAATCCCAAAATGTGTAATTTTTTACATTTATTTATTCGCTCAAAAGATATTAACATATCATTGATTGCATCATACCCAAAATGTGTAAGCAAACACTTGTCTGCACTTTGAAATTAAGCAATTAAAGTTGCTGTGGTTTCTGTTTTATCAGTAAAACCAGTAAAAGATGAATTACATACATACAGGGTGTCAATTTTAAAACTTGCAGTCGGCCAAATTTTCCAAACTACAGAAGATATCGAAAATTGCGCAAAACCGTTTCGGGGGTATCGAGGGGGAACCCTTCCTTAACTCCCTAGCCCTCCCCCTCTTCAAAAATCCTAAATGGCAACTCCATACTTGTGACACATCGTTGGAAACCTACTAAAAAATGCTTTCCAGCTGGTACCAATAAACTCAATATTCATTAAGACAATTTAACAAAAATTTAATAATAAACAAATAAAAATTAAGCCATGTCTATGTTCAAGATTTGGTCGCTAAATTCGAAGAAACGGGATCTGTTATCAACCTGGTTATCAATAAAAAAAAAAGCAATCAAGGTTGGTTAATGAAGCAGCTCAGGTTGAAGTTCTTGGCCAATTTGCCATAAATCCCTCAATGTCAACGTTTAGTTTTTTTTGTTAATTAAAAATTTTTGTTAAATTGTCTTAATGAATATTGACTGCAAGTTTTAAAATTGACACCCAGTATACTAGCGAAGGGGGGCATGGATATGATGAATTGCTGACCTGGGCTACGATAATAGCCACTCCTTGAAACCTTTTATGAAATTTTAAACTGGCGTGCTTGAGCTAAAATGAAAGGGCATTGTGTTATAAATCGAATGTCCAAGTTTATTTTGAAAGTATACAAATCTTCCATTCTTTTCAACTTCAAAGACAATTACGAGATTTCAAAATATAAACATTGGTAAAGTTAAATTTCTAAAAATGATATATACCGGATCAATTCCAAATTTAAAAAAACAAAATCCATTTTTAAATAAAAATCATAGGAAATTACAAAAAAAAATTTATATTAAAATATTCTGATATTGATAATAGTTTTATTCATTAATTTCTAAAAACGAGTTCTAAATTTTGTCGATGAACTGTTGTATTTTGAATTCCATTTTTAAATGTAGAACTGCCAATCAATAAAGACATTTATTATTATTATTAAAATAAAAGAACCAGTAGGTTGGATGAAATTCATTGAAAATTTCTAAAATTTGAATATTTCTAATATGAATTTCAAATTCTGGAAAAAGGTATATCAAACAGAAATTAGTTTGTAGAGGGGCCCAAAAGTCTCAAAATGACTCTTTTTTTTTAATTTTTTCTCTGCGACCATAAATCAAAACAATGTAACTAATGGTTTTACCTTTCAGTATACATTTTCTGATTTTTTAAATTTTTTTTTGAAAATTTTCGTCTTGTACGAAAACTGTTAGAAAAGACAAGATTCGTTTTGGATCGGTTATTTTATAATGGAAAAATACTTCCAAAATCGTCACAATAAGAAACCTCATTCAAGGGGTTTGCCATCTTTCAGAAATTTTTTTCATAATCGGTATCAAAAAACCTAGGTAAGCTGATATTTCTGATTTTCTGTGTTATGTCAATTAAAGAAGAAAAAAATTTTGGTACTTTTGGGGATTTAGATACCAAGTGAAACATTTCTGACCGTTGGTTTAGTTTCCACCCAATTTTTTGTTTGACATACTTCGTGTAACACCCTGTGTAGGCTTTGTGTGTTCCCCAAAGCTTTGTTATTAATGGTGAGGTTTAAATAGAAGCATTATCTTTCTGTGCAGGCAGATTAATAAAATAACACAACATATCTTATTTATTTTTATAATAGCGTCATTTATACAGGCTGTATCAAAAGACAAATAAAGGTGTTTCTTACATTATTCGGAAATAATTGCTGTTTTTTCTAATGAAAAAAAAAATGTAAATTGTATGTTTACTGTTGTTAACCTGGGTATGTCTTCTTCTGTTGTTAATTATAAATTCTATTGTGGTTACACAAGGTATTTAACTCTATTGAAGCATGGGTGTTTTGCATGTCTGTTGGCTCTCCGTTATTTCATCTTACAACTTTCATTTGTTTCCTTTTCTTTAGGAAGAACAAGTCGTTTAGACCGCGCGAACGAGGAAAAAAAGGATTGAAAAACTTGCAGTCTGTTAAAACATTAGCGGGACGAACCGGTATCACTGCGGCCAATCAAAGCCAGTTGGGTAAAGCGAGAAAACAACCTTTAACTGTAGCTGCCCAATTTCAACAGTCGCTTCACTCGCTCATGGACACACTTAATCAAGCGAATCCTTTCTTCATACGATGCATCAAGTCCAACGGTAACAAGATACCGAACGAGTTCGATGAAGAAACTGTACAGAGGCAATTGCGGTATACAGGAATGCTGGAAACCGTTAGAATTCGGCAAGCCGGCTTTAACGTTAGACTAACGTACGATGAATTTATACAATTGTATAGGATTTTATTACCGAAAGGCTTATTAAGTTCGCAAAATGACGTTAGAAACTTTTTGCTCACTTTAAATTTAAACAGAGATAACTATCAGTTAGGCACCACAAAAGTATTCTTGAGAGAATCGGAAAAGTATAAATTAGACTGCAAGCTGCATCAGCAAATTATGGCCAGCATTGTTACATTACAACGATGGTTTAGAGCGTGTTTGGAAAGGCGACGATTTTTGAGGATACGAAACGCAGTCGTCACGATACAGTCGTATTGTAGGATGTATTTAGTTCAAAGATACGTTAAAATGCAAATGGCCGCGTTAAAAATACAAAAGGTCTGGAGGGGTTATAAAGCAAGGTCGTGGATGCAAAAACTTCAAACTGCAATTGTTATCTTCCAAGCACACATACGGGGATTTGTAGCTCGGAAGGCGTATACACATCTTAAGGAACTATCGAAAAACAAAAAACCGGTAAGTAGAATTATACAGTAGATAGAACTAATAAAAGTTATGTTAAACATGAGGGAAATAACGCAAGGTTAGGTTATTAGTTAGTGGTTCCCATGAGGGTTGGAACTTTTTTTTATTTTGTTAAAGCTTTCCCCGACGTGTTGGTCTGTAAATTTGTTACTCTGGCTGGAATGTGCGGGTAACCCATATTTGCCTGACATTATTGCCAGCAAGTTAGCTTGGCTTTTGGATACAATCTGGAACTAATCCAGAATTCACCTCCTAAGTGATTTTAATCATATCTGGGTTTTCCCAATAGTTATCACAGTTATCAATTATCACTAATACAATCAAGGTACAGAACTGGAATATACATTTTGACTACAGCGACGACCCAGCGACTGTTCTTTGTTTGCTATAGAACACCATCCACCTATTACGGTTGGTATTTAGAAGGGCGTGTGAGATTGTCGCTCTCTAGTCCGGGAAATAGAGACTGAAAATGCAAAACGAGAAGTAGTTACAATTTTTTTGCATGTCATCGAAGAATATCTGGTGGTTAAGAATCCAAGTTTTCAACCTCCCACCCCTTGTGCTTCCCCGTACCACCCTTAAAACCAAAGAAATTTGGTTGGTTTTTAAGTTTTTCAATCATATCTTTTTTTAGGTTCACTTTACAAAGAAATGTTGTTATCAGAAATTGCAGACTATAAAATTCTACACAACTTTGATATACACTACTTTTTCGTGAAATGTTTATTAAAAACGGTATAGGGCTTCAGAGTTGCTTATATTTTTAAGAATTCTAAAATTTGTATGTAGATGTTTTAACCAAATTTTATACTTTATCTCTATAATTAAGAGTTTTATGAGAAAATATCTTGAACTTATTGTGGTATAAATCCCCCTACGCTGCATCCTTACCAAAGGGGATAATATACCTTTGAAAAAAAAAAATTATCTCATTTTAGTTCAGCTTCATCCTTCAAATCTTTTATCACCCCCCCACCCCCAACCGCGATAGGAATAGATATTTAAAGAGGAATAGAAAACATGTGCAATAAGCGTTGTACTCTCTGACTAACTTAACAATCCCCACAAGAGGGTTTAAATATCTATTCCCTACCACGCGGGGGGGGGGGGGGAAACTGAACTGAAGGGAGACCATTTTTTAATTTTCAAAAGTATATTAGAAAGCGCTACAATCTCACAATAATTCAAATATCCTCACTAGCAAGGATTGCAAGTTTCATTATTTTGCATCCCCTTTGGTAAAGGTGCAGGGTAGAGGGATTTATACCACAATAAATTCAAGATATTTTCTCATAAAACTCTTAATTATAGAGATAAAGTATGAAATTTGGTTAAAACATCTACATAGAAATTTCAGAATTCTTAAAAATATAACCAACTCTCGAGCTCCATATCTTTTTTAATACACATTTCACAAAAAAGTAGTGCATATCAAAGTTGTGTAGAATTTTTTGGTCTACAATTTCTGATAACAATATTATTTTCTAAAGTGAACCATTAAAAAGACATGATTGAAAAACTAAGAAACCAACCAAATTTCAGGGGTTTTGGGGGTGATACGGGGGAAGCACAAGGAGTGGGAGGTCGAAAACTTAGATTCTTAACCATCAGATGACTGTCTATGACATGCAAAAGAAATTGGAACTACTTCTCATTTTGCAAGTTAAAACCCTCTATTCCCTGGACTACTATTTTTGATGAACAGGCCTGTTTCAGGTGAACAGATCCCTGCTTCGTGTGTGAATTCCATGCCTACCTAATTTTTGTTATCCGTTTTATTACTTATTTTAAAAAAAAACAATTGGAAAGCAGAAGATTATTATTCTCATTCAATCTCGGACCCAGAATTTTTCCACAGTCGAGTGCCGGAATACCTACTGACAAAAAGAGACAAGTAGGGTGTCAATTTCCGACTAAACGTATTTTTCCTAGGTTAGTTGACCACATTTCAAAGCAATATAGATAAAAAAAATAAAAAATGAAAAAAAATTGACTATCTTGACAAGTGGGGGGGGGGGGGGGGCTTTGGGTTTGTTGTTTTAATTTGTGTAGGTAACATTAAACACCATTCTGTTTAATTTTCATGTCATTCTGTTTGTTGTTCCTTGGCATTTGAAGAGGACAAAATGCTCCCTCTCCTCTACCGACTTTCTAGTGCAATGGTAGAGCGTTGGGCTATAAAGCTGGACGTCGGGTGTTCGAACCTGGACCCTAAATTTTAATTCCTAATTTTCCTTTTATCAATTGCAAACTGCACACAGACAAGGCTCAACATTTTTGTCTACTCCAACTTGACTTGTTACAATAGGGTGACAGGGTATTTACGCAAAATCAGACAAATTTGCCTTTGTTTTGGACCCAGTCTCAGTGCAGCTTCCGGAACCAGAACAATAGGTTTTATTCAGGATTTTTTATGGATGTGATACAAAGGAGGTGAATTCAATTGCGCCACAAACCTTTTTGTAGTAGGTTTTTTTATTGGGCTTAGCAATCAGTTGTTTTGAATAGTTTACCCAACTTGGATACGGTTATTCTCATAATACTTTTGGATGGTAGTATTGATTGCGTCCTGATTTTTTTTCTCAAGCGTTTTTTGACTGCAATTATAAAATGCACATGATCTTAAACTAGACCAACCATAACGTTGCAAAATGTACATGTTTTGTATATAAAATTTGATTGAAAAATGGAAAGAATTCAAAACCCTACTTCCCAAAATGTGGGTAGCTATTTTGTATTAAACGATAATTCAAATTTTCAGGCAATTAAGACGTTACCTATGAGACTGAAAATAGAACATAGTGGTAGTACAGATGAAGCATTTAATAGTAAAGAATCTAGTCAAGAGGAACTAGAAATAGATAGGTTATATCCGGAGCAACGTTTGCAGGATTCGGATGAGTAAGTATTGCACTAGGTTGAGTTGAGGTTACATTCACTTTATAATCGTAGGAGTAGTGGAATACAAGAAGATGGTGAGTTAGAGTCGGTTCAAGCGAAACAAAGTTTAAGATCTACTCAATCGCTGCCAACCGTTGCCACAGTTAAGACACCTCACATCTGCATTCTTCAGTATCCTCAAAATAATAGGTAAGAGTTCTTTATTCTTTATTTTTTTAACAAAAAAGTAACACACTCTTTCTTTAGGCTGGAATATATAAAGCAAGAAGGTGTGAAGGATACTATTTCTTTAAAACCAAAAGTTAGTAAAGCACACAAGACAATCGATCTGTCCGATTTAGATTATTTACCTCAACGAAAAGGCAGTGGCGATTCATTGGATTCTCAAAGAAGTTTAGAATCTCAACAAAGTTCCGATTCACATTCCAGTGTAACAGTTAGGGAAGCAAAAACTAATAAGCACATCTCGCACGACGTGTCAATCTTACAGAAACAGGAACAGTGGTCTTCTACAAGTACGCGTAGCGAAACCGATTCCGAATGTGGTATTACACAATCGGCTCCCCCGGTTATCGGCGATAGACATTCCGTTTATGACGAATTTCCAGAAAACGAAGACGTATGGCACAAACGAAGTGATTATGAATCTCCGCATAAAATGCAATTGTCCAGGTCTTCCCCGAAGTATCGCCTGATCTCTGATGTAATGAGCCGTTCGCATACAGCTCTGAAACGAGAATGTAGGTACGGAAATGAGAATGTCAGAGGCGCGCTCGACGGGTTAATAAGTTTGCCGCCTGTACGCCGTCAAGCTCGGGATAATGATTATTCCACTCGCAATTCAAAATTGAGACAGAATGATTTAGAAAACCAGGCAACGAACGAGTTTCTAGCAGGATGTGATCGAGCGCCTAGTAAAGCTGAGGAAATACTTGGTAAGCCTGAGGCTCCTTTGCGGTCCGTTCGTAAACCACGGCGTGATCTCGTGCGAAGTTTAGGTGAGGAGGTTACAGACAGCGCGAGTTTAGACAAGAATTTCGTTTTGCGGACAATCGATGAGAGCAATGCGATCCATGCCGATAATAAACAGAGCTGGTTAAGTAAAGATGGCGAAAGTTCTTTGAAATTGCTGCACAGTGAAGCCGAATGGGGCAGAGCGCTTAGTAAACAGTCGCTAACGCCGAAACGCCAAAGATCTAGTTTTGCATCATTGGATTTGCGAAGAAGAAATAGTGATCCTGCTACAAAGATAAGTTTAATTATTGGTCATCCGTCCAATATTGAAGGTAGTCCACTTGGAAAATCGTCTCCGGGGACCGAATTAGAATGGAAAAGCGACAACACCTTCACTATGGCTGGCCATTCGTTTAGTAAAATAAAGAAGTTGATAAAAGAAGATCGTTGCGCATTTTGCAACGAGCAGATGGACGCGTTTATTACTCAAGGACACAAGTGCGCGCATTGTAAAAAACTGTTTCATACCAAGTGTATTCAAAATAAGAGCGTATTACAGATGCCATGTAACGGAACTTCTAGTGAAAGTGCAAAACCGGGTAGAAGAAAACATCGAAAACATTCCAGAACACCGTACGACGCTAACAAGAGAGCAGAAGCAAGTAAATTCAGTTTAACCGGCACGTCCGAATTCACAGACAGGGCGGACCAAATCATTTCCGACGTGAGGGAGCTACAGTTAATGCAAGATTTCATTACGAGCAAAATATGTCAAATAGAAGGTCAGGTTGGCGAAAACCCCAGTGAGGTCGATAGGGTTTTTAAACAGGCTCTTCGAGAGTTCAAGGACAACTTGGTACAGTTCTACAGTACCGCCAATAAACACGGATTCGAGGGGTTGAGCATCAAGTATAAGGATCTCATTACAAATTTTATGCAAGCCATGGAAACCGTTTGCCAGAGGGAGCACAAGGATGAAGATTTTCCTGTTATAATGGGCGTCAATGCCTTTCGAGGTTTTATGAATGAATTCATGTCGTCGAGGACAGAAGCCGAAAAACCTAGCAAGACTAAGCGGAAAAAGGAAAAGAAAAGAAAAGGGGACGAGCCTATTAAATTTGCGGGGCATCGTTTTGTTTTGACAATCATTAATATTCCGACGGCGTGCGAGATTTGTAACTCTTTTTTTATGTGGCCCATCGAGCGTGGTTTAGTGTGTCAATCTTGTAAGCTTACGTGTCATAAAAAGTGTTATACTAAAGCGTTAGGGAATTGCGTAAAAGACTCGAATTTGAATGCTCAAGGTGATACTCGGAAGGTTTTTGGGGTGCCGCTCACATCACTATTAACCGAAGATAACAAAATTCCTGTAGTAATAGAGAGGTTAATCACTACAATAGAAGTGTACGGCATGTACACTGAGGGTATTTATAGAAAATCTGGGGTTAGTTCAAAAGTGAGAGAACTAAAGACGAAAATGGAGGAGAATCAAAAGGAGGTTAATTTTGAAAATTATCAGGTTCACGTGTTAGCGTCGGTTTTAAAGAGTTTTTTGAGGGAGATGCCCGAACCGTTGCTAACATTTGAATGTTACGAAAATTTTATAACCGCCGCCAACTTGACTGAGATTCAGGATCGTGTATCCACCCTTTACGATATTTTAAAAAAATTGCCAAAGCCTAATTACGATTTAATGGAAAGGCTGATATTCCATTTGTCGCGTGTGGCTCTCCACGAAGAGGTTAATAGAATGAGTGCGGCCTCGTTGGCTATCGTTTTCGCTCCTTGCATTTTAAGGACCAACAAAGTGGTGCCCGCCCAAGATAGTTTGCACGATATATCCAGCCAAACCCAGTGTATCGAAACTATAATAAAAGAACAATTGAGAAAAGTGCGTAGTACCCTTGACGATATCGACACTTTGGATACGGCGTGTCAAGCGGCCACAAATCGATTGTCATCCTTAAGGAGTTCAAAAGTGTTCACCCCAGAAGAAATGTTACCCGTCAGTCAAACCTCACAGCAAGCGGACGACGAAGAAGCTTTATTAGTGGATCACATCGAAGAAATACAAAAAGAAAAAGAGCATTTGACTTCCACTCTTCCAGTATTGACCCATGCGACTTCGGACGATGATATGTTGTCGACCGATGTTGACGGGGAAGGTAGTTTAGACGATATATCGTGCGTTCCTGACCAAAAAAGAGTTAAAGGACCTATAATTCGGACTGTTTCTGGCGGTGAACCGAGACCACCCAGATTAAAACGACAGTCATCTTCCGATGTTAGTGTAAAAGTAGTGGATGAATGTGAAGATGCACCAATAATGGTATAATATAGTTGTGTAATATATATATACATATAAATAGTGTAACATACAGGATTTGGCAGGTAATAATGTATACTGCTTTATTAATGTACATATGATAAGTGTGATACCTTACTTAATCTGCTACCTTCTGTATATTATTTTCGTAACTTTTTACACTACACTATAATGTAGCGAATATAGGAATGAAATCCATGACATTTGAAGTCAATAGAAATATTTATATGATTACAAGGTCTTTAAAAGTTGAATGTGATTAGCAGGGTAATTTATTTACTAATGATGTTATATTTGCTATAAATCTTGTTCATTCTGGCATATTTTCCCCTGTACTTTTTTTATTCATAGAGTCTCGCTATGAGAAATCCATAAATCTGACTTGGATTGACCGTAATTTCAAAATTTGCCCGAAATTGCCAAATTATTTAATTCTGTCTCGATTATTTTTCATCGCACTATTGCCGAGAGTATTTATTAGCTTTTCGATCTGAGTTTACATCCAATTGAAATCATTCTTATCGAATCTCAGTTTTATACCAATTTCATTCATTAATTGTTTATATACAGGGTGTCCATTCGCGCCTCGCCGTATGGTGACCAGTTATTAAGAGATACGGGTGTTAGTTACATTGGAACACAGTTGTTACAAACCCTGCATAACGTTAAGTTACTGCACCAACATTAAGCGCTTTCATTTTACAGTCTGTGGCATTAAGCTGTACATTTTTCTTTAACCAAATTCTTTTGCTCGCACCCTTCGGTGTAAATTGGCTTCCTATTAAGTTAGGAGAATGAGGCGAACACTACAGTCATTACCTTTTATTATTGAATGACCAGAATAAACAAGCGATTTAAGTTGGCTCATACTTAAATACTTTCAGTTAAAATACTCGAGACTCCATTTTACTTCTTGAAGAATTCGGTGATTGACGCCAGTCGGCGGTTAAGGAATAAAAAGGTTTCTCATTTACATTCTCATAGTAGATATTTATTATAACTAATTACTTAATATTTATTAAAAATATATTTACATTTTATGATAAAGTCATATCATTGTTATCTACTATCGTAATGTTTGAAGTGATATAATTTTAATGTAACTGTAAGAACAGATTTTACTATGTGCGGTAACGCTCTTATAATAATAGGAATATAATGATTGTACCGCCGTTTTCGATGTGTTATATTCCAAAAAGGCTCTGTTATATTGTAAACTAGTTGAAAAGTAGAACTTTATATTTTCCGTTAACTTTTTTCTACACGATTTAATTCTCACGCTATAGTGGGAGATGAAAAACGATTTATTATAAGCAATATACATTTTTTTAATTATGAGGTGACTCGCCAATATAAATTACCGCATTATTTCTAAAAGGCTAGTTATTCGTATTGTCACTTCGTGTTATAACTTTATTGTGTAAAGGTGTTTTATGTTGTTACTGAAAACTGTTATCGCGATACTTTGTTACGGTAAGACGATCCAAATGAAAACTCACTTAACCAATTCGATTATAGTTAATTAAGATTCCTTTTTAGTTCACTAACCATTCTATCTGTTCGCATTTATTGAGTATCCATTTAGATATTTTGTACATTGACGTTTTGATTTATTTTTAGACTAGATTATATTTTATTTTTTTTTTATAAAAGACAAGAATCAAAAGTGCAATTTGTCACAACTTATTTATTATGCCCATTTTGAAATTAATATTTTTAAGCCGAAGGACTGCATTCCTGTATAAAACGAACAATTGTTTATTTTTTGTATAAATATTTTATGCATTCTTTCAAGTGATCTATCGCTACTGTATGGCAGACATATAAACTGACTGAATTAAAATTAAATAACCGATTGTTAATCTTTATTACAGCATTAAACAAACTGTTGTCGTAATCTAATTAGTTTGACCAATTAATTAGTTGACTCTTGCTGTAGGAAACTTATAGATCAGGGTTTGAAACTACTAGAACTAACCCTGGTGTTGGTGTGACAAAAGCTATGATATCACCACAGATATTAAATTAAAGATGTTTACCAGGGTATAGGAATGTCAGGCGTCCCGATTTAGGCGGAACAGTTGCTTTTATAATTTATATCAATTAAAAAATCAATATCTTCCCATATTCCATAATACAGTCTAATTAGACTCCAGCTTATCGATCTGACATTTTGAGTCGAATTACGCGTGTATATACATATTGTATCACGTCACGCTTGGCCCTTAGGTGGGACACAAAAATCCCGATTTACGTATTAACCTTACAATCGCATTTGTACTTATAATAGTGGATTATTATAGTGCAATCTATTCCAATGGCATTTGTGTTTAGTGTTGAAGCTGTCAAACAAGTGAGAACCAGCCTAACAACCAAAGCTTATATGCATACAATGCCTAATCTCCACTGACTATTTTTATGCACTCTATGCAAACACCACAACCATCACAAATATATGTCGACCCACCGTATAAATTGGTACATTATACGCCAAAACTATGGGAAACAACATCAGTTACGTCAGATTGCAGAGAAGCTCACGAAATCAAAAACTGGCAAAACGATAAAGATACTCAGTCAGCTATAATACCCCCAAATGACTTCCAGGACAACCACAAACCAAGGGAAAAAGACTAAACAACAGCTTCCTGAAAGAGAGCACTCCTGCAAACCAAAATGTTGCAACACACAAGTGTTTCCAATCATTCACAACTAGGCTTGTCTCACAGTGGAAGCGTTTACGCGCGAACTGAAATACGCATGTTAAAGTCAGAAATTGTACGTCCGTGTACGCACAAATCGCATTCGCACATTAGCTGCGTATCCATCATTAGCTGAGCAACTGTTCACAAACAATCGTCTACAACCTGTGAATTCGCATAAAAATCCCAACAAAATGGGATCGGTTCGCACGCACGTATACGGACGATTTATTAATCGCTAATGTGCGAAGGTCCATTTGAAATCGTACGTTTGAATAGTTCGTCCATAAACGTACGAATCCCAGTTCGCGCGTAAACGCTTCCACTGTGAGACAAGCCCTACAAACAACAACGAAGAAATTTTGTTGACATTTTAAAAACACTCCTAGTTAAGGCAAACCTATCGCATATACGGTGCGATCAAAAATGAGTTGCTGTCGAGTCACCTTTGGAATTTTTGTTTACATGGGAAATCGTACTTAACTTGAACTTCCAAAGGCGACTTGACAGCAAACTCATTTTTGATCACCCGTTAGTAAAAATTATAATACCAACTCTTATTTATGGAGATATTTCTTTGAAATTTTAACCTAGCAGCATAGATGCCTCTCTAGAAAAATAGCGCACATATAGCTATTGCCTTTTGGGAAATACTGATCAATGAATAATTAGTTAGCACGAGAACGCCGAGCTTTGTTAAGTTTCATGTACATACTTGCACACGTCATATTTGTACTGGCTCGGATATTCTATCTAAATGTGACTACGAAGACGCCGATACAAAAATCGTCCTACATGTCCTACACGCATTGCATAAGGAAGCAGTACCGGTATTAGTAAAAAAGGTGCGCAAATGTCGTTAGTTTTTTTAATCCACCATTATAATCATGTTGACAGTATTTCCGAAGGATGTACAGTTTCTATTTCTTTTGGTACCTACCGGAAAGAATACAAAAATAATTGACGCTAAACAAGTGGGCTGCCTTTGAGGGCCTAATTGTAGCCGGACACTCTGCCTTTCGATGGCTCTTACCGGACTGCTTTTAAATGCATGGAAAGAAAAGTCCTGAAATACTTACTACCACCCAGCGCCATGCAGTGCTATAATGATGCAGAGATGCGGCCGCGATCAGGCGGCACCGTAGAGGGGCGGCAAAAGCAGTGATTTTTTAACCACCAGAACACTAGTAAAAGCTGAAGCGGCAAGTTTCACAAAAGGCCGTTACATGTGTTGATTGCACTGGTTTGAGTTATAGTTTAGAAAAGAAAATTTCGAATCTTTGTTCTACCTACCTACAAATAGAAGTTATATATATTCTGTTATATATTGGATAACACTTGACTTGAGATTACCGCAACATAGCTTTCTAAAACACTGAATATATCTTTAAAACAACATTTTTTTAAAGCAGTTTTCTATGGTATCTACAGTTGCAAACATTTTGCTACCAAAATCTACGTACTTTAAATTTGTGATCAGTGACTGCATGGTCAAAAGGGCATATTTTTTTAAATAGTAACTGCTAGTTTTCATTACATATTCTTAAAGAGTACACTTTTTTGAATATAGCAACACAAAAAAATTATTGTACTACATAATCAAATTTAAGAGAAAATCTCAAATTAAGGAAAATAGTTAATTATACTCGTAATTAATTTCATAATGTTACTACCTTGATCTGGTTTGGTTTTTTGTTATATTAAAAAAAAGTTCATTCTTTAATAATACCTCACCAAAAAATAGTGCTGTCCATTAAAAAAGAGTGACTCTCTTAGTTCTGTAGACGCCTCAGTAGACGCATGCCACTATAAATAATTTTTTAGCATGTAGGTTTACGTAAGTTAACGATTTTTGATACAATAAATTGCTGTGACATTTTTTTCTCTCTTTTTCTCTTCAATTTGATTATGTATAATATAATCAATTTATTTTATTTTTATTTATTTGCTATATTCAAAAAAGTATATCTACTCTAAGAGTATGTAATGAAAACTATCCCATTAAAAAAATAATAATCCCCTGATCATGCAGAAGTACCTACGTCACTGACCACAAATTTGTGCGTGGTAGCAAGCTTTTTATAATCTTGGATTTAAAAAAAACGTTTTGAAGATAATATTCAGTGTTCCAGACAACATTTTCACCCTGTATATGTATATGATATCCTTTTCTATGAAATCTTTGGATGTTTATAAAATATTGGGGTTAAAACAACCTAATTAGTTCATTTTCTCAAACCAATGTTTAAATTTTCAGTGTCCGCCGCTAGTGGCGAGAGAAGTTTTTCTAAACTTGAATAATTTTTCAATAATTTAAGTCGATCCCAATTTAGAAAGCTGGTATTAATTTCTATTGAATCATCACGAGCTGCCTCTCCCTTATTGACCAATTTGCAGGAGAAGGGTACAACTGTAGTTGATTATTGTTCTTAGAGTATGTACCTACTTCTTAAAAATAAAATGAGTGTTTTCATGTTTTGTGCAATTTCTTTTAAATCACAATTGAATGTCATTTTCATAAAAAATATTTAACGACTATATGGGCGGCATCTCGGAAACGTGTATCATATTGAAAAAATATACCCCACGACCACGGTGGGGCAGATACAACCAACGCTCTCCGGAAAGAAAGATTTTATCATCGAATTCACAATCCCGATATGATGCCTCCGACCCAAGATGCTCTTCTGCAACATTGTAAACGAGCGGTTGCCGGTACCGGTACGCTCTGTGCATGGCACGCGACCGTCTGAAATCGGTGCGCGCAGGCGCAGAAACGGTGAGCATACGGGTTATCATTGCCAATTTCCTTACGGACAAATTTCTAATAACTAATTATTGCAACAGCAGTATTAATTCGCTCGGTCTTCCTAACGGGTCTGTTCCACCCGCAAACACTGGTGATCTACTACTACTAAAACCAAGACAACGTCGATATGAAGTCTACTCTGCACGTTTTCATGATGGGTCAAACCGCGCATGGGAATCTAGAAAGCAGAAGACCGTAGCTCTATCCTCAACGGAGGCGGAGTGCATGAGAATGTCAGAGGCTGCATCCTGCTTCAAATCATTCATGGCCAAGTTAGGACTACACCACCTTGGCGAAATTGTTGTGTACAAGGACAACATAGGGGCCATCAAAAGTTGTTGAAGAACCCAATGTTTCACGCTCGAAACACATCGACATTCGCTACCATTCTATCAGAAAACAGATGCAAAATGGAACGTTCAAGGACCTGGCGTCGCGTCACATGGCAGCTGACGTTTTCATGAAATCATTGCCAAGACCTGGCCATCAGGAGTGTACGGTGATGTTAAATCTCGTTTAAAATTTCGCGTTGTGTTAATATAGCGAATTCGAATGTGAGGGGAGGTGTTAGAATAATAATTATACGCGCGCTTGGGTGAGTTACTTTAGTATGTTAAGGGTGCGGCAGACACTCATTTTATCGAACTCATTTTATTTGTTTTATTTTTTTAAACGACTTTCAAGGAATAAAGTATCTACGTCGTACCTTTCTGGTGAGCAATTGGATGCTTTTGCATTATGGTCGCTTCAAAATCTATATTTTATTATATCGATCCAAAAATGTACAAAAGATTAACTTAATTTGGTTTGGTTGGGCGCAAAATAGTTCAGCGATAATACAGTAATGCAGAGTCTATGTTTTGAGTAAACTCACTCAATGTTTATGTTTCAACTTTTAATAACATATCGCTTTTAAATTTTACATGTCACTAAGTAACAAATTCTTTCTTTAAACGTTAAATATATATTTGGGTAATAACAGTCTATAATTATTGTTATCAACAAACGGATTCTATAATTAATTAGGTATCTCAGTAAATGAAAATAGTTGTTGCTTTAAAAAAGAAGAAACTATATATAATTTCTTAATCGGATGTATGATGATGCAACATGTTTCAATTATCAAGTAACGTATGTACACAAATTCCTACAGTATCACCGTATTCAATTCACTGCCTTGGTAACTCTTATTGGAAGTACAGTGTTGGTTTGAGACGCTTTTTCTAAGCTGTAAGTACACAATGCATTGATTACGCAATAGTGTAGTACCTATTAATTAGTTAATAGCAAGTAGGAATTATTGCAGTAGGTATGTAATTAATAGATAATAAATTATAGTTCAAATTTGATTCTTTTTGTAGAAAGATATATATTTTTGATCAGACTGTGTATAGAGATAAGATTGTATGTACTATATAGGTACCTCTATATCCAAATGACCATTCGTTAGGTATAGGTACCAATTTTTTGGCGCAAAAGTGATACACTTTTCTACATGGATATAAGGTGTTCAAATTTAAAAAAACTTCAATATGAAATTTGGTCCCCACCTATCTAACTTGTTAAAGTTCGTGGTTCATAGGTTATCACTTCCTTGATGATTTCAATTAAAGTCGTGGAGAACAGGAATAGTAGATACTCGCAATCTTTAGTAATCATATTCATTTGTAACAATAGCACCATAGGTATTATAGGTAAAACATAAACCAAAGACCATTATTTTTTATACTCGTATGAAGAACTGTCACTAGTTGTATCCTTGTATCTCCCAAATCAACATATTTCAGTGTTAGGTATATGAACTCTCAAATCGTGTTTAAATTAAGTAACCTGATTAACATTTGAAATTGTTATTACTAAAGAGTTGTTATTGTAAAAGTCAGTTACAACAGAAGTGTCTCATAGCTTGAGAGACACGGAAAAAGAGAGATCGCAATTCGAACTCTAAGAAACCTTTTTACAAATATACATTTGCAAAAATGCGCTAAAAATAAATTAAACAAAGATGCACCAATAATTTCTAGGTACATCTTATAATAAACCGTACTTACCTATCCATACTTTATTGGTTTGCGCCAAGTCCAACGAGTGTGTATAGTTCAAGTTAAAGGAAATTGTCTGATCCATCATTTCAATATTTTAACGCAAATAAATAAATGCATCATCTGTGTCAACATGTTTAGCGGGCGACATGTTGCGTTTTATGGAATATATACCTATTTCACAATATATACAAAATGGTAGTTGAAGTGCCCGTGGCGAGCGCTGTCGTCGGAGTGAGCGCGGATGCGGGTCTTCTCGCTGGTGGAGCGTGGCGCGAGGTCGAGCTGGCAAGGCGAACTGGTTCCGCAGGCGGAGAGTTTCTTGAAGCGCCGTCGAAGCAGGAGTTCGGAAGTCTGCTTTTAAACCTTTGCGGCCAGGTATACTACACGCTCTCGTCGATTGACCGTTTTGACCAATGAGGGTGCAGCACGTTTTAGTTTGCTGCCGCATCTGCATGCGGCGCGTTGCCACAACATGCGTCAATAATTCATAAGCAATAATTATTAACTGCAAACCACATTTTGGTCCCGATATCTCATGATAGCGCGGAATTTTTATGGGATGGGTCATATATTATAATATTACACCTGTTGGGCGAAAATTTATAGGTACTATAAGATAACTTACTTAAACTAATTTCGACACCCTCCTTGATTTGTTGATGAAATTTAATCTGTAATATTTCAGAAAAACTATGGCGCCAGTTGTTGAAAAAATTGCAGAACTTGGCAAGTATACAGTTGGAGAAGGTCCTCACTGGGATCATGAAACTCAGACCTTATATTTCGTCGACACCGTAGAGAAAACTTTTCATAAATATGTACCTTCTCAGAAAAAATACACGTTTTGTAAAGTAGGTAAGAATAATTGTTCAAACTATCACACGTAACTGTTTTTACATTACATACTGAAAAGTACCTATAGCTATATACCTACGTAGACCGTGCATAGTAGGTACTTGTATTTAGATAAGGGTAGTATTAGCCAAGAGTATATATACTCTTTGGTATTAGTAAAAGATCCCACATACGGTCAACCTTTGCTCATCTGTTTACTGAGTGAAATACATCTTTTTTAGTAATCTTTATTTTTATATGTAAACAAACACACTGCAAAAGAGTTGCCTAAAAAATTAAGTCAAGACTATCCTTATATCCTTAATTAAAATTTCTGTCTGCTTCCATTACATGGAGAGGAGACTTACATTCGATGTCTACTCAACGAGCGGCTGTTACGCTGCGTCGTTCTCTTTCACACACTCTCTCACGCGTTTACCGTGTGAAAGGGAAGGACGTTGCTCGTGGTGTACGCATCAATGTATGAGAGTGCGGCGCATGCGATCTTTCCATGTGGTAGACGCAGACAGAAATTACCTAATTTTTTAGGCAACCATTTGCAATGTGTTTGGTTCAATGAATAAAGTTTGGTTACATATTAAGATGGCTAAAAAATGTAATTCACTCGTGGGGCGAAGGTTGACTATGTGGGATCTTAGATTATACCCTGCTTGACAAATCACAAGATAGCTTTTTTATCTGTTTAACATTGGAATTTTGAAGCTTGTGTGTGTGTGTGGATATTATGTTAAATACGTTACATAATTGAAGTAATTCAGGATCTTCGAGAACAAGGATTTTGACTTAGAGGCGAATTGGTCAAAGCCTTGTGGAGGAAGGTTCAAGAAACAAACTTGGGAAACTGCCATCGAATTTAATTCGAATACCTATACTATGCCTATATTTTTCCACCTTACTGCACAGAACACTGAGTCTCTAATGCAGATGAAGTAAATCGCAATTCTTCAGTTTCTTCAGTCGGTGGTACTTTCTCAAGCTAAACGATTAATGCTGCTATCTATTTTCCCTCCTACAGCTTATTGAACTGAGTACGAAGGGTAGAATAGCATTAGATTAGCTAAAGAATGGCGTGAGAATTTAATCCATCTGCACATAAACTGAAGTTGATGCCATTTCAGATAAACTGGTTTCTTTCATTATTCCCCTTGCTGGATCCCCTGGCCGTTTTGTAGTCAGTTTGGAACGTGAAATAGCCATTCTTACATGGGATGGCGTTAGTGCTGCACCTACAAGCATAGAAGCTATTGTTAATGTCGAACCACACATTAAAAATAACAGACTCAATGATGGCAAAGCAGATCCTCTTGGCAATCTATGGACAGGTATAACTGAAGTCGACAACCAAATTATAATAATTCTAGCTCGAATTCTTTAGGTACAATGGCTATTGACGCTGGTCTCCCCGTAGGACCGGTCACTGGCAGTTTATATCATTTAGGGGCTGATAAAAAGGTAAAAATGCACGAGAGCAACATAGCTATAGCAAATGGGCTCGCGTGGAGTAATGATTTGAAGAAAATGTATTATATTGATTCGGGAAAAAGAAGAGTAGACGAGTACGATTATGATGCTTCTACATTATCCATCAGTAAACACTATTTAAATATATTCCACTATTTTTTGTTAAATGAATATTTTTCAGGCAATCAACGGCCATTATTTACTTTTGAAAAGCATGAAGTGCCTGGATATCCAGATGGTCAAACAATTGATGAGGAGGGTAATTTATGGGTTGCCGTTTTCCAAGGACAGCGAATTATTAAAATCAGTACCCAACAACCGGAAGTGTTACTGGATACCGTAAAAATACCAGATCCTCAGGTAAATTAAGTAACTTTGTGTATTACATTAATTACCTTTGGAGTCAGGTCACCTCTGTTGCATTTGGCGGGCCGAATTTGGATGAACTGTATGTAACATCTGCTGGTCTTCAGCTTGACGACAGTTCTTTTGACAAAAGTTTAGTTAATGGGCACGTCTACAGAGTAACAGGTTTAGGCGTCAAAGGTTTCGCGGGAGTTAAAGTGAAGCTATGAAACATTTCATGTGACTTTTGTATTTTGTTATACTATCGGCGAATAAAATATGAATAAATCAAAAGGTTTTTTATCTAGGACGAGTATCTTTAGCGCATTTGTTCAGTGCATGCGCCGGCCGCGGGCAGTCACCAGCAGCACGACCACGCAAGCATTCTTATTGTATTAATAATAATAATAATAATAATATATTTATTGCCTGTGATCAATATACATTGACATAGACATAGTCACTAATATTAACAAAAACACATTAAAAACACGTTAAAAAACACATTAAAAAACACATTAAAAATATGTCGTATCACAGTTGGTCAATATAAATCACAGTGTATACAAATCGCTTGTTTTATAGAAACAATTGTGCACTAAAAAACTTTTTAGTGCCGTTTTAAATGCCATGTCGCTTTTCAAATTTTTAATAGTAGATGGAAGGGAATTATATATTTTTATGCAATTGTACAATGGTCCTTTTTCGAATTTGGTCGTACGGTGAACGGGAATAGTGAGGATATCAGAGTTTCTTGTCTTATAGTCATGATTAGCATTCAATTGGGTAAAGTATTTAGGATTTTTATGGACAAACATGCTTGACTTATAAATATAAATGCTTGGAAATGTAAGCATTTTGATGGCAATAAAAGTGTTTTTATGTGAAGTTAGGGGCTTAATATTAAATATTAGTCGAACAAGTCTTTTTTGTAATGTAAATACTCTACTACACTCCCCAGCTGCACCCCATGCTATTACACCGTATGCTAGATGGGGTATGCCAGAGCATAGTATATTGTGAGTAGAGCGTTTTGATCTAAACTCGATTTTAAGTTTAACAGCACATAAAAAGTCTTGTTAAGTTTTTTACAAACATGGTCTATTTGTTGGCGCCACGATAACTCATCGTCAATAAAAATACCCAAAAACTTTGCACTAAGTCTTATATTGGTTTCATTTGATGGCCTCATCTTCCCAAACTGGAGACATACGGTCTTTTCAACATTTAAAACAAGTTTATTTACACAACACCAGTTTTTAAATTCCTTCATGGCAAGATTGGTTAAAGTAAGTAAATCATTTGAGGTATCGGCCGAGACCACAATTGTAGTATCATCAGCGAAACCTACCAATTTACTAATTTTTACGAACTTTGGAAGGTCAGCACAGTATAACAAAAATAGCAGAGGACCAAGCACTGATCCTTGAGGAACACCCAAAGATACTTCAAACGTCCTAGATGGCACATTTTCTATGTCCACGTATAGTTGTCTTCCCGTCAAGAAAGATCTTATCCACGCGAGCAACGGTCCCCTAACACCCAGATGTTCGAGTTTATAACAGATACATTCTGTTTGGATGGTATCAAAGGCACGACTGATGTCAAACAGTAGAACGTTGATCAGTTTCCTTTTGTCTAGTTCTGTGTACAGATGTGTTAGTAGATCGAACGCTGCGCTTTCAGTAGACATCCCTGACCGAAAGCCATGCTGACAGGCTGGCAAGATTTTAAATTTATTTATAAATGATGTTAATCGATTGGAGATAATTTTTTCCAAGAGCTTGGAGAAAATACTCAACAATGATATTGGTCTGTAATTTTCAATACTTGTCGGATCCCCCTTCTTGTATAACACAATTACACGAGCAGTTTTTAGTGAGCCGGGGAAAGTTCCACAGGCTAATGATTTGTTATATAGATGTAGTATGACAGGTGCAATGGACGTCCAAATGTGTCGCAAGATTTTCACAGAGATACCGTCTTCTCCTGATGACGAGGTGTTTTTTAGGGAATCCAATGTACGATTTAGTTCGTGTTGTGTTATTGGATAGACGTAGATTGATTGACTAATTCTGTTGTCTAGTGTAACAGAGCATGTCGTGTTTTTGTCAAAGTGCTTATTGGTCAGGTCCAAAGCTATTGTTGAAAAGTATGTTCCAAATAAGTTAGAAATTTGCTGTGTGTGAGTTATTAGTGTATTTTCATGATTTAGTGCAATTCTACTTTTTTCACGATTTCGCCCAGTTTCACGATTCACCATTGTCCACAGGGTTTTGGGTTTATTCTGTGAGTCTGATATAACCTTTTGATAGTATGTGCGTTTAGCTTAATGTTTAACTTGTTGCTTATATCTTCGCTTTTTTAAGTTGTAGTGTTTGAACACGCACTGGGAATCACAAGATTTTAGTTGCGAGAAGTGGTGTTTTAGATCGTTCCTAGCAATTGCTAATTCGGATGTAAACCACCTTGGTCCTTGCCCAGTACTTCTGGTTGTTACCACTTTGGTTATAACGGGACATATAAGATTGAATAACCATAGAATTGTCTCAAAAAATAATTGAAAAGCCGAGTCTACATCATCGCACTCCCATACATTCTCCCAGTTCACAAGTGCAAGGGTTGATTTGAAGTTGTCTAAATTGTTATTAGTGGTTACGCGAGATGTACACACTTTGGTCTCTTTTTTGTCATTACTTTGCGCAAGAAAATGCTGTGATATCACGATCACATTAGCAAAGTGATCGGATAAGTGTGGATTAGTTGTTGTATAGGCATAATAATTGGTGGGGATCGAAGTTACCAAATAATCTATCGCCGATTTCGAGATTACATTGTTAATATTAACATGAATTCTTGTAGCAGTACTGTTTTTATTTGTTAGATTAAAAGAATCAAATAAGTCTAAAAGCATCCTGGTTTCAATGGAACACGAAAACAAATTTATGTTGAAGTCGCCACACAGAATAGTGTAATCACTAACTGTATTAGCAATACTTAAGAGATAAGCTATATTGGTGAAGAACAATTCAACATTTCCGTTCGGCGGTCTATATATTGTGAGAAAGCATATTTTCTTCCCGTTAATTGCCGCAATGGTGGACGATGATTCAAAGTGCAATTCCACGTTACACTTATTTAATTGAGCACAGGGTGCGCACTTAAATGTTTTTTTTGCTAGTATCATTGAGCCTCCATGGATATGTGTATCTCGAGTAAATGCGGAAACAATATCGTAGCCCTCCACCGAGATCGCTTCAATTGATTCCTTGTTAAGCCAAGTTTCGGTAAGGCAAAGAAAATCTGGATTAAGTTCTGCAGTTACTAATTCAAGGACAGACAATTTATTGGTAAGTGATTGAATGTTCAAATGCATCACTTTAAAGCCATTTAGTTTAGTTTCATTCACACTCGCTGTTGTTTGCATTGAAGAGCTACTATTTATGACTTCACGTGTTATGTTGGGCTTGAAGTGCTCTGTCTTTTGAAAAAAAAAACGAGTTACTGTTGCACCATATGGCCATATTTTTGCATTAAGGGCGTGCTCATAATTTACTAGGTCGATCGTAACCTTAAACGACTTGTAATATTCCGTGCTAGGCAAAATAATATCCTCACATTTCACCTCCGGAAAGGTTGGCTTCAGGTGATTTATGACCTGCTCAGGTGTTGTATTTGGATGCATCCTTGAGACAAACAGATAAGCTTTTTTAGGGGCTGCCTGTATTGCCTCAATGTGTGATTCTCCTGTGACGAGAATTTTGCGTGGGTTATTCCGTTTTTTTGTGACCACTTCTGTCCACTTGCTTTCCTTGTTACTGACAAGTTGTACTTCCGAATCCGTAGTTTCATTAGCGTTTGATACTACTGGAACCGCCTGTATGGAGCTAGTTTTGACAACTTCTGTTTTAGCAAGATTTACTAATTCGGTGATTTTTTCCTTTTGTTTATTAGCGAGTATAGCTGCATAATTAAGATTTGTTGAGGTTTTGGGTTTGATGCTATTCGCATTTTTGGTCTTATTAGCGTTTTTAGGCTGTTGATATGCTGCAGGTATAGATACGCGTGTGGGTATTGTATGTTTGTCACCTTGGGTAACCGATAATTTCTGAACGTTTACATTATCCTTGTTAAACAGGCTGCTATTTTGACTTTCTAGTAAGATAATTTGTTGCTTTAAAGATGTAATTAGCTCATCTTTAGAAGCAATTATTACGTCTTTTGCAGCTAGTAATTGTGTTAATAGCTGAATTGGGGATTTACTATTACAATTACTTACATTGTCATTTGAATCAATTGCATCGGTAGTAGAGCACGCGTTGCACAAAACTTCACCTTTTTCTAGATTTATAACGTCTGCTTTTTTGGCACAACTATCATGATACGTTACGTATTATATATACCATGCGATCAAAAATGAGTTGCTGTCGAGTCGCCTTTGGAATTTTTGTTTACATGGCAAATCGTACTTAACTTGAACTTCCAAAGCCGACTCGACAGCAACTCATTTTTGATCGCCCGTTAGAACCTATATTAAAGTAAGCTACTCTTAGATCATATATACATAGATATAGTCTCCCATTTACCTTCAATAAAGGGAATCTGTGCCAACCTTCCTAACAAAAGTAGATATATTTTGCACCGTAAGTAGAACACCGCACATGCGCAATAGCATCCGAATGTAAATGATAATTTACAATGTCTTCTTTTGTAAATCGATCGTAATCTCGACAACGAAATACAGCAGTCTTCCGGTTTTCAGCATTAGGTTCGTATTATCAAGTTATTCCTGCATCGATTACTCAGCAAGCTTAAAGCCATTCTAGAAGTCATAATTTGTGAATTTCATTTTCATAGGTAGATCATTTATTTTTGATTAAAAAATACAGGGCTGAAACTGTAGATGACGAAGTAAGAAAAAACTAATTAGTTGTTAAAGTTAGAAACTCGTCCACTGTGTATAAGGAATGCTCTAATAAATATTACCACACTACCATTGTAAATTTTGTGTCACACCAGGCCTTATGCACGTCAGGTAGATGGTTGTACATTTTTACTCCCTAGTATATTACAACTACCGCAAGGGGGCTCTGCTTTTGACTTTCGCTAAAGTGCCACTCTTTGATTTCAAATTTATGCTGGTTAGCTTCTGGAAGGAATAGCCATTCCGGTGACCATTTTTATACATTGCCATGACAAATTCACTTCTCCATTACTGTGGTGTAAAGTTAAAGCCTAAATCCTGGGTGTTAGTAAATTACGCAGTTTTGAATGCGGTGTTTGAAATGTGCTTTATCATAGTTTTGGGAATTTTAAAAGTGTTTGTCAATACAAATACACAGTCTTGGTTCATCAAATGCGAGGATCATCATCATTAATCAATAACACTACTGAGGATGCAATACCCAGCAGAAGTGACAGGTAGGAATAGTGTATCACATTTGCACTATTGATTCTAATGGCATTTTCTTATGAATATTATGATCATGAACACTTGGCTGTAAACACATTTGAAACGTAAAAAGAGACATTATGGAACATAAATTGTAGATAATTTAATTTCCTAAGAAAAGTTCGCCATGGTATGTCTATCTTAAACCATTTAGTAATAATAAATATTTAATGTGCGTGAATTTTATGCAGCCTACACTTATTACTATTATACTGGAATGAAGATTAAAATTAAATACATACCATAATGAAAGCCTCTATATTATAAATAGGGACCGGACTTATATGCATGAAAACACGTCAAAAATGCACATATATAATATATATGTCCATTTTTGACGCTATTATGCACAAAAAATTATTGCAACTTTTTTCATTCAAACTTTTTAAACATATCCTGTATTATAAAACAATTAATGATTCAGTATTGTTCCAAGTGATCCATCTTAAAATTTGTGCGCCTATTACTAACATTTTCCCCAGCCAACATTCGTCATCTCATTTGTTGAACTTGAAAATTTGCTTGCATTATAAATTAATGCTGACGTTTTATCATTTAACAAACTTGGGCGCCATATTTTTTTGGTATATCATTTATTTTTTTATTCCTTTTTCCTTTTTGTTTTTTTTCTTTTTATTTTTTTCTATTTTTATTGTTTTCTTTTGTTCTGTTTCTAATTTGTATTTTATTTGATTTATTATTTGTTTATAATTTAGAAATAAAAATATAATTGTTGCAATTAGTACCACTGGAAACTTGTTTTGTAATAAAAATGGGCCAAAAAATGAATAAAATGCTAATCCATCTTAAATATACACAAAAACCCCAAAACAATATTTATGTAATGCATAAGAGCATGAAATCCGGTCTCTAATTACAAAACATCAGCTGCCCAACGGACCTACATCTCCAAAAAAATTTGTTTTTTTCTGGCATATATCACATTACCTCTTAGTTAGAGCAACTGTTATTTAAGTTGAAAATATGTGTGCTTATGACTAATCTATACAGATTTAGGCACAGAACAGTCCTTGTCAATACATGATAAACCTATTCACCACATACACGACCGACTGATGATGTTGAACAAGTTGGCGAAGAATCTGTAGTTAGAAACTTTGTCCTCCACACCTAATACAACATTCAATGAACCTTGTTCGAGAAACAACAGCCTTTCTTACCAAAACATGACGATCCAAGCCACCAGTAGCAAATAGATCACCGCCTTCATTAAAACATGCAGAATTGATACCACCATCGTGACCTTCCAATGTGTACAATGGTCGGCCCTCTAAAGCATCAACGATTTTGATGGTTCCGTCTAAACCTGTTGAGAGGAAATAATTCGCACCTGGATGCCAGGTCACGCTTGTAGCATTATCATGTAGTACATAGTGCTGTTGCAGTTTGTTGTTGCGTATATCATAAACACGAACACTACCACTACTCGTGGCCAAAGCGATTGAATTACCGCCACGGTGGAAATCAACACAGGTTCCACTGCCTAAAGGACACAATAATTAAATTCTTGCAAAGTGAGCACTTACTGATAGATCAAAAGGTATATCAAGTTGAGTAGTATGTTACCTTTTCCCAAAGTGAATGTGTGTATAGGTTGAGTAGTAGAAGCATCCCAAATCCTTAACGTTTTATCATCAGAACAGGATGCGATGATATGGCCATCTGGAGAAAACTTTGCAGACCGCACCCAATTTGTATGGCCCAAGAAAGAACTTAAAAATTGTTTCATTTGAACGTTCCACAATTTCAGCGATTTATCATTAGACCCACTCAGTAACTAGAAAAACATCCGTTAAAAATAAGCATAAGTTAATCAAAGCTATCCACCTGATCATCTTTGGGTGAAAAGGAAACTGTTCTGACTGCTGCAGTATGAGCTTGAAAATCTGTACTGCCTCCTGTTATTGTCGGTATCCATAATCGAACTGTGCGATCTTGGGAGGAAGATGCTATCAAGTGACCGTTTGACGCAAAATTAACACACGTTACTACATCTGTATGACCTTTAAATGCATAACAACGCATATTTTTCGCCAAATTCCACACTATTATAGAATGATCGCTACTACAGCTAGCTATTTGGTTATTCTTGGGGTTAAAAGATACATCAATAACTTGTTTCTTGTGTCCTTTTAATCGATGTTCAAGAGCGGGATCGTTGTTACTCACTGATATTTCTGACATTTTTATATTTTTACGTTGAATAAAATGTCTTTGCCACTCTACTTTGAAGAAAACCGTTGAAATTTAAAAATCAATTTAAGGTTAGTTCGTAACCTTGGTAACAGCAGCACCTTTTGGTCTAAAATAAAATGGTGAACTATTTCTGTTAACGAAACTACCTACCACTCTTTTTGATACATTTTGAACTACTGCCGTAGATTCAAGCGTAGACGATGGATATACACCACGGACCTCTTTTTTTAAGAGGTCCGTGATTTATACACTTACTCATACATTACAAAACTTCGACCATATATTTTTTCATCAAAGTTACAAAGGTCCGTCCGGTGGAGAATAAAAGCCAACAGTGTCGTACACCCTAAAAAATTTTGCTATTTTACTATGGGAAAGAGAAAAAAAGAAAAAACAAACATTATTATTGAATCGGCAGTGGGCACAATTTGACCACTGGCCTCGGACAGAGAAAGTGGCTGCAATAGCGCACCCAACTTCATTGGAAAATGCGCTCTAAAAATGCCATGTTAGTTCATGAAAAAAACTGCTCCAAACTATATTAAAAAACTAGATGAATTATGGAAAGAATTGAATCTTCAGCAGCGTTTAAAAATTTGTATTCAAACCATCCACCTGCCATAATTGAACGGGTGATATACGCTTGATAAGACTTAACAACAGTACTTTACCTATTGCTAGGGTCAAGCAATTGATTGTTAAAATTTTAGACAACACCGCTAAGTTTGTCAGTACGTACAGAATACCACTTTTAACAAATGTTGCTCATCTATAGCAATTATTACCTTCACTATTAGCAAGTTACTAAAGTTATTTCAAGGTACAGAATTGGACTGATCTAAACACCGAAGGATATGTACTTACGTGTGTGTGTCTGTGCTCTGTGGCGGCTTTGAGTCAAATTGAAATTCAATTTTTTAAATTTTATTAAGACGTTAAAATCGAGTGGTTTGAATGAGTAGGCCCTATAGTCGCTCTGTTACTCTTTAACCGTGAGGGTAGATAAAGTGATCACTTAACCTCAAGAGTTGATAAAGTGAAATGGATATTACGCATTCGAATGACATCTGTCATTCTTATTTCAAATGGGACGCGAAGCACGATATAAAATGACAACAAAACGACCGCGACGGTTGAAACTAAGCTTGGTATTTTTTATGTCTAAAAGCTTTACAATGATTTATATAGGATTTTGTATATTACACCATCACACGATTGAAGACCGACATATCTGTGACTGGCATTCTCTCCTGGCGAGTCTAAAATGTATGTATTATTCGTCAGATGATGAGGAAACCCTTTCGCTATTTCTACCAATCGGAGATGAAGAAATGGACACATATTCATTTGTAGTACCTATTGAAATTTTTTTATTCTATAAGTTGTTACAATGACTATATACAGGGTGGTGCCTTGCGCGACGCAGCATAGGGATTTCAATGGTAATTTCTTTATAGTCAATTACTAGCTCCCCTAATTATTTTAGAGCAAAAGTCTAAATACGTTTTTTTAGAGAAAAAAATACTGCATCTGCTCATCCGTTTAGTTATAACCTATTTACCTTTTTCAAAACTGTAGGAATCGGCAAAATAAAAAATTACATTTTTATAAATCAGTGATGCTTTGGAATCTTTATAACAAACTACAAGCGCATCGCATGTCAGTTATCGTTTGACGTCGAACGATTTTCATATTTAATTCTGTTTCAACTAATCGACGCCAGGAAAAGCGTCTATTGGGTAATGTTTTTTTAGAGAATGAAATGCTGCATCTACATCAGATACTATTTGTTTATCATTTTCCGGAACCAGACTACCTACAAACCTAATTGAAAAAAAAAAGAATTTGACTTGAGGAAGAATTGTTCTTAAAGTTATATTCGAATTTTCCGCTACTGCAGCCAAAACGTTGAATGTATTGTCGTTCTCCTGATAGCTTTTACGGATATTTTGAACGTTATTGCAATTGCAGATATTTAACACTGTGCCTGTTCTTTCAAACTTGCGCACAATTCTGTCTACTGTGGTACTGCTTGGAATCGGCCGATTGGGGTGCTTCACACTAAATAAAGACGTTACTTGGCGGTCATAAAACAGCTTTAACATTTCCACTTTCTATTCATTTAAATACATGATAAATAATTTTATGATTAACTAATTTACAAACGCTTATAAATTTAATATACGTGAAAGGCAAATAATGGAACGTGATCGCTGTTTTTTTAAGTAATTCCAAGGCATATCTGATTAATTGTAAAATGAACCTTTTTATTTTGTCGATTTCTACGGTTTTAAAAATCGGAAAATTATAAGTACATAATAGTATGAACAGATGCAGTAAGTATTTTTTTCTCTAAAAAAAAACACATTTAGACTTTTGCTCTAAAATAATTAAGGGAGCTTATAATTGACTATAAAGGAATTACCATTGAAATCCCTATGCTGAGTCGCTCTAGGCACCACCCAGTATAGTAGGTATTGTTAAAAGAACGTACAATGAAGCATACGTGCATAAACTGCTAATTGCTTTATGGCTATATGCTGATCATCTTTTTATCATTTTCTATCTACATGATCATGTCTTGCCTATTTTGTTTTTACATAGACCCAGGATGAAAATAATATGGACACTTAAAATTAATACACTGTTTCAAACCAATATACACAATTAACTAACTATTTAACAAAAACTAATAACAAAACCAAAAATGTATTCACGCAGGAAAAATAGTGCACGATGTAAACCAAAATTATTTCGCAGACGTACCACATTAAGACATGCGAACCGCCGCATTGATATGCATACCCCGCTCCCGTTCCCACATTCCCTCTCTTACTTGTGGAAATATTATCGCAACATTTTCACTATAGGTACTTCTGGTAAAAGTGTGGTTGCCCATTACTGTGAAAACTTTTGTAATTCTTTTTATTTATTACTTTATATACAATTTGAAACAATCAAAAACAAAAATGAAACAGTGTGCCCAATACATAGCATCTTGTATTAGTGACGATTGAATACGCTATACAGAAAAATGTCTAAACGTGGGATGTCATTTAATGTAACACTAATCTCTTCAAACTGGCTTCAAGATATTTCACTCGGTTTACCAATTTATCCTTTGGATTAAAGTCTGTATACACTATAGGTAGTATTCGATAACCTTTCGCTTCTAATAATCTGAAACAAAGGACGTTATGACCGTTAGGTTCCACACGCCCCCTGCACATATCGTGAAAATCTAGTGCAACAACTGCCACTCTGTAAGTAACATTTTGATGAATGCAGTACATAAAATAACATTCTTACTGAATACAGTTACTGTCCTCTGAATCGATCGGTAAAGGGTTGCATTTAGCGTCCAACCTCACCTCAGCATCTGGAAGAACACAATGTAAAGAGCGCAATTATTGGTAACATAGATACCAATATAAAATCCCATGTCAGAATAAATATTTGTCTTTAAATGGGTTTTCGGATTCAGTAAATTACTGATCGTATCTTGCAGAGCATTAACCATAACTAATTTCTCTTTCGATCTTGAAACCTCGTTGCGTTTGAGAGCAGAACTTTTAGACAAAGTGGGACCTTTGTAGTCCTTTACTAACAATTTACTCGCATTATCAATATTTAATAGTTTTAAATATATCGGTACACTCGACATGCGATCTTGATGGATTTTAGATGTAAACTGTTCTGTTAGCACTGACGAAATATGTTCTGTCTTTGCCAAGTTTAGCACAACCAATGACCATACAAAATTCAACCATGTAACAGGTTTGCTGATTTCGGCTTCTTGTAATTGGGGGATTGACACTTCGTTTAGTTGTTCTATGTTGGATGGACTATAACTCAGACCGCCGAGTGTAATAAACAATGAACATATGTCCTGAATTCTACAGATTTTATTATTTTTCAATATCCAATCTGCTAAAGCATCAAGAATATCTGAAACAAATCACAATGGAATCAGAAATAATAAGAAAAAAAGAAACATTACCATAAACAGGCAAGAAGTAACATTTTTGTTTTACACATACATACCTTACATTTTTATGTGGAAATGATATTTTATTTTTTCATTAGGTATATATTTTTTAGCGCATTTTCCTAAAGGAACATTGCCTGATATTAGTTTACATTTATTTGTCTTTGTCTTCTAGGTCTTTAATTATAAAGCTATTTTAAGATGTAATCCATTTTCAATAGGTTTATTACACAAAATTTCGAGCAAAATTTGAACGGAATCAGTAAAGTGTTTGCCATTTATTGTGTTCACAATAGACAAACACCAACGCCTCCTCTTAAAAGCTTGCATCACTTTGCTCTGCCGCTTAATAACAGACTGATTGTCTACCTTCAGCCTTCTCAATAAAATCTAACAGCATCACCAAAAAAATGAAAATAATTTTTGTTTTTTGTTGTTTTTCTTTTCAAAAATAAACTTTTTATAGAAATATACTATCATTGTTACCTGACAGACATAGTGAAATGGTCACCTAATTTTACAATAAAAATATTCCAAAGTAAAATGGTTATTGAGAACTGAGTCACATCTATAACCTTTATTTTCTAAAGATGATCAAACTATTCACGTACATTTAATAACTTACCTGTTGATTTATATTGTAAATGTCCCAAGCTCGTTAAAATTGAACCAATAACAGCACTTCCCTTTGTGTTTCCTTGAATTGCTATACCAATATCAGAGCAAATCTTCTCTAACATATTCTCATCAATAAAATTTAAAACTGCACTACTGTACAATAGATCGCTGCACTGTTTTAAATCTAAATGATCCAAATTTCCTGCTATATTATAAGCTAACGAACGTAAAAGTGGAGTTGATCGACGCTTCTTAGAGGCAAGCATCGTCATTACCTGCAAAATGAATGATTAATGAAACGTCGTTTATTACATGTTCTATTTTAAAACATTAGTTTCTGTTAATGTTTCAGTGTAACGTACTTCACAAACTTTTTGAAAGTTTAAATGGAATATTAAAAGTAAACGTACTTATTTTCAGTGTTGAAAATTTAAAAGTGCTCCTACCTTCACTGTTTGAGGCAACGAGATTGAGGTGATAAGTTTAGCAGCTTCATCATCAGCAGTAATATTAATAATTGTCGATAAATCTTCATTTCGTGGAGTGACAAACGATTTTCTTGGACCAATCCGTTTCGTTAAAATCTTACACAATTTAATAAATCGAGGATCTGTATTGAAATCGGACAATTCGACTTTTCCCATTGATGACCACTCAGCAAGAAGAGATACTACCTAAACACACCAGTCAGTAACAATTAAATTCTGTTCAATGTTACCTTAAGTGCCCGTTTCCGTGAAATACCACTTTCATCTGCTATTGATAATAGTTCTCCGACTGTAGTCGCTTTTCCAATACTTTCATCAGTAAAACTTGAACTGATGTTAACTGTATTATCTTTCAAAGATGCGAAGGCGGCCGCAACTAAACCATTAGTTTCTTTATTTGGTTTTAAAGTTTGTGGTATGTCACTTTGCTGTTTCTTAATTTCTATTTCCCTATCTAGTTCTACATTTCGGATAGCAGCACTTATTGGGGCCGAGGAAAATTTGCTAAGATGGAACAACTGGACAGTACTTGATTTTGTGTACTGCGAAAGAGTTCGTGTAACTTTAAACATCTTCTACACGGGTTGCTAAACTAGCGCCTAGAGCAAGCTTTATTTATTATACAATTATGTAATAAATTAACGTCAAAATACAAGATATGAGATATATTAACTTTCTAACCTATTTCGCCCTTTCGGGGAAATGTTTCATTTTTATACACGAGAACTACCACGTGCAAATCAATAGAACTTCTCCGGTTCAATTCAACTAAATAGCATACAGAGTGCTTCATCGGCACAAGTACGTATTGAAAGCCAACGAGATTCGAATTTTTGCCAGCTTAGCCCTTTAAAATAAATAAACAAAAAACTGCCTTTAGTAGATTGTATGCGAAAACCATTTCTAAAAATGGAATAAATAAGACAGTTGGTACTGCGTATGCGCAAACATAAATTTTGAAACTAATTTTCCTTTTTTCCAACCGCCTATGTATCAAATTTCAATTAAATGCTTCCATAGATGAAAAAATTTGGCACTGCGCATGCGCAAAACCAAATGTTGAAACTGGCGTAAGATTTTCCTTTATTCCAAGTGCCTATGTATCAAGTTTCATTTAAATGCTTCCATAAATAAAAAAGTTGGCACTGCGCATGCGCAAAACCAAATTTTGAAACAGACGCTTGATTTTCCTTTATTCCAAGTGCCTATGTATCAAATATCGTTTAAATACTTCCATAAATAAAAAAAGTTGGCACTGCGCATGCGCAAAACCAAATTTTGAAACTGGTGTTAGATTTTCCTTTATTCCAAGAGCCTATGTATCAAACATGTAAAAAATTGTTTTTTGGTTTTTTTTTTACATAACTTTCTTAGCAATAAACCCAGAAAAATAATTCCGTCCTTGGTGCGAGCCTCGACACCATAACGAACCAAATAGCGAAAAAAGTAGAACAATAGCTCTTAAGATAAAGAACTAGTAGCGTCCCAACGGATGGCCGGACGGACAGACGGACGGACGGACCAAGTAGCCACAATAACGCATTTATTTTTTTTTGTGGAAATGCGCTAAAAACAAACCGCACGAGACATCATAAATGCAAGTGGAAAACATGATAAATCAATTTAGTACAAAAACACTTTAAAACACGGTGTATGTATAGGTACATTCAATTGAGATAAAACAACTAGTAAAATGATAAATTACATGTACATAAGAAAACATCAAAATGGCCCTATCGATGCCATCGCCATTCCCGTTAACTTCCGCTACTAGCTTCGTTATGAAAATCGCTGGTCTTCGGTATCTGCGTAGAACGGTCGAAATCAAATACGTAGCCCCATTGATGTATACAGGGTGTCTTAAATTAAGTAAGCTATCTTTGTTATTATTATCTTACAGATTCGGTTAAATTGGCAAAGTTGTGTAGTTTTTGAAGTTGATGCATATTCTGATGCGATATTTTGAGAAAAATACATTGTTGAAATATTTTAGTAACAAATAGAGAGATCGGAAAAAGTTTCAATTAATTCAATAAAGTAGGTATGGTACTGTACATTCTCTATTTAAAACACAAAAGTTTTTTTTCTTTGGAGACTCAAACTAAAACGTCAAAATGCACATTGCCAAAAACAATTCCCACCAGAATCGCTTGGTGGACATCGAACTAATGGGTATAGATGTGTCTGTAACAAAGCGCTGGACAATGGTTTAAAGAAGGATATGCTGTGCTTTAAGTGGTATAAGTATGAACTTCCGAATCAAAAATTCCGTTTTCGATTTATAATCGTTTTTTCGCGTATCTAATCATATCTGGAATGCTTTTTATTTTTTTCGGCGACACAGAGAAGCTCATTGTCTTCCCTAAATCAGACATCTGAAATAGATTCACTTTTTAATAATTTACCACTCTCTGCAGAATTAAGGCTTCGTAACAGGTTGAGACAAAACTGACATGCAGGAGAAGCTAGCAATGTGCCGTATAACGTATGGAGGCGAGATGAGGCGGCGAAGCCTGTCTACAAGCAGGGCGAAGCCGCTTAATAATTCTAATGGGGCGACGTTCCTCACGTAATACATCGATGTTTTGGTTTTGCAAAGAACCAAATTTTAAATCGCAGGGGAATAAAAAACTGCGCGCCATTAGAAAACGTCATAATAATTACGAATACTATTGATCAGTTATATCTATGTAGTATGATATACCATTGATTATACAGTAGTGTGTATAATCGTAGGTAATTGCACAAGTGCATCAAAATTACCGATAATTTTTTTGAAAGCATGTTGTCTAAAAACTGCATGAGTTTATTTTCATATTTTGGCGAAAGAGCCCGACACCGAAGGTGGAGGGCTCTTTTAAACAAATATGAAAATGACCGAATGCAGTTTTTTACTGACAACATGCTTGAATAAAAAATTATCAGGTTTATTTTGATGCACGAGTATAATTTAGGGGAATATTTCCCGAACAAGCATTACTTGTCAAACTGACGTACCTACCTACTTATAAATTGTCGACATAATTATTATGAAAGTGTCCAAAGGAGTTGCCAGTTGCCATGGATATGGACAGTGCAATTATCGCAGGGCTCTTTCGCTTTCTACAGTGCAATTATCGCTGTAATTGAGCGATAATTGCACACCTCATATGGCATTTATGACATATGAGGGAAATATTCAATTATAATATCACAAGAGCATACAAAATAATCGATTATACTACCGAATAACGAGACGAATGATCCGAAACACCACGAGACCGAAGGTCGAGTGGTGTTTCAACGGATTATTCGTCGAGTTACGAGGTAGTATAAAAATTATTTTGTAATGCTCGAGTGGTATTCGACAGGATTATATAATGAATAGAATTTTATTTTGACAGTTATTGTTATTGTCATCAAATATAGTGTATACTAGATTTATGACTTTAAATGACATAGCGAAAACACCAAATCGATTATATCACGTCGTCAAGGGTATAATCGCTTATTAATGCATTGGTATCTAAGGAAAGTGGAAGTTTTGATTGGCTCAATGTCGTATGAATGATATAATCATTATAATACAATCATGTTATAATCAATATGAATCTTTGATTATATAATCAAAGGTTTCCTTTCTACTACTTTTGGAGCACGCCATTATAGGACTGTTTTATTTCTGTAAAGGTAAGTTCATAGCTTTCCGTTCATACGTTTCCGTTTGTCCGTTAGCCAATCAGAAGACAGCAAATTTTTAAATCGTACGTCGTCCGTTTACGACGGAAAAGTTGGTTGAAGTTGAACATTTACGTTTCCGTTGGTCCGTTTTTAACAAGAGTGAGGTTATGTTTGTGTTTGGTACGTTAACAGTATTCGCCTATTCGTTCTTCACAGTAATAATCAGATAGCAACGTGTTTTTACTTTCGTATCATTTTTACATACTGAAAATCATGGAGGGTATAGTACAAAATAAAATTTAGGTTATGGTTATACGTTGCAAATGTACAATGTGGACGGATTGCTATGAACCTTAACAAAATGTACTATGCGTTTGACGGATCGACGCAACGGATGAACGGAGAGCTATGAACCCACCTTTTAAGGGGACAAGGTTGGCGCCGTTGGCGGTGCATAATCAATAATCATAATTGATTTGGTTGGTACAATATTACTGTTCTGTGGTTGGTACCTTAGAGAAGGAAAGAATAGTCTAAGGTTGGTACCAAGGTTGGTACTATGCACTATTGTCACATTAATTTAAAAACCAAGCGGCGATGTCATTTCAAGACAAAAAATCCGTAATCTGTATAAATTAATCAATTTATATGCAAGCACAATTTCAATTTTAATGGCATCACGTAATTTAAACAATCCAGGTTTATTTTCAAACAAATTAAACGTGCTTTTTATTAGTGGAGAATGGGAAATGATACTTTAAATATGGCGCTGCTGTGCGATTCCAGTTTGTTTACTTTTTTAGTGGGCGACGTCCTCGACGATGTGAATTAAGACAAAATAATGATAATTAAACTTTAAATACTACAACATTTCCGTTCTTAATTATAATTAGTTTATTTTTCCGTAATTTGGTAGTTTCAAAATTATGGCCACTGAAAAAAAAATGATTTGATGGGTGTAAATGTAGTAGAATGCAAGGGCGCAGCACTCCATGGTTATCTGCACACCTTTACCCACGTGGCACAGGTAGAATTTGATATAATTTTTTCCTCAAAATTCCTGTCATGCAAATCAGTATCAAAGTCATAGGACTTGGTTTGTCAGGGAGTGTTAATGCACTGAAGTCATTTTTCCCCAACATTGATCAAATAAAAACCGCAATTATAAGATTTAAAGCCATTTTAAGTGCTGATAAAAATTATGTATGGGTGAAAGTACCTACATTAATGTGATATGAAGGAATGGTTAAAGTTATTGTTAACCTTGTGTGAACAGTAAACCTAAACCTTTCAAACTTGATATTCTTCAGTATTGTACATTTGTCGTTTGCCTTTAATGTAGTCAACATGGACAAAATAAGTAAATTCATTTTGCAAGATGTATGTGATGTTTTAGATACGTACAGGGGTAGAGATAAGGTAACCAATATTTGTATCAATATAAGTGTGAAATAATTTTTTTTAGTTTATTCGTACGCTATGTTACACTTCAAAATTGATTGGTAGCTGTACTTGCGATGAAGTATTAGCCAAAAGGTGCCAAACTTTCAGTTCGCAAATGTCCGCTACCCGAGCGGTTTTACGATTGTTTGACGACTTGCCCATGTTGAGACATTCCTTGCAATACGGCTTAGGAAAACAGGTCATTTGAAAATGTGATTCTTATTTTTAGTCTTATGCGATCATTTCCTTCATTTAGGAACCCGATCAGTTTATGGCTTCTGTGGGTGTTGTGGGCAACATTGTAGATCAGTTATACTTTCCAGTTGATAAAATAGCGTGGCTTGCAGATCTTAAACTTATTAATGTTGAAAATAGTAAATTTTGGGAAACTGCCAGTACAGCCATATATGTTGTTTCTCTTTATTTAAATCTTATAAGGTTTGAACAATTTCTCATGTTGTATGGCGTATGAACTTTAATTTTTTTAGAACGGTGCGATATCTAAATGTATTACACAAGCACAAGGAATGTGTAAGCAGTGAGGCTGACAAAAGGTATGTTACAATAATCCTTAAGAAAGACTACCAGCACTAGTTTTTTAGCGCCTTAACAAAACTGATTGTTACCGAACAAACAGAATATTTAACATTTATACGTTTAGCACTTGATCTTGTTCATGCTGTTAATTGCCTGCCATCTGGTTTTCTATGGTCATCTAAATTAAACTCGTGGCAGGTTGGAGTAGTAGGAACACTATCATCGTTAGTAGGATTGTATCAAATGTTTGCAAAGAAACATGCAACTGAATGAGGTATTTCTAAGTTCCTTCCATTGTATTAAGTGTAGATAGAAATAAGTTACCACCATAAATTGTTTTTATTTATTCAATTAAATATAAATTTGTATATATTTGAAGTAACGACTTTTTTTTGTAATGAAAAGATTATGATAATTTGCAAGATTAAAAGATATGCAAGTATATTGCACACAAGTAGTCGCATTCATTCAATTAGAAGATTTGGAAAATTACCATTTTTATTGTACAGTAAAAACCAGTACAGACCAAAGGGCAGAAAAGGCCTCTTTGTATGAGTTGTAGGCATATAGCGGTGGAGTTGGTTAACCATTATTTTGAATCGATAAGCTCCATTTGGTTTTATTTTCTAATACTATGCGATCAAAAATGAATTGCTGTCGAGTCGCCTTTGGAAGTTCAAGTCAAGTACGATTTCCCATGTAAACAAAAATTCCAAAGGCTACTTGACAGCAACTCATTTTTGATCGCAAAGTAGTATTTTATGATAAAAATAATTATTATATTTATATCCCGATTTATATTTAATGAACGCATTAAAAACGTTTGCAATAATACTTTGCTATAGTTACTCATATAAAGTTTTATATTCCTTTCCCTATGATTGATGTTTGCTTAAGATCCCTATTATGGGCCATTCAAATTTATCTGATACTAATAGATAACCTTTTATGTGACTACATACATTTGCATGGAAATAAACTGCCAGATAGGGGTAACATGTAAAATCTGGCCTAAATTACTAAGACAATTTTTTAATTGTACCGCTCACTTTGTCTGTTTAAAATGAACCTGCCGAGATGATTACTGTTTTGATTGATTCACTACTTTAATTATACATATACAGGGTGAAATTTTTATCTGGTAGGTACACTGAATATGTCTACAAAACAACATGTTTTTAGAAGTAGCTTTTTATGTTATCCAAAATTATAAAAAGTTTGCTACTAATCTATACCTACTTAAGCATGGCCGAAGGGGTCAATTTAACAAAATGGCACCAACCCCCTTTGACCGTGCAGGAGTACGCCACTGACCACAAATTTGAAGTACTACACGGTACTACGTAGATTGGTAGCAAACTTTTTATATTTTTTTACAATACCATAAAAAACGTTGTTTTGCAGATATATGCAGTGTTCCAGAGAAAATTTTGACCCTGTATAAAAATTTTGGGCACAAAAACCAATTATCAATCGAAAATCTGCTCTCAAATCTCCAAACTCATTTACAAAATACCACTGTTACAGCTGCGTTTGTCCACGACGTCATATGTTCTCTTCAAAGTAATAATTTTAATAAGTCTTTTAGCGCATTTTTGAAAAAAAATACGCTATTATACTCGTTATGGCTGGCTGGCTGTCCGGCTGAGATCTCAGCAATTATAATTGCTAGAGAGCAATTACAATTGCTAGAGACTTTAAATTTTCACTAAAAGCTTTCTGTTATAGTGTAGATTACTCGAGATTTTAAACTTTGCTAATTTCATCATGCATATTCTGATTTACAACTTATTTTTTTTAAGAAAAACGTGTGCACTTTATTTTGGAAGATTTTTCATTGTTTCATTTTATAAGGACTTTCCATCGCTTAAAGTACTATGAGATCAAAAAAGAATTGCTGTCAAGTTACCTTTGGAATTTTTGTTAACATCATATTTAACTTGTACTTCGAAAGGCGGCTCGACGTCAATCCTTTTTTGATCACCCGTTATGAGTGCCAGCATTGTATATACAATAGTGCCAGGTATCTACTTAATCTGTCCATGTTGTCTGCTACAATACATTTTACTGAAATGTGTTATTGACCCGAAATTGTGGCAAAAGGTTCTTAGGGGAATTGCGCGATATACAATCATTTTAAAATTACAAATAGTTTTATTACTAAATTTTTTGCGAATTTAGGTAGATTAAATTCTCTGCATAACTTTTTTTGCACTACCACAGTAACAGAATTTGGGGTAGGGCAAATATAAAACTTAGCAATCAAAAACTTAATACCTAGTAGTAGGTAGTAGGAAAAAACTAAAGCGTAATTTACATGGGATAGTAAAACTCTCACAAGCTTCTGTCAGACACCACTTACCAATAATTCTCATAATGTAAACAGTGATAGAGAGCGCTCTCCCAGCAAGTCGAAAACTTACCGCCAAGTAAATGCTGCAATAAAATCTTGCACGTCTAAACCACGGAACTCTTAAAAAAAATAAAAGGTCCGTGGTCTAACTACAGTTTAGACAGCAAGTTCACATTTACTTCAATCTTGTTGAAAATTGGCGCGCAAGTGCTGTGTTACATGGAGGGAAAACGTGTATGGTCAAAACAAGACACGTCTTCTTTAATAAATAAACTGTTTGGCGCTCAAAGGTGACAGTTTTAGAAAATTTGTATTGTTGAGCTTTAAATGTTTTCAGTTATGACTAGTGTCCACAATATTTATTCCAAAATTACTGGTTACTGAAATTTTACAAAGCCAACAAAAAAAAACAGTTTTAGATATGTTATTACCAAACTAATAATTTTTTCGAGAATTTTTTATCTTTATGTTCAATTGGAGATTCGAACCAGGATCCCATTGTCAGTACATAGCTAATTATATATTGCTAGTCCAATCGACCCAGCCGGCTGACTTCTTTTAATAATTTCAAGAATTATTAAATAAAAAATGTAACCATTCCATTAACCCCTGAATTATATGATTGTAGCTACGAGTAAAAAATAAAAGACGAGAACCTTGCATTAAAAGGGGACTTGACGGAAATCCGGACAAAAAGGAAGTTATAAAAGTATGAGAAGAGTGGGGAGAAACGCGTCATTATTGGCAGTGGTGTAATAAAACAAAACTGACATCATCTCTTCTGTTTTATGATAAGTCAAGTCGACATAACTGACCAGCCCAAAGGAAGTAATATGATTACGACTTCTGTCGCGTGTTATGCTATTTCCCACCACCGTTATATTCTCTCTTCTTATTTTTTTACTGGTAGTATTGTAGGGATGGTAGGTGTTACCCACCAACACCATTTCTGTTGTTAGTTTTTGGTTAATACTTTACCCTAATATTATAGCATCAAATTTCCAAAATAAATAGGTACATATTACACAAACACTGCCTCCACCAAACTAACACGCAATAAACCATCATGCGAGCATCAAATTCCCGGACAGATTTTTTTCTGTATGCTTTATTGCTAAACTAAAATTAGAGCTTTTCAATAAACTTTTATTAGGAAAACATTTATAAAAAATCAAAAACGTCAATTCTTTAAACACTAAAATCACATAGTAATGATTCACTTTAGAGTACTTTGGCAGTACCCAGAGTTACTCGACTACAAAAGCATTCTAAAGGCACTTGCAGTTTGGAATAAAACATAAGTACCTATTATTACAAAATAGAAACGCTTATAGCTACTAATGAGTTTCAACATAAAATTTTGACAGTCTTGACCTCTGAAGGCTGTTAAAATTACTTTATCCTATAAAAATGAAGAAAGAAACTCGCGTCTATCCTTCTCAGATTGCACTAAAAGTATTTGTTTTAAAATTTGATTGCATAGCTAATTTATACAATAGGATGATAAAAATATTTTATATTTCCAATAACAACGTATTCTAGTATAGGTATTGGATATAGTTTTAAAGTTCTGAATAAAATTTTGACGCCTAATATTAAAAATCGATTTATAAAAATAGCTGCAAAATAATTTTGCAAGAAAAGTACTTAGAATGAGATTGATATTACTACTTTTCGACTTTCTTTCTTCAGTAGGTACGTACGTAGTTAAAACTATATATTCTAAAATTTTCATCACAATTATGAAATTATTGTTTGGTTAGTTTAACACTTACAACACGAAAGAATTTACATAAGTTACGAAGTAAAAAAGACAACACAAATGAAACAATAATCTTCTCAAACAATAACAAAAAAATCACCTTTGAGGAACAACGAACGATAGGAATTCGGCGGTGGCTAGTAACTGAAAAAATAAAAACAGACAATTAATTAATTTTTTTCTATTTACTTATATACGGTAGAAAAATGGAACCATAAATAATAGATATTACTTCAAATTTTCTACAAAATAATTTAACACCATAATCGCAACCGGAACTTTGCCAAATCGTCACCAACATCAATCCATGATTAGTGATAAATACAGTATAACTGTAAGTAGCTAGACTTATAAAATAAATACATATCAAAAAAATTATAAACCCCAGTATTATACTTCCCACATGTAAACAATTATTATATGTAAAAATAACATCGCTACTTAAAAGTATGAACTTTAGTGAGCTATAAACTTTATTAAAAACTTCGTTATGACTAAAATATAGAATTTCTATCAATTTTAAAATTCCTAAGAATTTATTTTAACACTATGTTAATCACTATCGCCATTAAAATCCAGCTTTCGTAAATATTCCTTCAAGTTTTGTAGCGTAAGGATTAGAAGATAGAAATTTGTAACTTGCAGTTCGGTTAAAATTTTACATTTTAAAGGTAACTATATAAACTATTATAACCACTACCTTCCTTATTTCTATTAGAAAATATGGCAAATCGGATAACAACAGGATTACCTCTTGTAGTTGTTACCTAATAATATGTTATGCTAAAATTGCATAAACGCTTAAAATTAATTTGCACATAAAGTGCAAAAGTCTTTCAGTTCAAACACAAAAAAACGTACTTGCTCAGTTAAGTGATCCATTACCCAGTCCCACAATTGAATTGTTTTTGGAGTTTCGCATAAGTGGCTTATGACTCCTTTGATCACCGCTATGTTGTAGCTGCCAGCACATTCTGCAGTAATAACGGAAACACGACATTTCCCTGCAAAAGTAGGGCCCTTGATGTATGGCACACACATAGCACAATGAATCTTCAAGGTATGGATCCACTTGCACCTAAAATTAAATTCTGTACTGCGGAGTTAATTCCGAACATATTCCATAAACAATAAAATAGGTAAGCAGCCATAGCAATTAAAGGAAAACTAATTAGGATACAAGGTTCTATTTGCGTCTAATTTGGTTACCTTTTTTGTAAACTTATCAGTCTTAATTTCAATAAATGCAGCGGACACAGCACGCATGTAGGAACGTGGATTATTGAAAGTCACACGGCCGGAACCAATTGGGTATTTGTATTTATCAGTGTCGATGCCTACAAAAGTAAAATAGATCTTCACTTAGCCAAAGTAGCACATGATTACCGGCATATATGACACCATCAAACAGATCATTCATGACCTTTGCCAATCCTTCTGCATTTAACATACCATGTAAAGCACCAACAAATACAGTCTTACTAGGATCTAACTTCTGAGAAGTAGATTTTGTAAAATTGGAATCATTCAGAATCCAAGGAATAACTTGTACCTATAAAAAAGAATCGATTTTGCCAATTTTTATGTAAAGAGATAACGCACCTCCTTTGACTTCATCCTTTTCGATGAGATTTTAAAGTACCAATTACCAGAATTGGCAGTATCATTAGTGCACGCTTGGAGCAGAGCTCTAACATTTTTTTCAGCCTCAAAAATTATATACACGTATCCCTTAGGTTGAATTGCTTGCTTGTCTTTGCCGGGCCATTCAACACTAATATTTCCAAACTGTTTGAATGTTTGCAGAAGTAACTGTTCCGAAATATCCCACGGTACTCCTCCCAAGAACACTTTGCTGGAGTAACCTATCGGTTTTGATGAACGTACTGGCAGTACACCACTCCATGTGCACGTTGCATCATATACGGCTAAGGTATTTGGTAAATAAGTACTGGTACTTAAAATACTGATTACTTACAAGCTGCCGAACGATGGTATCGTGCCACTCTATCCAACTGTATGTCTTGCACGTGGCTGGCCAAATTCATTAAATTCAAGGTGTTGTTGGCAAACTTATCAAGTACCTACAAAATTGTAATTACATTGTGTTTTAACAGCTACTTGAAAGTTACTTGAGAAGCATTAGTAGACGAACAGGCGGGATGCAGCAGTGAGTTAAGCACTGATGGCGGCTGCTGCAAGTACTTGTTAAGAGTGTGAAGAGTTTGTAGGTTTTGTAAATTAACCAAATCCAATTCCCCCAAAAAGTTGGTGTTATTGAAGCAGTTACGTGGTATAGCATCACCGTTAAGATTTATGGAATTCTAAAATGCCCCAATGACCAAAAGGAAAAATAGCGAGAAAGTCTTACAAATATATCGGTGAGGCTGTCGGGTGTTGATATGGCACTTTCACGATCGGACATCTCAGCATGTGATCCAAAGTTTCCAATGGATGAGTGTTCGCTGACAATCGGACTAGCGTTGCTACTACTGTCACTGATAATTCAAATAGTTATTAAACGAACGCGCAATCCACACTTACCTCAATGAAGAGCTCCGAATAGTACGCCCATTTAAATGTGACTGGGGTGAGGAAAGACCCGAAGCATTTAGGGACAAGTTACTTGGTAGGTTCTTCATTGCTGATGAGTTTGGGATATAACCATTTAATGGTGCGTTCAATTTGTTGTTGTCAAAGTTTAACTGTGAAAAGATTAAATGAACATTTCTCTCAATACAAAAATTGTATTATTCAAAGAGTAGATACAATCAAAGATCAAATTGTTTTTCTGATGAGTGCGTTATAATGGTAAGGACTCCACAGTGATTACAAATAGTGTGATTCCATCGTGGCGCGTACAGTTGGAAACAAAAGCGCGCTACGTTTACTTTTACGTTCACCAAAAACCAAAATGTTAAAATCAGTGTTTGTTTGGTTTCATAACTTGAAGCAAACCAAAATATCTGGTATAAAAGTCTAATGAATAGATAGGTGGGTTACCTTACAAACGGTTCGGTCCGGCAAAATTTACAGTACAACCCCCCCCCCCCCCCGCGCATCTGCCCCCATATTGATAAAACCAAAAAAATAAAATAACTTTCTTCTGAGTTTCACTTATACCTAGTATCTATTGATGCATTGCGGAACAAAAGAGTTCTACACAATATTGTAGAAAATTAAATTTCCTGTAGTTTACGTTTTTTAAATCAAATATTAGAAACCCATCCGCACCGGACCGACTTTTTTACGGACGTCGATGCATGTGAATGCTCAAATACAACTTAGTGTGTTTCTACAGTATCCAGTAATTTCAACGGTCCGTTAAAAAAACGGATCGTGTGAAAGGGCTGTTAAAGGTGTGTTGTAAAAATGATGGATGTGTGAAGATCTCGAGGATCGTTCTGTATTCAGTTGTATCGGATTTTTTTTGAGACCAAAAGAAATCGCTGGAAATTATTTTCAAGTTTTTAAGTTTGCCGCTAGAGGTCGCACGATTCATAGATATGTAGAAAAATTATTTTTTTCCTAAAATATACTTACCCAACAAACATGTATAAAAATACAATCATCCCAATCTTATATGACTTTTGCATCATTTTCATGCAGCACAAAGTACTCTAGCTCGTAAAATATGAGGGTTGAGGGAAGGGAAACATCTCTTTAAGAAGTTGAATGTAATTCGGTTTAGGTTAAGCGATTTTTACAATATTGGTCTTATTCGTATAATCAGATTTTACATGAATAGTTTTTTTAGTCAATGGGGTGAGTGGTAGAAGGCGCGGTTTGGAATTAAGAGGGGAGGTTGGGAGCTGAGAAGGCGTCAACCTCATCCGAAATGTCTAACTATGCTCAATCCCAAAAGAAGACACAAATAAGAGCAGATCTTCAATGTTAAATGTATCTGGTGGGTAACTCCCATGAAGATGAATGTTACTGTGTCATCAACTCATGGGATAGAAGATAATTACAGTTAACTGTAATAATTCCGCCTAAGAAGACCGTCTAAATTTTCTATAAAAAAAACTACTTAAGTCTTATACTTCACGTATGCAATTTAAAATAGCATTTCTAATCAATTGTAAGTCCAGCCTCTACCATTGAATTAGCTACCAAACAAACTTCCTGGCTACGAGTCTATAAGTGTACAAACAGAGTGGAAGCAGGTTTCTCGCTTTCCGGTATCTCGCGCCAATAGGAGCAGGTTTCTCGCGCTGTGACTGCACACAATAAAAGCGAGAAAAAGCGAAGCCGGTGGCGGAGTGGTTGCGTTGCCGATTGCTATTCGAGAGGTTGTGGGTCCGATTATCGCTTATAGAGGTTTTCTCAAACATGTCCTTATAAGAGCTTCTTTATCCGAAACTCGGGCGAGAAACGGCAGAAAAAACTAAATTTTTATTCCGACAAAAGCGTGGACGCGGTGGCCGGCGCCGACAAGTTTTCACCTGCCTATTGACTACGTTCACGCTAATTTGAAAACATTATATGATTTCCAAAGCGAGAAGCGCGAGGCAGCGCTGGTAGCCGGTAAGCGAGAAACCTGCCTCCACTCTGTTCGTACCCTAAAAACGGAACTCTTGCATCTTCACATGAACTTATCTGACAGATAATCTCAATCTCCTATATGAATAGATTTATTAGATAGATAGACCGTAGCGTAAATGCTCTGTCCTTATAGTCTACATTATACGTCTTGGTTTATTTATACCTATACCTACTACCGCTGAGTGATAGATCCTTCACTCAACGCTACTACTCTTCAGTACACTGCATTTCCAATAGTAGGTATCTACCTAGGTACTCACTGCATGTGTGAATAGTAGGTAGTGCGTTATTGAGGCTGCAAATGGGGTGGTTTCGTACTCATTTATCATTCACCAATCCCACACAGAAATGAATTCGAAGCACACAACAAATTGTAGACATGTTCATGTTATTGCAAAAAGAACTTTGTGTGTTACATTGAAACTCTTACATCCCAATATTCATTGGTAGAGCTTCATAGCTATGTGGTGGCAGGGCGGTGTTGTTATAATGAGGCTGCATTTCAGTACCTAAACTACATCTATTGCTTGACAAATGTACCTACTTATGAGCTATAAAATAGGTATAATTGTGTAGTTCACTATAGATACGTTTCCTGAATATAAAATTATGAATTAAAACTACATTATGTTAGTATTATAATTACTAAACAAAAAGCAAGACGTAGGAAATCTATAAGTAAACACATTACCACAAGTATCTTACCTACATTCTGTCGAAGTGCTAGCACAATTCAATGCTAGCACTAAGCTACGAAGTATGGACGTTTTACTGTAGTAATACATATTATGAAATAAAAATGCATAAATAAGACATAATAAATTACAATTAAATGAGCATAGTAAACCATTGCCAGTGGTAATAACATTGAAATGAAACATCTAAAATGGTTGCAATGCAATTGGCAAGATTCCTAACGCGTCTTTGCTCTAACGAATGTGTAATTGCATGAATCTTTTTAGTCCATGCAAATTTATTGATAATGATTAACCCTTATAAGAATTTGCGAAATTCGTAGCTTTGGCAACAGACTATCAGCTTTGCCTGTACCGAAATATAAACACGTAAGTTTTGTAACTTTACTGATAGATGGCGGTACATACCTTCGTTTTACAACGTAGATATGAAATTCGAAAAAAAACGCTTAAATAATAAAGTACGAGTAATTAAGGCACACAACTTACGTGCTGTAAGTTATTTGTGGTTGTTGGGGAGTACAATCCAGAAGGACCGCCGCCAAAAGAACTTCCCAATAAACCTCTCGGCGTATTTAATCCAAGTAAATCCGTAATGGACATGGTTTCCTCTGAAATGAATATAAAAACTGATCAGTATCACTTTAGCACAATTAAAAATTATTAAAATCGAAGTGAAATTTTAAAACGTTGACTTTTTAAGGCAGAACAGCTTAGTTATAAACGAGAACTGATGCTCGTTTTGTATTTCATGCGTTTGCACAAAGACCGACTTGATCAATTCTTTATCTCAAAATTCGATAACGAAATTTGCATGCGAACGGCGAATTTGATTGCGTTTACTATTTGCAATTTAATTACCTTACCTGCGCTATTATTGTAAAATTGGCCAGACAACAAATTCTCCCTTCTCGCCATTTTAAATACGCAAAAATCAAATTTTGAATACGCACCGCAATAAAACGTCACTACTAGGTACACTATGTTAAAAACAATGGGAATACGAAAGGTACAGTACCGTACAAAATTCAAGTCGGTCCTTTTCAAGATATTTTTATCGGGAATTCACTACTGATGGTAATTAGTAATTACGGGTATCAATGGATGTTCATAACAAATGTCTTTATTTTTACCAATTTCAGACATGCCCGCGAGTTACATTTACACAAGGTGTGTAGAAAATACACGGAAGCTACAATAACATTATTTGAATAAAAAAACGAATCAAAAATTCGCGCATGCGCAGATCTGCTCGGCAAGAACTATAAATTACTATCGTACTACATTGATAAAAACTGCAAAATACGTCCGGTAAAAGAAGAAGCACCACATAAAGTTGTGTCAGTTACCTATGTAATAAATTCTGATTTGAGTGTCTTAAAAAACTTTACCTACTCTCAAAATTGTAGATCAGGGTTTAGTCTTTCGGCACTTTCGAAACATTTGAGTTTTGCTCGGCCAGGTAGACAGCCTACAAAATCGTACGCACATTGATGTCCAAAGGAATAAAATTTTAAACTGATGAAATTTTTACTCAGGGTTTTTTTTTTGTCAGACGCTACAAACGTATTTTGTTAGGGAAACAGCAAAACGTCATCGTTCACCTGGGAGTGTTTGAAGTAAAAAAAAGGACGATGGGCTTTTGATTGCTTTTGGAGCCGCGGGAACCGAAGTAGGTATGGCGTTTTATTTTTTTCTGAAAAGATATTGATATCGATATTGCCGTCCAGACTCGAAATGTGACAATTTTGCGGAAATAATGCGTGTTATAGGACTCCGGAAACTATTTGAGTTGTGAAAAAAATCGGATGCGAGAGAGGTCACAAAATGTTTTAAAATAAACCAAGGTTCACAATAATGTTTCGTTTAGAAGTTACCTTTGGAAGAGCCCTCGAAATTGCATTTATTCTTTGTAGAGAAGCATATAAAACGTATCATGAAATATAGCCAGTATATAGTGTATGCATGTATACAGAGTGGATAATCAAGATGGAACCAAAGCGCTGGTGTGAAAACGGTGGGAGACATCGGTTTGAAAGTTTTAGGATTAAGATATGATGTGTTTGTGCATATTCTAGCCTAGCATGAAAAGAAAATGTTTGTCCCGTATGGTTTTTTGACACGGCCGTCATTTAGTTTTTTTTTAAATGGCAACATAGGTTTTGCAACACATCATTGGAAGGCTTATTTTACCTTCATTACGAATATGCGCAATAGCAAAAATACGGTTACGCAAAACTAACTATTTATTAGGGCGAAATTGTGAATAATACAACAAGAATTGTTACCTTTTATCTTTTTTTGAGTTCTACTACATTTTTATCAATTTTAATTTATTACAAATTGTATTACATCCTCTTTCTAGAATTTTTAATCGATAAACAATCTACAAAACAGTTCTCGAATTTGCATAATTAGGTTTCAACTCAACCGTATTCGTTTAATGTTTGTAGTTCCTTAATAATTTTTACCCAAAATCGTCCTGAAACCTTCATTTTCATGGCTACTTTCTGTCAGGAAATTTTAGTTTCCATGACGGAGGCAGAGCACTCTACGTTTCCTGTCGCTTGTCACTTTACTGGCCGCACCTGTCACTATATCGGCCGCACCGTCACTTTACCGGTCGGATTTTCGACATTTTCTCAAATGTCTATGACTCCTGTCATTACTGACAGATTGACATTAATCAAAAGTTTTATATAAAAATTGAAATTTTATATTCAAATACGATTTCGGGTAAAATTTAATACAAAACTCGTCAGTAAAATGACATTACCTGACTCGGAAATTAAAGTACTCGGCCCCATAGGAGCCTCGCACGTCAATATTTCCTTTGCCAGTAATGTATCATTTTCCGGACTTTTATGTATAAATAACTATTACGTAACCGTATTTTTCCTATTGCATATTCGCAATTAAGGTAAAATAAGCCTTCCAACGGTGTGTTGCAAGACCTCTCTGTTGCCATTAAAAACAAACAAAATGGCAGTCGTGTCAAAAAACCAGGTACAGGACAAAAATTTTGTTTTTATGCTAGAATATGCACAAACACGTAAGTACGATTTCCCATGCTCGTTCCCATGTAAACGAAAATTCCAAAGGTGACTCGACAGCAACTCATTTTTGATCGCATGGGCAGTTTGTTATGTGAACTAGGATAGCTTATACCGCTAAAGGGGTCATCTAAAGGATAAGTTTTATTGGACTCAAAAAATAATACGGAATTACGTAGTAAAGAGGAAGAGGAAAGGATACCTCTTTTAAATCTGTTTTCTTCTCTTATATATATGATTTTTCTACAACTGTAAAAAAAACCTGTCATTTTCTGACGAATTTCAAAACGCGAAGTACTATATTTTTAACCGGGTTGCTCTTGACATCGTGCGCGAAATCGTCAACAGTGAAAAAAAGTATTTCGCGTACGTGACACAGTTGAACTTAAACAGCAAATTTAATTAACTATCTGTTCAGTTGTAGAAAAAATATTGTATATAACGCTAGCGCGAAGTATTTGACTGATATTTTAACTCGGCTTCGCCTCGTCAAAATACCTTCAGTCTCAATGCGCGAAATTGAACTTCGCGCTCTTGTTATATAAATACCTAACTATTTTATGTACTAGTGAACACTAGTTTATAAAAAGTTGCTTATTTTACATGGTGCTTAAAAAGAATTCAATTTTTAAGGTTAGTTTTTGAACCTTATAATGAAAATATCAACATAAAACGGAACCTTTTCTAAAAGGAAACCAGCTGTCATTAAATAATATCAACTCTCACATAGAAACTAATGGGTTACAAATGTGATTTGTGACAAAAACTAAAATCAGCTAAATTTAGGATACTTATAGAATGTTATGGAGAATCTAAACATGACAAAATATATAGGGTGTTCCATTTAAGATAAACAAGTTAGCGTCAACTTTCGATACAACCGCAAGTCCGCAACTGACAATATTTTAGATTTTCTTTATCGATATTCAATTTTATCGTATATTGTCAAATTTTAGCTTTATTTTAAATTAGACACATTCACCTACTGCTCCTACCTCCGTAAATAGGTATGTGTCTTTCAGTTCAAAAAAATTGACTTGGGAGATCTTTCAAAAAAGTTTGCAAATTAAAAAAAAATAAAGTAACATTGTACTTACCCAAATTAATTTCATTCAGGAGTTCTGGTTGTCGAATTAACGAATTTATAGAGTGCTTTTGTAAGATATCAGCAACTTCTCTTGGAGGTAACGCTTCGGTAACGGACACTGATAGTCTCTGTAAAAAAAATTAAAAAAAATTACACAAGTTCTTGTAAAAGTGAGTCCCCTTATCGCGTTTCCCATACATAGATCAGTACTTTTTGCAAAGGCAATAGCTCTGTATGTGCATGCGTTTTCACCTCTCTAAGGCGCACATTGTGGTTAATTTGAAAAACATTTCTCCATACATAAGAAAGATAATCGGTATTGTGTGCACTGTATTTACCCTTATATTATTTATATTGCAAGAATGTATAGTTTGTTTTAGGTAGGTATTTGTTTAAGTACTTATACCAATTTGAAATAAAAAAATTCTTAAATTTGGAGTTGTACAAGTTGTTACTGGTGGGATTAAAAACCATGGGGGGGGGTGTTCGCAATGCAGATTTATGTTTCTAATGCAGCCTATGTCCGGCACACGGCCATACGCGATCTGGCAACCCTGTTGTCTAACAAGACTTTGTTATGCAGGAATACTTCTTTTCGATCTCTTCAAATCCAATAACAATTACAATTAGAAAAAACTTTGGTTTAGTTTATAGTCGACGGTAAAATGTAATATATACCTATGTATTGTATCTCGAGAAATGCCCACTGGAAACACGAGTGTTTGCTGGAATTCGCTATACGCCTTTCCTGTGCTGTCAAATTGAAGATTCGTCATAAAAGACACTTTTTCGGTCTTAATACATAAATATAATATGCGACCAGATAGATCGTAATGTCACATAATATAATAGTACCTATATTATATACTGAGGGACTAAAGTGTGTGTTTTAATCCCGAGGGTGCAGATTGTTGCCCGAAACGTAGTTAAGGGCAACAAGCACCCGGGGGATTAAAACACACACTTTAGTCCTGTGGTATATACGCTATTTTTTGTACTCCGGTAATCAGCTACGGCAATTTCAATGTTAAAGTGCAAATTTGAAAGAAAAAATATTTGATTGATTGTAGGATCAATATACTTGGTAATGTCAATTTGTGACCGTATAACGATAAATGTCAGTTTGGTTTCTAAAGATTTATGTTCTAATGCAGCCTATGTCCGGCACACGGCCATACTGCGATTATGGCAACCCTGTTGTCTAACAAGACTTTGTTATGCAGGAATACTTCTTTTCGATCTCTTCAAATCCAATAACAATTACAATTAGAAAAAACTTTGGTTTAGTTTATAGTCGACGGTAAAATGTAATATATACCTATGTATTGTATCTCGAGAAATGCCCACTGGAAACACGAGTGTTTGCTGGAATTCGCTATACGCCTTTCCTGTGCTGTCAAATTGAAGATTCGTCATAAAAGACACTTTTTCGGTCTTAATACATAAATATAATATGCGACCAGATAGATCGTAATGTCACATAATATAATAGTACCTATATTATATACTGAGGGACTAAAGTGTGTGTTTTAATCCCGAGGGGGCAGATTGTTGCCCGAAACGTAGTTAAGTGGTTAATAAGTGAAAAAATATGGTGCAAGAATAAATATGTACAATACAGATAACCATTAATCATTAAATTGTGTTTGACAATTCAGTGTGTACTGTCACTTATAGTCCCGCGTCCCGTTTTTCTCCCTCCGGGAGAAAAAATTGCACTTTAGTCCCTTAAATGAATGACAAAACACGTTGATTTAGTCCACAGCACGATACACTTACACACGGTATGCTCATTATTTTTCTCAAACGCGTTTTCTACTGCGCATTACGTCACCTGCGAACGTGTGGCGCCAAAATTCAAGTGTTTACGCACGGAAAAATCCAGTACAGATGTCACGCGTGACAGTTTGCACCTTTTCAGTTGTATTTACGAGTTTTATAGCGTTAATTTGTTGATAGCTAAGCATTAATTTGTTGATAGCTAAGTAATCATTAGTGAAAATTCCAAAATGCCAGGTTGTGTGTGGAAATAAAATAGGTACTTTCGATTTCCGAAAATTGAAGACTTTTCTCTAAAATGGATTGTTGCAAGTCGTCGTAAGGACAAAATTACCTTGAAAAATGGTGTTGCATTATTATTAAGTGGTGTGTTTAAGTCTTTCCATTGCTGTTTAATCCTATATATCCTGTATTTGTTATGAACATTTTGAAGCCAGCCGTTTTGAAGCACCGCAAGGGAACGACTCCTTAATTAGACCTACTTTTAAAAACAGCGGATGTTTGAAACCTGATGCTTTACCTACTTTAAAACTACCGCGTAATAATGAAAATCAAAATAAAAGGGACACGGAGGAGCGATTAGATCTTTTGATAATGCATTAATTATATAATTTTTACTGAAACAGCCGCATTTCATGTTTAGGGCCAATGTTTTTGGTTAGAGTTTATTTCATACGATCACGAAATCCCAGAAATAACTTACGCGAGGATCTCTACACAAATCAGTATGATTTGTCAACTAACCTTGTGATTTGTCGATCTAAGCATCGTAATTTTGCTCTTATATTCTGTGGTTTTGTTCGCACGTGACGTCACGCTAGATGCGCAAGAGCACGATACACTTACAACGGTATGCTCTTGCGCATCTAGCGTGACGTCACGTGCGAACAAAACCACAGAATATAGAGCAAAATTACGCTTCTTAGATCGACAAATCACACTGATTTTGTGTAGAGATCGTCGCGGCGGGTATTTCTGGGATTTGGTGATCGTATGAAATAAACTCGAATGAAAAATATTGGCCCTAAACATGAAGTGCGGCTTTTTCAGTAAATATTATGTAATTAATGCTTTATTAAAAGATCGAATTTCTCTTCCGTTTCCCTTTTATTTTGATATTCATTTTACGTGGTAGTTTTAAAGTAGGTAAAGCATCAGGTTTTCAAATGTCCGCTGTTTTTAAAAGTAGGTTTAATTAAGAAATCGTTCCCTTAGCGGTGCTTCAAAACGGCTGGCTTCAACATGTTCAGAGCAAATACAGGTTATAGAATTAAACAGCAATGGAAAGACTTAAATACACCACTTAATATTAATGTAACACCATTTTTCAAGTTAATTTTGTCCTTACGACGACTTGCAACAATCCATTTTTGAGGAAAGTTTTCAATTTTCCGAAATCGAAAGTATTTTATTTCCGTTCCTTTTGTTTTTCTATTAGAATTGCCCCATTGAGCCACTACAGAACCTGGCATTTTGGAAATTTCACTAATGATTAATTAGCTATCAACAAATTAACGGTAAACCTCGTAGATACAAGATACAACTTATAAGTTGCAAAACTGTCACGCGTGACATGTGTACTACTAGATCGGCCCTGGCGTAAACATTTGAATTTTGGCGCCACATGTTCGCAGGTGACGTAATGCGCAGTAGAAAACGCGTTTGAGAAAAATAATGAGCATACCGTGTGTAAGTGTATCGTGCGCAAGGAGCATACCGTTTGTAGTGGTAACATCGTGGTCCACAGAGTACAAAAATTATATTTGACAAATGTTTCGTATCTCGGCAAATAAAGAGATAATTGAGGGGAGCCTCGCTTTCTCGAACTCACTGCATATTTGTTGTAACTATATGTTCATTAGAGTAATGGCTCTTGTTTATCTGGTTAATGTTAGAAATTAGACATACCCAATATTTTAAGCTAAGAAACAGTACATAAGTTAAGATAATGACAGGCATGATGTACTAATACCTAACAGTTATTTCTAAAAAAATCTAAGTACCCTCATACTTACATATCCGCAAGGTGCAAAGTTTGCTTTATTGAAGCTAGAAAAAGCTACAAAACCGTAAAAGCTTAAAGAACATGCCCTGAAAGAGCTTTAAGAACTTACAGTCCTTAAAACGTTTAAAAAAAGCTAGAAGTTTGTAGAAGTTTGAAGAAACTTGGGGAAACACAATGCAAATTAATATATACGCCACAGATTTAAAAATAAGAATTGAAGGGTATGATGATACTTAAAGGGGTTTTAAAAACGTTTAAGAGTCTTTAAGGATCTTGAAGCGGTTTTGACAAGAACGCTTAAAGAAGATCCCCTCCACCTTAGAAACCTGAAGAGGCCCCTGTACAAGTTCGAAATTCGATTGAACCTGAAATTCTGAAATCGAGAAAATAGGAAACCAAAATTTTTTATACAGTCTGGATGTTCGTGACACCTAAAACTTGGAATTTTCCAAGCCTTTTAAACTTATGATGTTGTTAATACTTATGAGCTGTCCCTTATGAATAAGAAAGCGTTTTTTTAAGAAACTACAGGAGGAAGACTTTGGACGAATGAAAAAAGATTCACGATTCTTGAACAAGCTGGAAGTAAGTAACTTGATTAAACCTTTAAGAAGCTTTGCGAGTGAAAAAATCTCAAAAAACTAGACAAATACGAGTATTAAACTCCTACTTACCTAGGTACCTATCTCGGTTAAAAGTTCGATATTTCCACTTCTCAATTACTCGCCGAATAAATTCCATGGATACCATTGTCGATACAATCGTTGTCACACGGTACTTATCTGCCGAATAAATTTATCGAAAGATATGGAAAAACTGACCCTACACTTAGAATATACACTTTACAGGTTTCGTGCTGATTTCTGGGCCAACTTCTCACTTTTGACATAAAAATTCAAATTTGTATCATCAGCAGAATCCTGTATGAGGATATAGATTACCTTCGTCGAATTGCAACTTGCAAGTACAAAACAGAATTTTAACAATTGTGAATGCGTTACCTATTTAGTCACTTCGCAACAAATTGGCATCGGCACACGATGAAACAAATGTGCAATTCAGCATCATCCTACACGTTTTTTTATTTTAACATGGCACGCCGCACGTGAATGATGTTGTTAATACTTATGAGCTGTCCCTTATGAATAAGAAAGCGTTTTTTTAAGAAACTACAGGAGGAAGACTTTGGACGAATGAAAAAAGATTCACGATTCTTGAACAAGCTGGAAGTAAGTAACTTGATTAAACCTTTAAGAAGCTTTGCGAGTGAAAAAATCTCAAAAAACTAGACAAATACGAGTATTAAACTCCTACTTACCTAGGTACCTATCTCGGTTAAAAGTTCGATATTTCCACTTCTCAATTACTCGCCGAATAAATTCCATGGATACCATTGTCGATACAATCGTTGTCACACGGTACTTATCTGCCGAATAAATTTATCGAAAGATATGGAAAAACTGACCCTACACTTAGAATATACACTTTACAGGTTTCGTGCTGATTTCTGGGCCAACTTCTCACTTTTGACATAAAAATTCAAATTTGTATCATCAGCAGAATCCTGTATGAGGATATAGATTACCTTCGTCGAATTGCAACTTGCAAGTACAAAACAGAATTTTAACAATTGTGAATGCGTTACCTATTTAGTCACTTCGCAACAAATTGGCATCGGCACACGATGAAACAAATGTGCAATTCAGCATCATCCTACACGTTTTTTTATTTTAACATGGCACGCCGCACGTGATGGTTTCATTGACAATTCATGTCTTCAAAGGACCGCATGCATTATTATATCTATGTAATAACGCAATCCTATTAATTGGTTAGGTTCATTCATAACGAACTCGAAACTGAGGCTTTCTTTACTTTGCTACTGTTAACAATTCCCATTGTACTTATACAATCTAAACAGAAAATTGATAATAGTAAGCATTTAGGCAATACTATTGAATAAGTAATCAAATGGTAATACTTTCTAAAAATGTAGCCAATAGCCCATCAGCTTTTGCGATTAGTTTGCCTTTAATTGAGGGTAAATTGATCCCCATTATAGCTATTAATTACTTAGTTACTGAAACAGTTCCACCAAAAATCATTGCAAAAGACGGGGCAACGCAAAGTTCTCTCAGGAACTCTTACCTACTAATGTACCTAACCTAGTTTACTAAATAGAATTTTTACGAGTTTTGGACCCCCCCCCCCCTCAAGTTCTAGAGTTCTTCATAAATCTTAGAAAGAGTTCAGAGAATTATCATAAAAATTCGTTAAACCGCTAGTGAGCAAGAGGCGAAGAGTGCACTTTCAAATTTCCTTCGGTGTCGGGCTCTTTCGCCAAAATATGAAAATAAACTCATGCAGTTTTTAGACATGCTGTCAAAAAAATTATCGGTAATTTTGATGCACATGTGCAATTACCTACGATAATCGTACCGTTGCAACGACTTGTACGATAAATCGTAGGTACCGTCTGTCGGGGGATTTACTCGAACATAAATTACATAAAGATGTTGTGTCAAGAAATCTCAAGCGTTTTTGGCAAAATTCAAGAATCGTCAGGTAGGTTTCTGGAAGACATGCCCTCAAATTAAGGTAGATAATTTAACCGACTTTTCATTTAAACTTAGGTAATTTCCATGGAAACAGATTTATGTAGGAAATTATCTACCAAATAAATTTAACCTGAAACACGAAAAACACTCCATGACATTTCTAATTTTTCAGATGGTTTCTCAGTATATTGAATAAAATTCGGATAACCGATACAATTTTCAAACCGGTTAATTTGTAAACTTTTCAGACTTTCCAATTTTTGCGTCGTAGGTACTGATAGGTAAGTACAATACCGATAACCAATAAAACGCAACGCTTTTGAGCTTTTTTAAGTGTTGATGTATTTCCTACTTTGGTATCTAGTACCTATGCAGAAATTGTAGCTAAAAGGTACCACATGTGGAAGATTATCGCGCGATTAATTGAAGTTTGTTTAATTCACAGTTCTAAAGAAATGTAGCGCGACTAATAATATTGTTACATAAATAAAGACGGTACGCAACAATTAATAAGTGTTATTTAACTTTTACAAAATGTGTGTCAGTAAGGTAAATGAATTATTATTTAAGTCCAGGGTTGAAGAGATAAATAAAATGAGTAGGTACTAATTCTTACCTTATTAGCCACTGCCATTGTTTTATAACGTATGCAATAAAAAATATAAATCGTTTTTTGAATAAAAACTAAACACACAGTTAAAAATCACGGACGTTCACAATTTTTCGTAAATTCTTACATTATAAAACGGCACGCACGTGTAACACGAAAAACGATCCGTTTCTTCGAATTTCTCGCTTCTTCTGTTGAAAAGCGTGAGGAATCGCGAATTCTACGAAATAAAAATCTGGGTAGGGGTTACTCGTAATTTTATTGGATGTTACAATTGCCCATTTGAGAAGGACAAAAGATCATATTTTTAAATTATTCATTTATTTATTGGAATAGGAATTTCTGCCAGTAGATAAGGAAAGAATAACACCACCGTACCCCGGTATAATTCTTTTGATTGAAGCGACAAACAATAGACGTTTGCAATAATCTTTATCTATTAAAATTAGAACACGCCAACACCTGTTGTCAAAGGAAACCGAATCGTGTGCTCCCTTATCTCCATAAATATATCGATAAATAACGTCTAATGTGGCTTGTTGAGCATAATTTCATGGACATTCTCGAAAGTCTGTCTACAAGGAAAAATAATCCAGTAACCGCTTATTTTCCAACTTTTGCGTCGGTTAAATGCCAAAAAGGACATTGCGCACGAGTTTTCACCCTGACAACCGGATTTATCGTAGAATGAAAATTGACTGTAAAGTGACTCAATAACGTACCCTGGTCCAGAATTATAATTTATGTTTACCTCATTCGAATGCTAGTTCTTTGACAAAAAACAATTGCGCCGCGACTTTCCAAATTTTTTTTTTAAATTACAGGTTTCAGAGTTCCCTGGACCCCAAACGACTGCATTAGGCTGCTTTACAGGAACCGACTTGAAGAATTGCCTTGCTTACTTAGATGAACGAAAATATTTTCAATATGGCCTGCTACACCGGAAGTAGGCACTGAGTCCATTATTTAAAGTTTTGTTAGCACCGTGGCTATATGTATAGCGGTGCCCCCTAAACACGGGTCCGGGTCTCCCAGGGGCCAGGGCCCGTAATGTTTGCGCCTCTGTTGCATACGGTATAAAGAAAAAAGAAGTAATCATCAATAAAGCCATCGCATCAGCGATTAGTTCAAGCGTATTTTTTATGCGTATTTAATATTTATACCATTGAATAATTTTTTTATTCAATGCTTATATCGACCCAACATGCGCTTTTAATTGCTTTTAATAACAATCACTTCATAAAGATCAAAGTTAGTTCTGTAAATGCCCACAGAAGCAAATCAATTTCATAGTTATATGTCCAGACTCACTTTCTCAAGATGCTTCAGTGGTTAAAATTTCGTTGATATCTCAGTAAGTGACAAAGTTAGGATGCGCTTGGCCGAACCGGAAACTGATTCAAACTTAACGTTATTTTCTTTTACCCACCTTACATGGTAGAAAAAACCTATTGAATAAGAAAAACCACGGCCTTCTATGAGGGCTGAGTGTTGAGATCTCAAACCCTTACACGGACGGACGGATGGAATTCACGCAGGCAATGGATGTAATATGCAAAAAATAAAATTAATCGTGTTTACCGTAATATTAGCATTTATTTTTTCTTTTCTTCCGCCCCCTACATGTTGAAACCTATGAAAAAAACGCACCCTTCTACGAGGTCTGAATGTTTAGATTTGAAACTCTCAGACGGGCCGACGGACGGAATTTGCGAAGGTACAAGCTGTATTTTTTATTTTAAAAAACGCTTAAAAATCAATCATGCTTATGTAACGTTAACATTTGGTTTTTCTTTTCGTCCCCCTATGTGTTAAAAACCTACTGAATAAAAAGCTTTGTACGAGTATTGGGTTACTTAACACTAAATACACACGTTACTTGGCGGGCATTATTTCCAGCATAAAACCACTTTAACATTTCGATTTTCTCGTCGGTTAAATACATAATAAACAATTTTATAATTAACTAATTTATAAACAAGTAGGTATAAATTTAATAAACGTCAAAGGCAAATAATGAAACGTGATCGCTATTTTTTTAGGTAATTCCAAGGCATATCTGTTTTATTGAAAAATGAACCTTTCTATTTTGTAATTTCTCGGGTTTTGAAAAACAGAAAATTATAAGTACCTAATCGTATGAACAGATGCAGTATTTTTTTCTCTAAAAAAACTTCTTTAGACTTTTGCTCTAAAATAATTATAGGGGAGCTATATCGCCAATAAAGAAATTACCATTGAAATCCCTATGCTGCCTCGCGCTAGGCACCACCCTGTATAAGGAATCAAATTTATCAAAATTTATGCCAATTTTACTGTAACAAAATCCTCCAGTTCATAAAAACATCCAACATTACTGCCCAACATGCACTCTCATTATACACGCCAGGAAGGCCATAATATACCATTTCCATGGTCTGAAAAAACAATCGGTAAACGATGTGCTCCGTACATTGCTCCAAGGCTTTATTCCATTCTACCGAGCGAAATGGAAAAGATATCTATCTATCCCGCTTTCCCGAAAAAAGTTCAGGTGCGTGGATATTGGAACAGCGCTATGTACTATTTCGCGAATTGTTAATGGAATTGTTTAGTTTATTATTTTTAGTATTTTTTTTATGAAATGAAGTCAAGTTTGATTTATATTTGTTTTGTAAATGCCCCATATCCATTACATTACAAGTAGTTCAAACGACTTCGGATTTTGGAAATATTTATTTTTCTTAGTTTCCTTATGCAGGTATCTTTTGTATTCAATTATATAGTAGAAAAATAAATATATTATTATTATTATTATTATTTCCTTCTCTTAGGTGGTCTACAGGCCTTAACAATGTCAGTCAATTTTTTAAACATATGTTTAAAGCACGCGAGCGCTGAAAGTAATGCACCTACATCTGAAAAAAAGATTATGCTCTATATTCAATGTGGAATATCGAAGTAAATAACGAAAATACAAAAAAAGTGCATACCATCTTTTTTATACAAAATTTTATTATCTTTCTTTTTTTATATGAAACTTTACTTGCTGGAATGCACGGTTACCGAGATATCAGCGAAAAAGTGATTTGGTGCACCTTTTTTCCAAGATGGCGGCTCGAGCCATTGGAGTTTTGGTCCTGACTTTTAGTATGTTCGAATACAAGCCCTAATGTACCTACCTCTATACCAATTTTCAGCTTTCTTTCAATTATTTCCGCTATTTTTCCTAATTTGACTGGCCTAGAGGTCCAGGTGTTGAGCTCTCTAATCTTCAGACGGACGGAATTCACGCAGGTATAATTTTTAGTGTATTTTTGCCGATTTCTTTGTAAAAAGGTGGCTTTTCATTTCACTTTGGCTGGCTGGCTGGCTGGTAGCAAATGAGGGCTTGCAGAAAGACGAGGAGTGTACGTGCATCTACCGGTCCGTGGGGTGGGGCTATATGATGTGAAGTCGGTGGCATCCGGGCGCCATCCCCGAGCGTGGTTTATTAACGTGGTGATTTTTCAGTTTTGTTCTAACTTTTTCTACAGTTTTGGTCCAACTCGTTTTGTTTTTTTCCTAGGGGCTAAATTAAGCACCTTTTGCAAGGCGCGCGTCTTCGAGAGATAGTCGGCTTCGGGTACCCAAAAGTTACTACCTTTGCGCCGCGAATTTTGTTACGCGGTTCAAAGTGTCTTAAAGCTCGAGTCTCGGTCTCTCTTTTTCGTGTCGCCAATAGAAGCTCGAGGTATGAGAAGTACAGTGAAGTGAAAATTGAGTACTATTTTGTGGAGGTTTTTTAGCGAAACACACCAAAATGGCAGAAGCAGAAGCAGGTACCGATAAAGGAAATGTGGTAACCCCGGACAAGATCTGGCTGATGATAGAGTCAAAACTTCAAACGCGATTTACGAGCGAACGGGGCGTCGGAAGTAGGTACGGTCAAAAGAAATGCGGTAGCCTATACGACTAGCTCTTCCTGATGGTGGGATCAAAACTTCAAACGCAATTTGAAGGCGAACGAGACTCGGAGGTGGATTGGATGGATGGATGGATAACTGACTAATCGAATACTGATCTACCCCAGAAAAATGCGTTGAAGTCCCTTCACCCTAAGACCTCGATAATTTCTTATTTTAGAAAACGTTTAGAAAATTAAGCGTGTTTACGTAGGTACCATGAAAGAGTTTGGGTGAGTGCTGTTACAGGAACTCTCATAAAGCGTCAAAACAAACCTATAAAAATAAAGATCATTACGACCTAGATACCACCTCCTAGTAAATTGATTTGTCAAACAAGTAGGTATAAATTATGCACAACTCATGTGCAGATAAAGCGCATTATTTTAAACCGAAATAACTTAGTTGGGTTATAAGGTATCATGCTATCGATGTTTACTTTCTTGGCAGATGATTAATGGGGAGGTTTACACATAAACATTTAAAAGCCGCCTGGCACACATTCAAAATTCTCCGACACTCCATTTTGCAGATATTTGCACTGAAAACACCAATACATATGTCTCGTCCTGACGTTCTACTTACCGTTCATGAGTACTCTTTTCTGACACTTTGTTGTGGCTAGGTATTTGCTCCGACTTCACCATCAGTCGATCCATTTTGCCTTTAAGAGTACTTTCCTCCGACAAACCGTTTTCGAGATATTCGCTCTTAACATTTTGGCATCACCTGGATATATTTCTTGCAGACTTTTTTGAGCGAAACGCTCGCGAGCAATACTCAGCTCTGGTCGTAAACCAATACATATTTATAATGTATGCTTATGCATAATATTATGTACCTACTTATGTATGTTAAGTAAATTTTCCTTTTGGCAGTTTCATATTGGCGAATTTTTTCATCAAAATTAATATCGTACCCTTCTCATTTTATAAAACTGCTGAATTTGTCATCAGTGGCTTAACACAGATCCTAGATAGGTTGGATATACTTTTTTCTATTAAATAATAATTGGGAAAATTTGAAAAAATGCATCATGACGTCTAGTATTACATACAGGCTGTTTCACGTACATTTCTTGAAAGTACATATGTTGCATATTACCATCAGTACCTATAACTCCGTTGAGTTGAATTTCAAAGTCTTCCAAAATCATTACTTGATACTACATGAGAATGATTTACATTTTGATCACCTTTCTGCATGTTTTATTTGAATAAATCAACTTGTTTGAAGTTATTAAAATTGACCCTGTAGAAGGGCGATCAAAATTTAAATCATTGTCATGTTACATCAAGTCAATATTTTTTATTTGATTTTTGAAAATGAAATCAAATTCGTCATAAGTACAGGGGTCGAAAGAAACGCAGTCAAACGTCAAAAAGTTCGAAAAATTTTGAATAACTTTAAAACATTTGAGAAGTTCGAAATTATAATAAAATACAATGTGTTCTATTTAAAATAAGAAAACTGATATCCACATGCGGTAAAATCGGAAGTACCACAGATTTAATATCAATGAGAGCCTCAATACTTTCAAATAACGGTTTGCGTGAAACAGCCTGTATACGAAATTACGTTCGCCTGTTATCAAATTATTAGCTACTACTATTGTAGAAGAAAATGTTTCAGACAAAAATTAGGAATATTCCAAATATTCAAGCCTCTCCTTTGATCCAGTTTGCATAAAATTTGATTGTAATTGTAAGTGAGTGATACTCTTAGACCATATAGTACATGGACTGCTAATTGTAACGAAAATATGGTCAAGGACATCGCCTGGGCATGTGAGTTTCAGGGTAAACGAGTCTGTCCGAAGTTGTCCGATTAGATACGATTTCAGACTGTCAACCTATAAATTAACAAACGTCAATTAATTAATGGCCTAGATATGCAAAAAAAGCAAACCTGTTCTTATTTGTGGATTATAGAAGAGAATCAAGAGTATTTAAAGCTTCCCGTACCACGCGGTTACTATAAAAGCTACTCTTTACGCGATCCGAGTGGTGTTTACACGACTTTAGTTTACCCTGAGATTCACATACCCACGACTACAGTGCCCTCTATCCCTGACCACCCATTTTGTATTGAAAGCATAGGGCTAATAGCAGTCCATGTACTATATGGTCTAAGGTGATACTGCACATGCAAGTCTCAACATGCTTATTTGCATTCATTAGACGAGGAGGATCATCAACACTTAAAATTTCACATTAAATGGATACACTGTTTCACTTTCAGAACTGTATTCCATTTCCATCATACACCATCATGGGCATCATGTGCTTACAAAAAAATAAACCCTTAAAGTGGATCTAAAAAAGCAGCAGAGCACCTCAGCGTCACTCTACCGGGTTTGGATATTGGATTTGACCCGCTTAATGAATATATCAATGGTGGCAAGCAATGGTCCTTATACTGTTTTGTGCCAAGGATACTATATGTATCCTTGGTTTTGTGCAATGTTACTACTGCAATGTTGTATGAAAAGGATACAAACTAGCATGGTATGGGTGGCACTCCTTAGGTGCAACGTTTTCAGGTCGCATCAACAGCCGTCTGTGTGACCTAACGACAGTCGTGGTATGACTGCCAACTTTACATGCCCTCCGAAGCATGGTAGTCAAGAAGTGTTCTGTTCCACTAAAAGCCTGCAAGTTTACCCAAACTCATCCCCTGTGAGGTTAGGGTCCGAGTCTTAACCCATTAAGGCAAACTTACTAAATTATAATGATTTGGGCACTTTTTAAAAGATCGTTAAACAACTTTTGTGTGCTTGACGGAGAGTGCGTCAAGATCGCAAAGGGAAAATGTGAGAGTCCTGTGTTAAGAAAAAGATGCATAAAACAAAAGCAGGAATCCAAAACAGACCAAGGATCAATTATGCACCAATAAAAAATTGACCATAGTATTAAGAGGTCAATAAAAATTTTCCTGTGGGGATTTGAATAATTTAGTGTTTCATAATAAAGCGGCGCATACAAATATCAGTAAATTAATATGACTTTTGCACCCATGTAAGGGATTGGGGGAGAGTGTAGTAGACCTCTGACACTGATGATGCTTAAACGACACTCAACAGCACGAACGCTACATTCAAATAGTCTTCTTTTACGAAGTAGCCAAGGTACTGAAACATCTTGATGCCTTTTAACAAGCGGCGCATCTATGTGTCGGCCTCATCTAAATCTCAAGTTGCGGGTCTTTACTAATTTTCACTCAACAATTAGGCGTAAAGGACGTAAGACTGTCAAAAACGTTTTTTTAAATATCTGGTTTGAACTAGGAAGTTGTAGTTCTGTGAAGAATTTAAAACCTGGTTTACTTTAGAAAGAGAGGGTTTTTGAAAATTATCACTCAATTTAATTCAAAATATTCATATATTATTAAACTTTTAACATCTTAAAGGTCCACTTCAATACTCATATCACTAGCAGTAATTTGACGTTCCGAGGCATTCCCTACATTATCATTTGTGGTGGAATCTTCTTCAGCATTGGTAGCAATTTCAAAATCTGGTATATAATCTGGGGCATCTAAAAGATATATAATAAACAACAGAATATTCACAACAGAAAGGTTACCAGGGTATGGAGGTTGCTCCATAGATAATTGCTCTATTACATAATTAAGCATTGTAGTGCTAAATGTGTCATCTCTTCTTAAACCAAGTGCTTTATGAAACCAGTGTACGGCATCTTCAATATTGTTCATCAACGAATGCACATAAGCAATAGCCGAATATGTGCTAGCGGATTGGGGACATAAAACCAAAGCCTACAACTAATTGTTAAAATGATCATTTAAAAATCTGAATATACCTGATGATGATATTCCAAAGCATCACTATACTTCTTCAACTTTCGACAAGTATGCCCTAAATTATTCAATAAGGGTTCCCAACGTTCCGGTACAATGGAGTCTTTAATTGGTTTTACTCTGGTCAATGCATCTTGAAAATGCCTTTCGGCCATTTCAAAGCTGTTACAAAATTAAAAACTATTTTGCGAGATAAAGAAATTATCTTACTCTAAATTCTGAAATGCAATGACGCCCATTTCATGCATTACAAAGGGATCATCAGGAGCTATAATTTGCGCTTGTTGAAAAAACCGTTCAGCAAGTCGAACATTATTTGTTAGACCACACTCCAATCCGATGTATAACAAGGGCAGATGGCAGCCCTTCATTAATTGTGACGCTTTAAAATAGGCGGCCATGGCTTGATCGTGTTCATTTTCTACGGCAAAAGAATGTCCAAATGCCAGCCACGCTGGACCAAATAATCTATCTAAACTAGTCGACTTTGCTAAAAATCTTCTTGCAGAGTCTCGTTTTCCTACAAGGAAAATTTTGTGATAATGCACATAATTACTAGTTACACTTCTATTTGTTATAATACAGGGTGAACCAAAGTTAAATGGCCAAACTGCTACAGCTGATACAGGAGCTGAAAATATAGGTTGATTGAGCCTTAGAGTAAAAAATAAAGATAGAGGACGCGAACGTTTGTTTTGATCCAACATAACCAACAGTTTGACAGTTGAGAGGACGAAAGGTAAACATTAGTAACAGCACTAATTTCACAAACAGTACACCTTTTTCCCATGTCAAAGGGTGCTGATAAAGTATTAAACAATGGAATAAGTTTTAATCTATAAAATGAGCTAAAAATGCAGAAATTAAGTTTTGTAGAAATAAACAGAAATCCTCTCAACTGTCAAATCGCTACAGCGTTGCCGTCATCATGACTCACAAATTATCATAAATTAATTTCAACTTATAACTGTTTATTTTTCACAACTTTTATAAATATTTAAAAATTCATTTACATTCTTTACAAATATATGTGTTATTAATATTTCCATAAAAATCGTCTCGCGAAATGTGACAAGTTTGCTTCCTGCAATGTTTACAAAAACGACGAGATGATGGGACGTTTTGATAAGCATCAAAGCATCTCTATCTTTATTTCTTACTCTGAGGATTGAGACTAATAAAGGATGAGCAACCATATTTTGATTCTGAGTTGGCCCTGAAAGACAGAGATACACGTATCAGTCATGTGCAACCTAAAATTTCCACGATCTTCTCTGAATCAAAATTTGGTAGTTCACACCTCACATTTGTAGTGAAATTGATATTAAGACATGCAGGTTATTAAAGAAAAAACAACATTATTATGAATTACAACTAGAAAAAATCATTCCAATGAATTGTCAGTTTTAATAATGCTCTGTTGTGATTATTTTTTGTCTGACAAATGATGAAAAAGTTTCAGTCCCCTTGGGCTCAAAATAGCAATAATTTAGTTGCTTTTTAAATTTAATATCAAATATCTTGTACAACTAACTTTATCAGCATCTATAATTCATTCCTTTCTTTTCAAAAAAGCTCAAGTGTTATCATATCATGAATAATGAAGTGGGTGATCCATATTCTTATATTTGGGATGTAATATAAGTTATTTATTTATTTATCCAGTGTTATCACTTTTAAGCTAAAAGTATTTTCAGAACCCTAAATTTGACTACAGTTCTCAAAATATGGTGGTTCACTATGTATAAAAGTTCAAATTCATCAATATTGACGGTGACGTTTAATATCGATTTTAGACAATCTTCATTTTATGGTTATGTGTACTGGTGATATGTCACTTCAATAATAATAAATTGTGACAAGAGAATACCAATTTTTAGCTTGTTCCACACTTTGCACAGTGTTTGTATAAGCGATCATTAACAAAACTACAATGAGGGCATCACAATAAAAAAAGAGATTACTATCACAATCATTTATTCACAGATTCACCAGATCAACACAAGTAATGCAACTTCTGAATTCAGAAAGATTTTTTCATGTGCCTCAAAGCAAAAAGCAAGTGGATCAGATCATTTTGATATACGAACACAGTTTTGCATTCCAATCCTCCAAGTACAGGGTGTATAACAAATAAGTATGTGCCACAGCAAGTCTCTGGTGCTAAAATGACGAACTGTTTTCATTTTGAATCATTACATAAATATTTTTGAAAACAAATTACGCTTTCTAGCATTACAACTGTTTTTCCCCTACAGGATAACATAATTACATGTTAAGTTCGACGCTACAGCTTTATTTTTTAGCGCATTTTTCAAAAGGAAAATAAACGCTATTGTCAGCACTTTGTCCGTCTGAACCACACTAGTCCTCCAGTTAAGCTTTTTCGTTATGGTTTCTTTCTCATACGGTGTAGTGAACCCCGAGACCAGAAAGACAAAAGATTTTTAGATTAGTCACTTCCTTCCTAAGTTATTACTGATTTTGTGTGGTGAAAATCCGCTTTCGTCTGTGGCAAGTGACCACGTTTTTAACTTGTTTTAAATATGGATCATATGTAAAAAAAAACAAGAATCGCACAGGCTGAATTACTAAAAATGAGGCTATGAGACCAAAGCATTCTTGTCAAACTGTCTTGACGTAAGTATTTGTTAAATATTAAAGTTTCAGTAACTTTTTAAACTAGTGGTGCATATAATGAAAGAGATATAATCCAAAGTCACACAATTTTCACTTCCCTTCATAATTCTCCTTAAATAACCTTATAAATAAAAAAGAAATTACCGAATTTCAGTTCACTTCGAAAATATTTAGTACTGCCTTTGTATCTCTTACCAATTTGTTCCTCAGAGGATGGTTCAAATTCGTGGCTCACCATTGGGATGTCCATAGCGGTGACAGATACAGTGTAGGTTAAATGGGGGCAATTTTTAGCTTGTTCCACACTTGGCTCAGCATTTGCATTATTCCTGTGTGTATCAGCCAAACGGAGACAATTCGATAATAAACAAATGGGGCCGTTGTAAAAAAAAACGCTCAGACACTTAGATTAGAAGATGCACACTTTTTATACAGGGTGTATTATGAAGCAGTAGCCACCAGCATCTTTCTCACTTTAAATGTTCTGTTCTGTTCTGTTACTCAATTTTTGGATTCATCAAAATCTTCAAGATACATTTCATACACAATGCTTTGTACCTGCCTTCAACCGTTTCAGCCTCAGATTAACAATTAAGTAATCTGAGGTTTCAGCAATGTTTGGGTCAACTTACTTGTGTGATTAAAAGTATGCCGAGGATGTGCAATGCCACACTTCAACATCCAAAGTAACTCTTTGGTTAAGTTTAGAAACTTGTTTGTTTTTGTTGAGTTGAGTTTTTTCATTGACTTTCCCGAAAAGTTACTAAAAAAATTGATTTTCGGCAATCTAATTTTTGTTGTTTCTACCAACCGATTCTATATATGTTGAACGTGTATTTATGGTCATAAAATTCTGTAACAGTAATCTTATACCTATACACCCTACCTACTTAGACAACAATCCCGCATCACATACTTTTTACTGAATCAATCGACCGCAGTCTAACAATATTGAAGTAGATCGTCAGCAGTTTAAGTTTAAGGACCCCTGTTATAGAGGTTATGACAAAAAAAAAGTGGATGATAGAGAAGAGACATTTCCAAATTTTTTTCGTTTGAAAGTGTCTCCAAAATGTCTATCCCAAGATGAACGAAGCCCCAAAAAAATTCTGATATCAATGTGGTATGAACAATCCCAATATTCTGTATTCAATGTATTATAAGGTAAGTGTACAATCGATAAGATGCATATTTTGAAATACAATCGAAGGTGTATTCGATTTTCTGTTTCAGGAGTATACAGAGCGGAAGCAAAGAGTACCCTGTTTGATGTTTGGCATAAGATGGAAAAGCCGAAAAGGTCACATAATCACTAAAGCATATTAATAACTGTAAATAATCAAACGACATGAGGCGGATGGAGCTCTAAATTTTGTGCAGATTAACCTCAAACGTGTGCAGCAGTAATGGATAACAAAAAAATGTTTTTGGCTGTAATGAGGGTGCAAATTTGTTATTTTTCCAACAATGATTCAGATGACAGAAAGGTTACTTTTTAGGTTAGAATAAACATGACCATGTGATCAAATCCATTGCATTCGGTCTGCACTCTCTCATGAATGGAGTCTTTAAAGTGCACTCTTTTTACTCTCTTTTAAATAAAAAAAAACGATAGTGTCAACACTTTTTCTGGTGCAACGAACGCTTTAGAACAAAAAGAGTGATCAGAACACATAAACGAACGTACCTACCTCTAAGATATACTTGTATACAACTAAAATTGTTAATTTGGTCAATTGTTTATTTCATCAATTATGTGTCTAGTAACTGCAACATCATTCAAAATGTTACCATGAATCATATTCATTTTTTGTTGCCTTCTTAATTTTTGTATAAACTTAAATTATGTCAAGCATAGTCATAGAGTACGTTTACAAGGTGACCTACTGCCGTAGTTATACCTTCTAATTTTAGTAAAACCAGTGTTATGCGTCTTGTAGATAGTCATATAAACTGGTTTTATGAAAATTGCATTAGTTAGTCATAGTAGGTATACGTACCAATTACATAATAATAACACCCCACGGCAAACCAAGATATTGCTAGATTAGGATAGAGATCGACCAAATTATGAGCCAATGTAAACAATTCTGTAAAACATTGAATGGATAACTTTCGAAAACGTAAATCAGCATTTACTTACTGTTACTCTGCTTCAACTCCACCATACAAGATATATGTATTGGCAAACATGATGCATGATAAGGATCTTCTTTTAATATGCTCTCCGTTATCTTACTACACTGAACATAATCGCAATTATAATAAAATAATTCAGCCTGCGACACGGCCAAGTCCAAGCTTTGCTGCAAACGAACTTGTATACCATTTTCAGGCGAATCTAAAACCATTTGGTCTGATTTTGTATCTTCCACTTTATCCGTTCGTACTTCCGAATTTGGAGTGCAGTTCATTGTACTTGTCTTGGGAGTGTCAGAAATGTTGACAAATTTGCGGTGCATTACTATCAAGGACGTTTGCAGAGGTGTGTTATTGTATATTGGTTTGCACGTTTTACTAGGTATTAGGCCTACAATTGTATTATATTTTTTTAATTTGCTTTTGTATAGTGTACGCAGTACGTCTGCTTCGATTGCTGTGCATTGCTGAGATATTGGCAACGAATTTAGTAATTCTTGTTCTGCAACAAAAGAATGATGCATAAGGAGATAACTTTGTTAGTGTGCACCTTCGGCGGCCGAAAGCATGTGATAACGTATAAGTGAATCAAATGCTTCAAAACAGTACACATCACACTGCAAAGCTTGCTTATAGCATTCAGAAGCAAGTCCGCGATTGTCCATGGCTTCAAGTACTTTTCCCTTTAGTAGAAGCACAGATGACTGCACTTGCTAAAATGAATAAAATGTATAAATTTAGACATTTGGGTAGATACATACATACATATTTGGGAGTATCATCAAACATTCCCGCATCCATGGTCGTGTTACATGAAGTATTACCAGCTTGTAAAAATACCTCCAAATCCATTGAATTTAAAACTTTCAAGGCTTCATTCAATTCATTCGCTTCGAACAAACAACGAACAGTCAAATAGTTACATAAAATGTAGGTCTAGAAGTATATTTGTTTAATCTGTTTCAAATAACCAAACTCTACCTTATCCAGATTCTTTGAGCGTAAAAGGTGGGCCGCACGATGAAATTGTTTTAATAAGAACATGCACTGGGCTAACCAATAAATATCTCTAGGGTTACCTGACGTTAAAGCAACTACTTTATCTGCCCAAAATAACGCAGTGTTATAAGCGTGCTGAAAAAAAAGAAAACATTAGACACCAGCTGTATGGGTTGCCATTTGAAACTTAAAAGAAGGGGTAGTTAGGGGTAAACTGATGAGAAAGTGCCCAAACTTCATTCCTTCTCTTCATTCAAATTGACAATCCTGTTACAAAAATGATCAAAACTATCAAATGAACACCCTGTATATAGTGGTATGTACTGGATGCAGGTACAGAGCGAAATGGAATCCATCTACTATATGTCTATGTTACCTACCAGATTTAAATATGTGTGCACCAATTTTCTATAGTTATCGACGTTGATATTATCAACTGAAACAGTCTTCATTTCCATGTCTGTGTCTCCTGCCATTTTAAGTAGCATCTATTATTTTTTGAATTATCAGCAGCTAAAAGAAAAATAACTTTTAATTTTATACATTTTCTTATATTTACACAGTACTGCAAAGACTCGCCATTTTGAATACAATAAAGTCGACACTTAAAAATCAGCAGAGTTGGAGAAAAAGAGTGCAAGCTCAAGGGAGATTGATTAAAATTATATCCGGCTAATGACAAGTAGACAATCTATTTATTATACAATTTATTGAAACGAAAAAAATACCGAGGAAAATACAGATAACAATTATCAACCTAAAATTGCTACAATCAAGTAAGTGGATAGAAACGTAATATATAGTATACATAATACAGGATGGTGACTTGCGTAACGCATCATAGGGATTTCAATGTAAAATTCATAACATGCGATTATTATTAAATTATTATAAAATTCCATGGCATCACAGATTATTGAAAAAGATGGGGGTTTTATTTTTCCAATTTTTAGCTTCCTAGCATGTGCTAGGTATAACTCTCGCCAGGAAAGATTGCCGGTCACAGCACACCTTCTGTCGATTTACAATCTATGTCTTTCTTAAGATGCGAGCGACTTCCGGAATAGGATCGTGCCAATGTTGAACGAAAAGTCTTTTTGTTCAACATTGGCACGATCCTATTCCGGAAGTCGCTCACATCTTTAGAGAAAACATAAATTGTAGACCGGGATCGAGTGTTCTATGACCGGCAATCTTTCCTGGCGAGAGGTTTAGCTATTGCGATAGCCGTTTTTTGAACATTTCAAAATTTCATCAAATGTCGACGTTTTAGACCATTTTAAGCAACTTTTAAAGAATAAAATTTTTTTCCGTCTGTATGTACGTACGGTACGTACGTAGGTACGTTTGTTGGCAATTTTCTGAGAAAACGGCTCGACGGGTTTTGTTGAAAAATAACGGGCCGGATTTTTGAAAAAAAATTTTGGAGCGCCGTAACGGCATCGAACTTTTTTTTTCAAATAGCAACCTAAAATTTTTATTCTATTATTTGGAAGACCTTATTTTCCTGTGTACAACCTACAAAAAATTGGGCCGGGTTATATTATCAAAAAACGGAGAAAAAAATTGTCAAAGTCAAAAAATTGTGTTGCATATGTGCAAAACGCAACGATCTTGTTTCTGAAGCAATTTAAACGAAATTTCTATGGTAAGTCCCTTTAATAAAAGCAGCGTAATACATATGTTGGCAATTTTTGGTTTCAGCTAGGAAGCTATTCTGTCAAGAATTTGACACCTGGTTCGTCTTTATTATTCAAAAAATTGAATACTAATACGATTGATTGAGGTAAAAAATTTTTTCCTACAAAAAACCCTCGAAAAAACCTTAATACATTTTTGCTCTAAAATAATTTGGGGAGCCAATAATCGCATGTTATGAATTTTACATTGAAATCCCTGTGATGCGTTACGCAAGGCACCACCCTGTATATAAAACACCTTTCAAACAGAACATTTATATCAGTGCCATTAGATATTCAAACCGAAATGATTTAGCAAACAGTCTATTACATTCGTAGCCAGGATGTGACACCACTTCGACAATATCAATACTTTCGTGAACTTGCACTATCGCTCAGCTCAACAAAACCAGTCAGATTGAAGAGTTTGGAAAGAAGATACTTATGTAATTTTGATGGAAATCCAGATGATATACTATATACACTTAGGTACAGAAATATTATTGATAAAGATCAAAGGCAAAATGTTTAATTCAACCACAGTACCTTCACCTAACGGAATCAGGTGTCATGTACCATAGCCTCCGTGGATATTTGCAAATTTCTATATGGAAACAAATGCAGGAACCCAAAAGAGAAATAGAGTATACATGTAACATGATAATATGTATGTACCGAAAACAAATGATTTGCCACCGCCTACCGGCACCTGAAGGTTTATTTATTTTATTTATTTATTCTATTTTTGGTTTTTATTTTTAAGTGGGCGAGGTTTCAGCTAAGGCGCATATAGTAAGATGTGACTGTAAAACCAGCTGTGGTACTATGAAATGTACTTGGTAATAGCAAAGAATAGGGAGGTTTGACATTTTTGGTATTTGTTTTATTTTAACTAAAATCGAGAAATTTTGTTATTAAAAAACGATAAGAAAAAAATTGGGTGCAAAATATTGATATTTACGTCCGCCGTAAGCATTTTAAAATCAAGGGTCGGCGCGAAGCAAGTAAATGTACCTGTTGCGCGAGACTACCCCGTGTGACGTCAGTATCCAGAAACATTCGTATACTTTTATGGCGGGCAAATTTTTTTCTGATCGTTTTTTAATAACAAAATCTCTAAAAAAAATGTCGAACCTACCCACTGGTAATGAAAACTAGTTAGTGCGTCTAACTTTGATTTACCTCTACGGTGCCACAAGTAACTGCGGGTGTGGTGGCGCCATCCATTGGTAGAGAGACTGACGCGTGCGCGTACTGTGTATAACTATATTTCTGAGTTTCCCTCTACAAGATGCTAGTTTAAAAAAAAAGTCTGACGTTTGGTCTCCGGTTAACCATTGTCAACTTTGTTTTTTCTTATGGGAGTCATTTTTACTTTTTGTGTCATTTGATTTTCTCGAGGATTTTCCGATTTCCAAAATGTAAACATGACTATTTTTTAAATATTGTTAAAATATCTCCTTTTTTTGATCAGTAAACTTTATCTTTGGTAGTGTATGCTTGTAGATTCTTGCGTTTGAGGAATTAATAGCGCAATTTATATTTATATTTATGTCATCCTCTTTGATATAAATTGTACGACATTACATCTCCTGTTTGATTTCTTTTTGTACACATCCATCATTTATATCTGATTTCCTTATATTGATTTTTGGTTCATTTAGCGTAAGACATAATGTTTTTATTTAAGTTTTATTTTTTGTTTATTCATCCACCTACTATAACTATAATTTTCCACTATCGTTATCTTTAAGTAATGTAATCTAAAGGGGTTAAGTGGAAGAGCAGATGCGCGGTTTCTTTGTACCAAAGCATCTGAACTTCGCCTCATTAGATTAACGGGTAACTTGTTAATTACATGGTTATAATAATACCTAAATGCCACTCATTATTCTAATAAAGACACATTATTATTATTATTATTATTTCTCATTCAAGAATAATGATACTAATATTTTTGAAATCAGATAAAAATGCTCTATCAAATGACATAAAAAGTAACAGTGACTTCCATAAGAAAAAACAAAGTTGACGATGGTTAATAGGAGACCAAACGTCAAACATAAAATTTAAAACTAGCATCTTGTAGAAGGGAAACAAGAGGCCATAATAATGTGTCATTTATTTTGAAATATCTTTTTAAATAACTTCGGTAAAAAATAAAAACGATTTTGCAAAATTTCGTTTTTTTCAGTACTTATATCTCCGAAAGTAGTCGGAATTTTTCGAGGAATTTTTTCGGTTTCAAAACGGCATTTTGTTAAGCATAAAACCTCTTACAATTTCAGAGATCCCCAAGGTGGCCCTCGAATTTGAATTAGCCTGTATAATATACGTAATTTCAGTGATCAATAGATCATCATCTTATTTAAAAACAAAAATAAAAGCATACATAACAATAGACCTTACTTCAGTATTTTCAAAATGGCGGCAGTTTAGATAAATCAAAACCAAATAGCTAAATCTTTAAATGGCCACCATTTAAAAAATGCAGTCAGTTTTGGAATTTAAATATTTTTGTCATATTTCATTGAAATACTCGTAACATGGTTATGAATTTTTAAATAAAATATACAAAAATTCAGCCGCTATTTTTGATTTTTGACTGATTTCCTGGGCAGGATTAATGGGGACTGAAACACTACTTTGGAGCATCACCAAGTTTAGCTGGAGGAGTGATAAGAAGTCATCTCAGAAAAGAGTGGGAATCCTCCCCTGGACTAAGCCAATCCAAGAAACTGATCAGTTTCCTGAACAAAACCAGCTTGCTGCTATCGTTCAGCAGAAGTGAACCAGGGTCATATATTATAAGCCTAGTCACTGGACATTGCCGCTTGAGATAAAATGGGGCCTATGCTTCGAGGAGGAAGAGAAAGCGAAGGTGCCCGGAGTGAGGTTGTAATAGCACCTCGGCGCAGATCAGGGAAACGTAGCCGGAGAGAATCATCAGATTATTCAACAAACTGGCTCTCTCGGAGTAAGATACTGGGACACGCACAATAGATCAAAGTGAGTAGGAGTGATAGCCCAACCCAGGGGAAACAAAAATATGTTAAAATAGATAATTAAAATGCAAAAAAAAAGAAGGAAAATATTTATTCATCAAATCTGCAACATGAATTAAGTTCAGCAATCATAAAAGTATCACAATATTTTAAATTATTAGGTTATTTAATTTTAAAATTCCAATTTAGTAACAGAAAAATCAGTTTTAAGTAGCATTTATTGGAACTGTCGTAATTTCCTTAACTTGATAAAAAAAACCTTGTGTACCTATCCTTAATTTGTTACTATTACAAACAGATGAGGTTCGCTACGTACACACACACAGAAGACTTGGAAGATAATTACATAGCGAGTAAGAAGACTTTGAAGAGTATTATAAATTTCTCTTCCAGTTAATCAACTTGGCCTTACATATAAGCTTATAATGCAGTCAACATTGCAGAAAAAAGAAATAGGAGCTTTGACATTGGTTGATAACGAATTAAAAATCAAAACTACATTTGTTCTTCAAAGCTCTAAACAACAAGCAATAAGAAATAAACTGCACCAATATAAACACCGAGCGACAAGATCACTGCCGGTTAACAAGTATTCACCAAAATTTAATTATTACTGAAAACAGAATCGGACAATTCGAAACTGTTCGTCAGTTATCAATTATCGTATACACACACTGGCGGACAGCAAGTGCAAAATCATGAACTCGAATTTTGTCGCTCGTTACTAAGGGACGAATATCGACTATACATATCGATTATACAGGATGTCAGAGGACTAATATTCCCAATTTTCAGAAATGACAGAGGGCACTTAAATTTCTCGTTATTTTTTTCGTTAGCACTACTGTAAGCTGCTCCGTGGGCATATGCATGTCTCAATATTTGTAAAATAATGCATTTTCTGCCAAATAGTAAGTTATCTTAAAGATTAAATTTTAACATCCAAAATGAAAATATTGTTTTTCATAGCCTGCTTGAGACCGAGAAATTTTCGGACATTATTTTATTAATAAAAAATGTTTATTTAAGTATTTCTGAAAATTAACAATAGTTATTCTATGACACCCTGTATATTTACAGTGGGTGATACTGCTTAACAAAGATTTGTTAGAGGAGATGGTATTTTTGGAATTCAGTGGAACTAGCATCTATATAGAAAATAATGCACAATTCACTTTTGCAGTGTTTAGGGCACCCTTTGCCTATATTGCCTATATTATTATTATAGTATATTATATTGTAAATTGCCCTAGGCGTAAATAAACATTATTATTATTATATTGTTTGACCAGACAATCATAAAGAAAATGAGACATATAGTTAATTAATTTGATCAATTTTAGTGTTTCAGCTTCCTGAACACTATACTTGAGGTAAACATTTTTTGTTTGGACCACTTCACAGATAGTGACTGGTAGCATTAAAATTCTTTTAAGAGAGTTAAGAGACAATTTAAACTGTTTTCTTTTCATAAATTAGCATTTCTGGTTGCTTCATTCAATCAAACGTAGGTATTTAATTTCATCATTGCGGTACAAATTCTTTCTTACCAAAACGCGTCGTTTTAGGTAAATTTTCAAAACTGAACATTTTGACTTCAATTCCATATGTACGTTGTTCAAATTCGTAGCTAGCTATTGCGGATCTCCATCACGTTAAGTGTGACTAAAAAAACGCTTTTGAAATAATTTGTGAAAAATCTTTGAAAATAACTGATATATCACCAAAAAACTGAAAATCTCAAATAGCCTGTAGCTTCTATATCTAGCGTGCTCTGGAAGTTCTGATAACAAATTTACTTTTATTTGTCTCCTGCTCTCAACAATGGGTATCATAATTTTAAACTGTTTGAAAGAATGTAATTTGAAAATTTAATGTAGGTAACACCTACAATAATATTGGACACTTAACTGGAAAGGCTTTGTATTGTCGCTTACGTACTGTATCTATCTTTGTAGAGCCATATAAACCTATTTATTTGACAGCCATAGATAAATAAATAAAAAAAGATTTAGATCCTCTGAAAAAAGTGCCAATAAAAGATCCTTTTTTGACCGTTTAAGTAAAATAAATAATAATAAAACTTGACATTTTCAGTGAGACCTCAGTTATTCTCAAAGATTTTTCAAAACTTTCAAATGCATTTTTTAAATCATAAAAAGAGGCAACTTTGGCCCGTATAAATAAAAATAAGCAAATGCTTATACTTGCAAAATTCAAAGTAAATACTCGTAACTGCCCCTTCATACTGGTCTGTTTAGCATGGTTTAGCAGCGCTGCATTGCGTCCTGTCCTTCTGCTTAGAAGCGCTGCTAAGTCGCCCAGTGCGAAGGAGCACTTACGAGTATTTACTTTGAATTTTGCAAGTATAAGCATTTGCTTATTTTTATTCATACGGGCCATTGTCTCCATTTAACCTACACTGTATCTCTCAGCATTACGGAAATCCACAGTAAGCCACGAATTTGAAACACCCTGTACATGCTTTATTGTTTTAAATAAAGCATAAACTTAGTAAGATCGAGAGTAAGATAGTAAAAACCTCGGTAAAAACAAGGAGATTCCATTTGCAATACCAAAGTATGGCTCAATGGAAATTACTTAACAATATTTTAGCTGTAAGGAACTCTTTGAATAACCCTTGCACATCAATTTTAGGAAATCTATTCCCATTCGGTCAAACATACCATAGCTGACTGGCCTCGTCATGAGACATCATCTGTATTTTACACTTCCGAAGTATTTTTTATTATTAAATTCAATATATTGTGCGCATTCTATGTCGTTTAATGTCTGGAACCTGGTGGTGCCATTTATAACCACAAGACTGAGCTGCTACTCAAAGAAACACTACATTACGCACCCTTCAGTATAGTACCTAACTATGTAGCACCTACAGTAGCTTTAACATGAAGAATAAATAGATTCCCTACCAGGCGAAAAGATTAGTACATTCATCAATCAGCTCTCTATGTCTACTTTTGGTTTATGAGTTATGCATAAAAAATTCACTTCTGGATGGTTCATTCTCACCCTTGCCAAATAGAAATAGAATCGGTCTCGAGAAATCAAGTAGGTAGGTATATCTATGATAAGATATCAGAATATTTGAGTTCACAAATTCATCTCCTCTAGGTTTTTAAAGCGCATATTTCATAAGCATCAAATAATGCATAATAATAGACATATATCGATAGTAAATAAGTATCAAAGGCTGAAAATGTTAACCGCTTTTAAATGTTTAAATAAAATACTTACGCAAAACAAAACTTCAACATAAATCGATAACGACCTCACTGAACATAACCTCAATTTACAAAACAATCACATAGCCGTTATATGCATTGCACGAATAGGAATAAGTATGTGGGATTCGACAATGTTTTTAAGCACCTTAACGCCGAAATTTTACGTTGCTCTCACCGGTACGTCCTCGTTAATATCGGGTTTAATACTTATATTTGAATGGTGGTATTTTCGCAAATATGGTACATCATTTATTGAGCAAGTATCCCTCAATCACATTAGCCCCTGGATCGGGGGAGGTGACACCAACGAGAATGGTAATAATAGCAGTAATGGCAGCACAAATAGTCAACAAAACAATGTACCTGAATGTAAAGTGTGGCGCAATCCTCTAAATCTGTATCGTGGTGCCGAGTATCAGAGGTTCTATTGGGCTACCAATAAGGAACCCTTAACTTATTACGATATGAACTTATCCGCACAAGACCATCAAACGTTTTTTACTTGTGAAGCGGACGCAGGTAAAGCGGAGTATGAAATCATGCAAACTGCGTGGCGAGAACGAAATCCTTTAGTACGCATAAAGGCAGCACACAAAGCGTTGGAAACCAATCCAGATTGCGCACCTGCATACATACTATTAGCAGAGGAGGAGGCTACTACCATAACAGAAGCTGAAAAAATATTAAAACAGGCATTGAAAGTAAGTATTATAGATCGTAGTGGAATTGGTAAGATGTCTATGTCGATATAGATAACAGAGCAGTATCAAAATAGAAATCGACTGCCCAAATTACAAATTTATTGCTCCTTAGTGTTTAGAGTTATAGCATGATCTAAGGACTGTAGAACAAAAAGCAAATAATTTAATACTAGAATTCCAAATTGAATGGTTTTTAATTTGAGACTTACTGTATGTTCTGCTAGCTATATAATTATGTGATCAGCACTAAGCAGTAATTAGTGATGATTAAGTAAGTGCCCCAATTCGACATTCATGGGTACTTCATTTTCAGTGCAACAGCTAGATTACTATTCAGCAGAACAATTAATAAAGAATAATAAATTCAAAAGAAATTAAAAGAATTAAGTGTACTACTACTGGCTTAACTGAGGCTTTTTTTAATTTAAGTTGTTCTGTTGGATGCATGTGTGGCCAGTGTGTCCTATTTTGGTTGAGACTGCAATGTAACTCAGCTGCTTTTGGAGATAGAGACTTGCGGTTTTCGCGACTCTGTGCCACCTCATTACTCTAGCTACGTCTGTAAAATGACAAGTTTGACCTTTTGGGACGTTATCATATCTTACTATATTACCTACTAGAAAGTAGGTAGAAACCACCTAGCCCTTGAAGGTGTGCCAGACGGCCTTCAACTTGTGTTGTCTTTGGGGGGGGGAGTAAAATTTGCAGAACTTTCACCAACCAATCTGTCTCAGATTTTGCATACGTGATACGCATGCCTTCGCGCATGTCTTCGCTAGTGCCAAATCAATTCCTTGAAACCGAGGGGGGAGGGGTAAATTATCCTTCATGGTATTCTAATGAAAGATCTTGTCGAAAGGAATTGGTTTATACAAACTATAGCTTTCCTTCACAACAGCTTGGGTGGGAGGGGGTTGTTTTATAAATTGGTTTTACCTTTCATGGTATTCTAATTAAAAGTATCACCTGAAATGTTTTCTACCAACCGCCGCCCTTCTCTCTTACCCCTTATCAAAACGAGGGGAGAGGGCTGGTTTTACTTTATGGTACTACATACATAGGAGAGTACTCATCAAGGCAAAATGAATCATCTGAACCAGACATATCTATTGCTGAGGTCAAAACAAATCTCTTGAAAATGAAGTGTTGAAAGAAGGTACTTGTGAAGGGCAAGTGGAACATCTGGACGAGACAATCTACTGCTGATATCAAAAGTTTCAGTGCCAATATCTGCAGAACGGAGTGTCGGAGGAGGGTACTCTTAAAGGGGAGAAAGATCATCTACATGAGGCAGGTCTACTGCCGATGTTCGAACTGAATTGTGCATATTTCGAAAATGTTGGAGGAAAATATTGGCAAAGGGAAAAACAAGATTTTGGAGAAGGTCTCTAAGGGCCTGATTCTTCTTGCATCATACAGCCTAGATTTTGAACTCGATTTTGAATGTATGCCAGGCGGCCTGTTTATGTGTAAAGATCCCTCTCAATCATCTAGCAAGAAGGTAAACCGAGAGGTAAACCTTGGTAAATATAGCATACTACTACCCAATTATTTACTATGGTTGTTGTGAATATTGTTGACGGCATTCGTTGAGAAATTTACTTCATCGTTAATTAAAATCATGTTAAATAACGGATTTTGGGCCAGCATTTGTAGGAGCCATTGGCAAAAATTTAAATGTAGTGGAAAGTCACGTGGGAGAAGAGCTTAAACTCTTGGGATGTGGTTTTTTTCCAGACAAGCACAAATGAAATGTGAAATGTTGCAGTAATTTTTCCTCGAATTTTTCTCGTACTAGTAGCAGGATAATTTTCTACTGCATTCAGGACTGCCTCCTCGACTTCAGGAGTCCTGCTTTGCTCCTGCTAAACGAGTGGATTTCTTGAACGATCCATTTTCACATACCTAGTCGATTATGTACATTTGTGAATGTCCGTGGGTCAGGAAGTATTCGATTTTGGATAATATTGGCGTCATGTGCTCTTTTTGGGTAATGATCAAAATATGAAATTATTCGCTGACCTATGAGATACGAGGGAAAATCAAAAAATTTCAGAATGGACATATATTTTCTTAGTTAAAAAAGATACGGAAAAATGTTTATTGCAAAAGTACTTGCTGAATAATCTGCCGTTCTCAAAATTAGTCTACGAGGTCAGTTAAAAAAGTTACCGGACCTAACCTCATTTTTTAAATAGAACACTGTATTAAAAAATTGTAAAAACGTTCAAATGATTTAAAATAAAAAAAATTGTGTAAAATTTCAAATTTTGATTAAACCATTAGTTTGACCCAAAAAGAACATATAACATCCTATATTACTTTTTTGATAGCACCAACAAACTAGTCTATTCAAGTGTCGAAAATGGGACACCCTGTACCTACTTACTATACCTACAGTAGCCAAATTCATGAGCAACTGTGACGTTATTTTGCTTCTAAACTTTTCACTTTTTGTATAACCAAGTTCTCTATCATGAAGTGACTTCGATAAAATGTCGAAAATAGAGATGGCGCGGTAATCTCACCAGAAAATTTTTTGCTTTTCTCTTGCTCGTAATTCTTTACAGTTCGTGTTTCAAAAGTCATCTGGAGCTATAGAACTATTGTGATTATTTCAATAGAAATACCACCAAATGTTTTCTTAAATTCAGTGTATGGAGTAATTTGTTGCTGCCAGCGCATTGAACAAAATGGTTGCCAATTTGAGCAATGTCAACAGCATTTTAATTGTGGTTATTTATGACATTTTTGTTGTAATAAAAATATACTGTTTGCTAATTTGCTTACGATTTATGTTCCACTCAATGCGTAACGAGGATTGTTTCCATGGAATGCTACAAAATTTTGAAAAATTAGCTTCTTTAATTTTGTGTGTGAAAAATTCAATCGAAACTCAAAACTAAATTTGATATTAATATTTGAATTTAGGGCGACAACTTCTATCAAATTCAATTAAAAAAATATAATAATGCCATTTAAAAAATTTAAGTCAACTGCTAATAGCCCCAAAATAATAAATTATAACATTTTAATTATAGCCGTTTTGTAGTATTTTCACAGTTATTAATTATGGTTTTTGTTGAATTGAATTCAAACAAAAACTGTAGGCCCTACAGCTTGCGGGTTTTTTAAATTACACCCTGTATGTATAAGCATGGGTGGTATAAGCAAAAGGTGATTTACAGTGCGCCCTACGTGGTTGTCGCTTTAATTTTCTGCTCAACTAGCACTTGCTGCATATGCTCTGTGGTCCCCCAAATTTCAATCGTGTAAGAACAGTGATTTGAGGAGTGGTAAGAAATTCGTGCAGCATCTTCTCTGGCTGTTATTGATATTCTCCTGATAGCTTGTGATAGTTTCATACACAGTTGGGCCATATGCTCCATACAGGTTAAACGTGCGTCGGTTTCCAGCCCTAGAAATTTTACAGGGTCGGTTTTTGCCACTTATCCATGGCATACTTGATTTTCTTGGTTTTATCCTGGTTTACTATAAGCCCATTTTCGTTGGAACTGCGACAGATGTTGTGGCTCGTAACTTTAGTTCCAATGCGACATGGTCTCAGTCGTTTACTGTCAGTGTTGTATCATCAGCATGTAGGACTACGTGAGCAGGTAGGTGTTTCAGGAGGTTATTCATGTAAACTATGAAGAACACTTGTCTGCAAAATAGATCGATACTTCTCTTGTTATTTTTAGCCAACTGCTTAGGTTTCCTTTTAGGTACATAGCTTGGCTTCTGTTCTCATGATACGATTTTAGCAACTTTAGGGCGACTTCTCGAATTCCATACATTTCCACTTTTTCCAAGAATTTGGCATGGACATCAGGTCGAAAGCTTATTGTAGATCGCACATTTGCAAAATACATTTCCTGCGTTCATTTAGTGCTTACAGATGTATTCCATCAGTCATCGCATGGTATTGGTAGTACCAAGGTGCTCTCTAAATCTAAATCTGTCATGTGCCACTTTGCCAGTATTATTATTATGTACCTACCTTTTATTTAATCTTTTAATGTAGACATGTAAAAATAAAAGAGCAATCTATTCCGAATTGGGCATTACATTAACACATAATTAATACCTAATTGATTATTATTGATTACTTGGCATATGTAGGTCACTTGAAAAATAACAAACATAAAATTTTGAATTGTGGACATAAGTAGCATGCATTTAATTAGCCACTAATATTGTTAGGCTGAGTACATATGTAACTGACAACTCTAATAATAACAGATCAATAAATTTCCAATGAAGGTACTAAATTAGCATTTAATCATACACTTATGTCGATTTTCCTTCTGTACTTGCTACATGGACATGTATTTCAAGTATTATTAAAAGTAGCAGATCAATTTTAATTTGACAAATTGTTCACCACTGTTTTGGTTGGGGACACATAATTGATTCCCTCTTTAACAGTACAATTCTTAAAGTAACCGAGAAAGTAACATTGCAATAGAAGATAATATTATTTCTAGGTAGCAGAAACTAACTACAGAAAAACGCAACAAGTCCAACACCAAGGATCTCTTATGGAAGCGCAGCATAGACGAGATACAAACGTATTAATTTATATAAAAAGAAGACTGGCAATGTGTGCGAGGAAGTTGGGAAAACTGAAAGAGGCGGTGAAAATGTTTCGCGATTTAACTAAAGAGGTGCCACCAATTATGAACGTGTTAAACATCCACGAGAACTTGATAGAAGCACTACTCGAAATGCAAGCATATGCGGATGTCCAAGCGGTTTTAGCTAAATATGATGATATTTCATTACCAAAGTCGGCTACAATATGCTACACCGCTGCATTATTAAAAGCGAGATTAGTTGCTGATAAATTCTCACCGGACATCGCTAGTAAAAGAGGTCTGACGACAGCAGAAATGGCAGCGGTGGAAGCAATACATCGTGCCGTAGAGTTTAATCCACATGTACCCAAGTATTTGTTGGAAACAAAACCTTTGATATTACCACCTGAACATGTTCTCAAGCGAGGTGACTCCGAAGCCATCGCTTACACTTTCTTCCACTTGGCACACTGGAAAAATATGGAAGGAGCGTTAAACTTACTGCACTGTACGTGGGAGGGCACATTTAGAATGTTACCGTATCCATTAGAAAGGGGGCACCTATTTTATCCATACCCTACTTGTACAGAATGCGCCGACAGGGAATTATTGCCAGCGTTTCACGAAGTTTCGGTGTATCCTAAAAAAGAATTGCCATTTTTTATTATATTTACTGCGGGTTTATGTTCGTTTACAGCTCTACTGGCGCTTTTAACTCACCAGTACCCGGAACCAATGGGTTGTGTCGCAAAATCAGTATTAAATTGGCTCTCTTTACCTGTATATTACATTTATGAAAAAGTGGAAGGTATGTTGCCTTCCAATTTACTACAGCAGTTATCAAGAATATAATTCTCAGCATTTATATTGGAGAAGTAAAGGACACATTTATTTTTCTCATCATTTACCAATTCTACTTTAAAAGTTTTAGTTGGTTTATGTTTTTAAACTGAATTGTGATAAATAAAATGTAACAAAAATGTTTGTTTTTATTCAAATTTTTTAATAAAACATTATTTGTATGTATTTCTTATTGAACTTATATCCTCAAAATAAGTGAATCAACGTCTACCCATTAGTGACTAACATTGCACATTGAAAGGTTTTTTGTGACATCCATCACTTTCCAAAGGAACAAAGTTTTCAAACGTGTGAATACACCTAGCCAAGATTTACACAGTAAAAATTGGCATTCACTGTTTACGAAACTTCAACAGAACATAAAACATTTTTACTAAATGGGCCCAATGGAACACCCTTTATATATTATAGAGTTTGAAAGAAAGTGAGAGAGTGCAATAAATGTTTGCTGCAGAATCACACTCAAATAATTGAAGCGCATATTGCAAGATATCTATAAATCACATTGAATACTTAAATCTTCATTTAATTTAGGATAATTACAAGCATAGAGAAAATACAATTTGAAAAACCAAACTTTTGACATTTCTTGGTTGCTAACTTTGAATAATCGCAACAGCCCTGGCCCCTGGAAACTTTTTCAAGACTTTCGACAGTCGCGCAAAAAATTCCTTGAACTTTAAGCATAGAGTAACCATAATACTCTTTGCTTTAAGGATTTGATTATAAAAAAAAACTCACTAATCTTGAACGGTTTAAGGGATATGAATTAAAAATGGACCCTTGCATCTTCAAATTTTTAGATAGAGTTTGACTATGCTAAAAACTGTAGATAGGTACCTACTAAAATTTGAAATGCATTGAATTCAAAATAAAATAGCTCATTCAGAAAAAACTAGAAAATGGTATGTTTCTATTTAAAAGACACAAGATGGCGCCACTTTCGGTATTTACGGAAACGGTGCCATCTTGAAATTCTTTTATTTCAATTCTGGTTGTAAACCAAATTTCAAGTTTCTATATTTCAACTGCAAGTTTTGAAACGTATGGTCATTGTAATATACATATAGTCACAGTTGTAGTTAATCTGTGATATAGGTAAATTTGCCGATTTTGTTATTATTTTTTTATGTTACTTGAGCAGATACAGAAAAATAAAAAACACTTTTTGAACTCTACATTAATACGTTTTGTTTTGGAAAACTTTATTTTTTTAATGACCCGTGAAAAAAGTACTGTGTATTGACATTGAATAAAAACACTATAAGAAGCATAACCCCGTGGAAATAAAGCGCGACAGAGATTGAACTGAGAATATAATGGGAATACTGTCGATAGTGTCGATTCTTGAACTGAGAAGAATGAAAATTTGCTTTCCCCCTATTTACCTCAAAGAGAGTTCGGGGTCCAAACCAATGCGGGTACAAGGGGATATGTCGCGCTTTCTTCCATAAGCGTTAGTTAGGCTTCTTATAGTGTTTTTATTCAATGGTATTGAGTAGCATTTTTTTATTACTGATACAATGATGCATGGCACACAAAAGTTTAAAACTGTTGGTTTCAACAGGATAGTCATAGTGCATCTGCGCACAACGCCCTAATTGTGCGAGAATACCAATCAGACAAACTTTCTGAAAAATATATGTCCGATATTCTCAAGCGATTAGAGCGTTGTGCGTAGGGCATGGTGTATTACACCATGGCGTAGAGGCACCATCCTGTGTATCTGTCAAATAACATCAGTAGAAAATAAAAACAAAATCGCAAATTTCGGTTTTACTGGCATACTTTTGGAATAATTGGAATTTTCTGGTTTTCTTGACAGTATGATCATATTATATTATAGTACCGGGTGATTCATTAGAAGTGATGATCGCTTGAATTTCGCGCGTAAGGTTTTAGTATTTTTGCATTATTAGATTGACGGTTTGAATTTCGTTAGTAATTTTTTTCTGTCATGACTGTCATTTAACAAACCAGTGTCGCCGTTAATTGTTGTGTGTCATCCATTTTGAACAATTTTTAGAGTTGATGCATTAAAATATATAAGAAACGTAACTGTGTTTAGTGTTAGTTTATAATTTGTGGTAAAACAGAAGCAGTATTTATTATAAATAAGTAAACGATTTACTGAAAGCATGATGATACACCACTGCAATTAAATAAATGATCATCAGTTAGTACCAACTTCAGAATTTTTTTGATTTGCGGGAAATTCAAATTGTCCTCACTTCTTTATAAATAATAATTGTTCAAAATAGCTGTCTGATGCAAGGCGTCCCCGCCTGGCAGTTAGAATAAGTGAGGCTGTTGAGAAAATTCTCTAAACAGCCGCACTAGAACATAAGGCGTATTGTATTTTATAAAAGCACCCGCCACCTCAGGGTGGACACCACTGATAAGGCGAAACGTGAATAATAAATATGAATAAAAAATACAACGGACAAAAGTCACGTCACGGCGAAGACTAATTATTGCATCATAAATAAAGGTACCTTTACACTATCATACTTCTCATGTGATTTGTCATATGATAAGTAACAAGCATTTAGATTTGTGTTTACACTATACTATTTTTGGTATTATGGCTGTCATAAGAGTAAGACAAATCATAAGGAAATAATATGGAAATAATACGTAAATCGTGGAATAGGGATGTTTCTATTTCTGCATGACAAATGACATGACTTATTTTAAATATCCAAGTAATCCCGCCCTTTTATGGGTACTTTTCGCATTTTGCTGTTGTACTTATCTGAAAAAGCTGAATACTTGAGTAAACCAGTAAACTTTTGATTATATCATTGATTATAGGTGTGTATAATCAATGATTATATAGGTATATTAGTTACTAATGAAAGAATAAATTACATAAACAATAAATCGAGCAATAAATATTTACGAGTATATTGGTATTTGGTTGTCTGGTTGTAGTGGTGTCTTCAGACACACATTGTCAAATAGTGTCTTGATTGGTAATTAACCCTTCAAATGTTTGGGGTAATCTTTCAAATAAGGGTACACTCATCCTTAATGTCGACCAAGGGGACGATTCTTTTTGCTTTGTTAATGAAACGCATAACGGAGAAATTATTTTTAAAATAATTGTTAAACTTTTTTCGTTAAAAATGTACTATGATTTTTGAGGTACTTTAGAAGTTCACCTATTTGTGCTTTACAGGTGATTTTTTTGAGTTCTAAGTTAGCCTGAAGGTACTTTTTTGTTGAATACTTATTGTGATAATTAGCGATTTATTTTAATACAGTAGTTAACCGCACAAAATTGCTTATTTGCCAATTTATTTAAAATTTTGCGGGATCCCGCAAATTCCGGGATCTCGCGGGATTAACATCTTACATCTAACGATCCCGCAAATACCGGGATTGAGATTTTGCTGCGGGATTGCATTCCCTAGCTGTAACTTTTGAACTAGTAGCCCAATCTTGGAACTGTTTGACATTATGGATTCTACAGGCCACGTCTATAAGAAAATTTTTTTTCCAAAAATCGATGCACCAAAATTTCTCGGGAAAACACATTTTCTTATTAATTTTGGTGCGTAGAATCCAAAACAATTCATATACTTTGTCGATCAGACTTCTCAATTCAAAGGGCTGTAACTTTTGAACTAGTAGCCCAATCTTGGAACTGTTTGAAATTATGGATTCTACAGGCCACGTTCTATAAGAAAAATTTTTTTCCGGGTCGATCTGAGACAATTTTTGTTTCGGGGCAAAAAAAAGGCAGTGTATAACCTTCCTTTTTTCCAAAAATCGACTGCACCAAAATTTCTCGGGAAAACACTTTTTCTTATTAATTTTGGTGCGAGAATCCAAAACAATTCGTACTTTTTCGATCAGACTTCTCAATCAAAAGATATAGACTAGAAACCAATTTCGAAAGAAAATTCAAAGGGCTGTAACTTTTGAACTAGTAGCCCAATCTTGGAACTTGGAATATTTTAATTTAGAGAAGATATATATGGTTTCGTAACTTCTTGTATTAAAGTCATATGAAAAACCTGTCAAGTGTAAAGTAAAACATTAAAACTCTTACGAAAAATATGTTGGTAGGTACACATATATCAGATAAAAAATCATGTGAGATATATTATAGTGTAAAGGTACCTTAATGAATCACCCGGTATGATAATAACGTTTATTTGCGTAACTTTTCCCTATATTAACCACCGTCCTATCTTTTATGGTTTCTAAGACCCTAATAGACATCCTTATCTTGGACACAGTGTATGTTGAGAAACCTTGTATTTTTATCTTTTTCGAGACAAAATAAACCATATTGGGT